TAATTAGTATTGCCAATATTCTAATAAGGATCATAAGATGTTGTTAATAAATATGAAAAAGATAAAATTAGAATAGTTACTAAAGTAAGAGAATAAATTAATTAAGTAAAAAAGATTTAGATGGATTATTCCATATTGGAAATTAATATTAATTAGATCAATAGTAAATCAAGTTAGAAAATTTATTACAATTAGTGAATTCACTTAAATCAAGTGAAGATAGATTGTTTTAGAGCGCAAGGAATATCATACATCTAAACATTATGGGACATATTAAAAATTTGTTGATAGTTTATATCCTGATAAATAATAAGAGTATATTTAATAAATTTATTTTACATCATTACTTGCAAGACCAACTAAATTTTATAATACATAATTATAATTTGAGAAAGCTGAAAATTTTTAATTATATGGAGTAATTAATCATTTAAGTTAAGCAATATCATGTATAAGAATGAAAAATGGATAAATTGTTATATGTTCTAATATAGTTTCTTCTTTTTGAGTATCCTAGTTTAAAATTAATGTAATAATTGGGCAATAATCAAAATATTAAATAAGTGGTCGGAATAACTTAAAATCTAATAAATTTATTGACTTAAAAATAAGTATTAATTATGAGAAGAGAAAGGATAAATTGATACCTAAAGGAGAGTTTATAACACTTAATGTAGGAGTGATTAATAAGATTGGTTTGATCAATGATCTATTAGTTCAAACATAATTAATTGTTTATAAATTAAAATAATAAATAGAAGCAGATTAACCAATAGAATATATATTTATAAATTTGACTCCATAAATTTACATGCATAAATAGGAATGTTGTAATTTTACTATATTTGAGAATAAATTATTTTCAGCAGATTTAGGAGAAAGACTCTATTAAAGGAAATTAGGGAATGTATTTTATGTAGATAATGTTATATAATCAAGTAATAATGAAGTCATTGGCATAATACCTATGCATGATAGTAGAATAATTACAATTTAAATTGATGGAATGATTAGACTATGGGATAATGCATTATAATTGGTTAGAACAATTAAACATAGAAGTTCATTAACAGCATTTGTAAAAGGGAAAGAACTTGATACATTCTATACGGAAGATGTATCAGGCAGTAATAAAAAATAGTAATGATTAGATATTTAGAAGTGGAAAGTTACAGTGCTTATTGAATCTCTTATTGAATTAGATGCTTATAAGTGACTTACAATTTAATCAATATTTGATTAGTTGTTCAGCAGATAATAAGGTTAAGATCTGGATTACATCTAAATGAATATATACTTATAAATAATAATAATAAAAAAATGGCAAAGCATCATCCCGATTTAATTATGTGTCGTAAATAACCAGGTATTGCAATTGGTAGATTATGTGAGAAATGCGATGGTAAATGTGTCATATGCGATTCATATGTCAGACCTAGTGTTTTAGTAAAAATCTGTGATGAATGCAATTATGGAAGTTTTTAAGGTAGATGTGTTATATGTGGAGGTGTTGGAGTTAGTGGTATTTATAATCTATAATATTAGATGCATATTATTGTAGAGAATGTGTTCAATAAGAAAAGGATAGAGATGGTTGTCCTAAAATTGTAAATTTGGGATCTGCTAAAACAGATTTATTTTATGAAAGAAAGAAATACGGATTTAAAAAAAGATGATTATTAATTATATATTATAAATATGGTGCATATTCCTCATTTGATTGTTGGTGCTGGACCGTAATACATTATAAACTTTATAGAGTTGGTCTCATTTTGGGACATTATTTTAAGAGATTTAACATCCCTTTTCAAATATTCGAAAAGCAATCCTTTTTATCTGCACATCCATCAGCTCATTATTTAAATATGAGAACAATGGAAGTAATACATTCTATTGTATATGTAGATTCTTGATGAATTAAACATACAATTACCATTAGAAAATATCCAACACTTTTCTAATTATGTATATTTACGTAGAATTGGAGAAACACCATTAAATAGTACAAGTTAATTAATAGATTATAAATAATATTCTTATACAAGTTATGCTCATTTACCATAAAGTCTCTTTGTCTAACATGTTTAATAAGGAATAAGAGATAAAATTTAATTAAATACGGAAATTAAGAAAATTGAATTCAAGGATAAAATTATTAAAGTTAATGATGATATCACATGTGATTATCTATATGGTTGTGATGGATTGAATGGTTTTGTTAGAGATTATTTAAAAATTAAATTAATTGGTAATAGAGATCTCTAAAGATTTCTAAATATTCATTTTACTTCTAAATAATTAATAAATAGACTTGAATAATATAATTCAATGTTGTCATTCATATATAATTCTGATATAACAGCAGTAATAATTAAACATAGAATTGAAGATGGAACCTTTGCAATTTAAATACCACTAGATTTATTAACTGGTAAAACTGATATTCAATAAATCTAACACATTAAGTAAGATCATGTATTAATTAAAAATCTAATAAATAAAACATTATTAAATTAAATAAATGATATAGAGATAAAATCTGTTGGATTTTGGAGAATGGGTGCAGTATATGCAGAATAATATTATAAGAATAATTGTATTCTTGTTGGTGATGCATGTCATGGAATGCCTCCTGCTGGTGGATTTGGAATGAATACAGGAATTCAAGATGCACAAAATCTAGCTTATAAAATCAAAGAATAAAAAGATCTTTTACATTATTAATAAGAAAGATAATAAATTGCAAAAGATAATATTGATACTGCTCTAAAATACTATAATAAATCTCTTGATATTGCCAAAGCATTTACATTTGATATTAATAAACTCAAAACATATCAAAGTTTTATGAAAAACACTCCAGATTTCCTTTATTAAGCTGGTGTAAAACTTGGAGGTTCTCTTATTGAATTAGATCCAATTTATAAGAGAATAAAGGTTAATGATTATATTCCTTTGGTATTTCCTAAGGAAGAAATAGGTTTCAAATATATGTCAGGTGATATAGGAGAAAATGGTGGATAATTGGCACCTTTAGCTGTAAGAGAGATCTTAAAAAATAGAGAAAGGAAATGGTATAGCATAAATTGTGATTCTAATCACTAAAGAATTGATATTGAAAATGTGAATAAGATGATAGTGAGGAGTGATATGCATATTTATTAATAATAATGATTATTATATCTAAAGAAATTTATTCACAAATCAGATAGATTTACTAATTTCTCTGAATTAGTAACTTACTTCTAAATTTATCTACTATTTTTTTGGACTAAAATGATGAGTCCATATTTTCTTATAAAAAAGATGGATTGTTGACAATAGTTAGTAATTTAATAGCAAGATCAGTTTTAGGGTGATTTAAAATATTTAATGAGAACAATATTGGTAAAACAATTTTAATGGACTTTTATTCCTTATAATAAATATCTATCAATTTAACAAAATATGTATGATAATATTTTCAAATTAGATTAAGATTAAAATGGATTCTAAAATAATTAATAATGAGAGACATGGGGATTGATTTTTAATATTTAAAAACCATATATAATTGATATAAAACGATAATTAAATTTTGACATAGAAATATTCATATATGATAATATTATTGGATTATAAATCTCAATTTAAGTTTTCAATAATAATTGATGTAGCACCTCCACCACCATTGCATATTCCTGCTAATCCAAATTTACCTTTATTTTATTTTAATACTGTGAGTAAGGACAAAATAATTCTTGCACCACTCATACCAATAGGATGACCTAAAGCAACAGCACCACCATTGACATTAATTCTATCTAATGGTAAATCTAATAATTTCATATTGGCTAAGACTGTGGCAGCGAAAGCTTCATTAATTTCATGGTAATCAATATTGGCTAATTTGAGTCTAAAAACATATGAATAATATATATACCCTGCTCTTTAGAGTGCCTTAGCAGATGATTTAGCTGGGGCAATGCAGAAATCCATAGGGTCAAGTTCTGCATCAGCATAGGCAACAATTCTAGCCAAAGGTGTCAATTTATATTTTTTCAAGGCTTCTTCTGATGCCAAAATAATGGCACATGCTCCATCATTGATTTTGCTTGAATTGGCAGCTGTGACACTACCATTTTTAGCAAAGACTGGTTTAAGAAGTGGAATTTTCTCCTTTTAATATCTTTTGACTTCTTCATCTTCAGATACTACTTCTTTTTCTGATACTTGGACTGGAGTAATTTCATGTGTCCATCTTCCAGTTTTGATTGATTCAAGGGCTCTTTCATAACTAGTAATTGTGAAATCATCTTATAATTATCTTGTTAATTTAAGATCATTAACAGTCTTCTCAGCACATACTCCCATAGCAACATTACTATAAGCATCAGATAAACCATCAGTAGCTAAACCATCTAATAATTTTCCATCTCCATATTTAAGTGGTTGTCTTGCATTGATATAATGAGGAATATTGGACATTGATTCAAATCCTCCAGTTATGACAATATTGGAATATCCTAATTGAATGCTTTAAGAGCCGAAAGTAACTGATTTCATACCAGAAGAACAAACCTTATTAATTGTAGTGCATGGAGTAGATGTTGGTAATCCAGCTTTGATCACTGCTTATCTGGCAGGAGCCTATTGATGAATAATCAATAAATACTTAGCCAATTCCAGCTGAACAAACATTTCCTAAAATAGCCTCATCTATTGCATCTGATGGTATTGTAACTTAAGACAGAGCACCTTTAATTGCTGTGGCTCCAAGATCTGTTGCCTTAACCTTACTCAATTTGCCTAAGAAACAACCAATTGGTGTTCTAGCTGCAGAAACAATATAGGCTGCTTTCATAAGAAATATAAATTTTAATAAATTTTTAATTCTGTTTTCGCTTTATGCACACACTATTAATTAGATATCATCATTCATAATACGCACAAATCAAACATGTAATCATTTGAATGAATAATTATTATAAATGTTTTAATATATAATAATTTAATAATAAATGCAAATAAACACGTCACTTATTCAAGCTTAAAGAGATGCCTTAAATTCAATCCTTAAACCAGACATAAGAATTCCTTGGAAAATACTATGTTATGATTAATATTGTGAAAAAAAATTATCTACTATTTATAGAGTAGGAGATTTGAGAGAAATGTGTATCACTCTTCATTTTAATCTTGATTAAAATCGAGAGAGATTACATGGTGTCACAGCAATATATTTTATACAACTTACACTAATTAATATAGAAAAATTAGTTAATGACTTTAATAGAGATCTCTATTCTGAAGTTTATATTAATTTCTCATCTCCTATTGAAAATAATTTATTAGAATTTATGGCTAAGGAAATTAGTAAAATTAGTGGAGCTGTATAAAAAATATATGAATATAATCTTGACTTTGTTGCTCTTAATCATAATTTCTTTAATCTAGAAAATCAAGTTATAAATGGATTATTCTCTATTATTATGGCTCTTAAAGTTTAACCATTAATTTTATTCCAAAAGAATTCTAAAATTGAATAAATTGAAAAAGAATTGATTGAAAAACTCAAGTAACTTGAATTCAATTCTGATTATCCTCTTTTAGCAATTATATTACCAGATAGAGACATCGATCTAAACACTTTAATAATGCATTCTAATACATATTGAGCATTGCTTCATGATACTCTTAATATTAAATACAATAAAGTTAAATTAGATGATTAAGTATATGATCTCTCTCCTTAATATGATAATTTATGGCTTTATACCTGATGCAATTGATAAAATTGATAATGAATTAAATGATTGGAACTCCTAATATTAATAGGTTTCATAATAAAATTAAGAAATTTCATAAATGCAATCGATTTAGTACCATAAATGAATAATCAATAAAAAAAGATTGTTGATTCACATATTAATCTAGCAAAATAATTAACTTAAATTGCAAAATAAAAATCACTTGATAAATTTTATTAATTTGGATAAAGTATATTATAAAATGATACATTGACAATTAATGATTATCCATAATCAGAAGAAAATTAAATTGAGTAATCAAAAGAGATTGATAAACTCAGATTATTAATACGTATGTTGTTAAATAATTATAATTAATAAGAATTTAAGAAATTTGAATAGGTGTTTTAAATTAAGAATGAAAAATATTTGAATATTCTTTCTAATTTTAAATAAAGAGTAGCTTCCAATTAAAATAATAAATAATAAAGTGTATATAATCTTTATTTGCTGCTATCACATCTAAAATGCCTAATTCTGGCGAAGGTTTATTAAAAAATGTATAAAACTTTTTATTACAAAATATATTTATAAATCATTTTTTATATAGGAGGAAAGAAATCTGCAATTGTTCAAATGTTAGAAAATCTTTTTTTTAAATGAATTGAAAATCGATGATTTATAATAAATTTTAACTATTTATGATTCCAGAGTTAAGAATATTTCAGTACTTTATTATTTATATATTAGAGATTAGAATTTGGTTTATTATCAACTATCAAAGGTATATTAGTATGTTTTACTGATGGAGCATGCTATAATGAATATGCTGAATTAAATGATTTTGCTAAAAGCATTAATAAAATGATAATTTATGGTGGAAATAAAATTTATAATGCTGAAGAATTCTTGCTTTAATTTTAATGAAATTTGATTATATATGTATATATTTAAATTATTCTACTTAAATAAATTTTTGAGTTGCTTTGTCTTATTATTGATTATTTTATTTTAATATTAAAGTTGTAAATTCATTTATTATATATAAAATAATTTAATTATTTTAATAAAATAATAATANATTAGATGATTAAGTATATGATCTCTCTCCTTAATATGATAATTTATGGCTTTATACCTGATGCAATTGATAAAATTGATAATGAATTAAATGATTGGAACTCCTAATATTAATAGGTTTCATAATAAAATTAAGAAATTTCATAAATGCAATCGATTTAGTACCATAAATGAATAATCAATAAAAAAAGATTGTTGATTCACATATTAATCTAGCAAAATAATTAACTTAAATTGCAAAATAAAAATCACTTGATAAATTTTATTAATTTGGATAAAGTATATTATAAAATGATACATTGACAATTAATGATTATCCATAATCAGAAGAAAATTAAATTGAGTAATCAAAAGAGATTGATAAACTCAGATTATTAATACGTATGTTGTTAAATAATTATAATTAATAAGAATTTAAGAAATTTGAATAGGTGTTTTAAATTAAGAATGAAAAATATTTGAATATTCTTTCTAATTTTAAATAAAGAGTAGCTTCCAATTAAAATAATAAATAATAAAGTGTATATAATCTTTATTTGCTGCTATCACATCTAAAATGCCTAATTCTGGCGAAGGTTTATTAAAAAATGTATAAAACTTTTTATTACAAAATATATTTATAAATCATTTTTTATATAGGAGGAAAGAAATCTGCAATTGTTCAAATGTTAGAAAATCTTTTTTTTAAATGAATTGAAAATCGATGATTTATAATAAATTTTAACTATTTATGATTCCAGAGTTAAGAATATTTCAGTACTTTATTATTTATATATTAGAGATTAGAATTTGGTTTATTATCAACTATCAAAGGTATATTAGTATGTTTTACTGATGGAGCATGCTATAATGAATATGCTGAATTAAATGATTTTGCTAAAAGCATTAATAAAATGATAATTTATGGTGGAAATAAAATTTATAATGCTGAAGAATTCTTGCTTTAATTTTAATGAAATTTGATTATATATGTATATATTTAAATTATTCTACTTAAATAAATTTTTGAGTTGCTTTGTCTTATTATTGATTATTTTATTTTAATATTAAAGTTGTAAATTCATTTATTATATATAAAATAATTTAATTATTTTAATAAAATAATAATATATTACTTTTATAATTATCACAAATCTTCTATATATTCCTCTAAAATTTCTTCATAATAATCATCTTCCTTTTTATTGATATCTGTAATTTATGTATCATTATCAATATTATATTGAATATTTCTTTAATCAACAATCTCTTTTCCAGGATAAAATTCACTAATTTGATTCATCTTTTTCTTATTAGTTTGAGGAGACTAAAATTGATTTGTAATATTAAATTAAATTGAGTTATCTTATGTATTCTATTAAAAATCTGAAGGTCTTTTCAAAGTAGGTAGAGGGAGTATTGATTAACTATATTAGAAAATATCACTATTGTTATTATTATGATGACTAGGCTTTCTAGATTCAGAACTTTTTAGTTATTAGTCACTACTTTTAAATTCTAATATTAGTATATTAAATATAATACATGAAAATGTTAAGTATTGTTCACTTGTAATGATATTTTGAATATTATTTGATAATTCTGGTAATTTACTTTCAATTTTTTAATCTTCTTTTTATTTTTAGATAGATTTCAAATTCTTACTTTCAACCACAGGATAATTAAAATCATCATCATCTGAATATGTAACTTTTGTTATTTTTTTTGGAATATATCTAATAGGCTCTTAACAAACATAAGTTAAATTATGAAGTGTAGCTTATAGATCACACTCTTATTATATAAATTATTTTAGAGCATTTATATCTATATTTTCTACTTCATTTGAATATAAATAATTCATCATCAACATATAATCTATTTATTCATAAGTGAAATGAAAGTTATTTTTCAATAATAAAATAAAATCATCTTTATTATATTTTTTATTTGGTATATTACATTAAATCAATTTTTAATTAGTTGCTTTTGAATAATAATTCCATTTCAATATAGTCTAAAATGTTAACTATTATTTTAATAGATATATATATATATACATATTCAGATTTAATTTTAGGATGATTATAAAATTAATCAATTATTTCTCTAACTTCTTATGTATCCTACCATTAAATTGAATTAGAGAATCCTTGATCTTCTCCTATAAAATATCTACTAAGTATTATTGAATCAGATTTTTAAAAATTATATGGTGAATTCATAAATACTTAAATAGCATCTCCTAATTATATGAATTCTTTGTTATGAAATGTAAAATGAATCCTTTCTTTTGTTAATTTCTAAGAAATAATTTTGAATTTTAATTATTAAAATATAATTTCCAATTTATTCTTATTAATAGGTTTACAATTAATATCTTAATTAATATCTTATGTTTAATTTTCTGGAAATTATGTCATTTAATCTCTATAAGTTGTGGGAGGAAAGAAAGACTTTTTAAGTTACATAGTGAGGGGAGATTCAGAAGGCTTAGGAGAGTTTTTTTATTTTAATAAATCTAAAATATTAATTCTTTCATTTAAGTCTTATCTAAAATAGAATTTAAATTACATTATTATATCTTTTTTATTGCATTAATCTTCTAAATTTTATTTTGATTTCTATAATTCCATTATTGTCTATTTGAACTCTTTTTCTTAATCTTTGATTTATTTCTATAATAATTTGGACTTATTCTCATATAATGATAATTCACCCTTTAATGTATCCAATTACTTCAATGTAGCACTTTTATTATAAATTAAAATATAAGTACGCTAATTTCATTTCCAAAAATTCTCTTTTCTTTTATTAATACATTTCATTCTCTGTGATTGTTTATTCATCCAATTACTTTTTATAATTAATTTTCTCAAAATTTAATTGCTTCATTTCTTCAAGTAATTTAGCGTTATCATTAGACATTTCCTAATATTCCACTTTTAATTTATCATTCTACTTTATTAATTATTAAATTGAATTCTCTTATTAATGAACTGTAATTGTAAATTTTGATAGCTTTTCAAATATATTTGGATCATTCACCAAACTTTTATAAATTATATAATAACTTACTCTTAATCAGTAATATTGAGAGCAGATTAAATAACTTATTTGAGTTTCATAATTTCATTTTATTAATTCTCAATTTCTCTTTATAATTCTGATAATTTTGTCAATTTAACAGACTTATACTATTAATGCAAATCAGTTTATAATTCTTCAATTTAATTACGCTATTCCTTTACTTTAGCTTTTAAAATAGGTACTATACTTCCCTCACCTCCTTAAATTACTCCAAGAGGATCACAATTTATCTAATATTTATCTACTTTCTCTATCTTAATAATTTATTTCTATTCTATAAATATAATCGATACTTTTAATTGAGCTACTTAAGCTTTAAGTTTTGAATTTTCAAATTTAAACTCATTACATTATTATTTCAATTACAAGTTTGTATTATACATTTGTTCTTGATCTTCAAAATATTCCTTTGGTGCTACCTATTATGGAGTTTATTTTTTTATATAGATCAATTATGAACTCTGTTAGATTTGTATATTTACTTATTAATGCCTGATTCCTATCTATCTTTAACAATTTTAGCTATAATAGCACTTTGAGGACGACGTTTCATATTTGATAATTAATATATTGAAACTTTTTATAATAGTAATTTTTATTCATTTCATAGTGTTTATCAAAACAAAATTATTAATCCAAGATAATTAAAAATGATTGAAATTTATCTAATTTTATTTAAAAATATCAATTAGTAAAAATACCATTCAATCTTAGATTAAGAATTTTAGAAAAACATATATAAATTATTATTTTTAGACAATATTCATTATTTTTATAAGATTTGATTCAGAATATAGAAATTTCTGAATTAGTTCTTTCAGTAAGAATAAAATATGATGCTTTGTATGAAAATAAAGAATTCAGAATTATTTTGACTTAATTAAATTTATTCTTGTATTAATTTTCAGATTTGATGCAAAAACTTAAACATACCTTAGTTACCTTTAAATTATGCCCTTTTTGTATGAGAGTGCTGGCTTTAATGTGTTATAAGAACATTAAATTTGAGATAAAATTCATTGAAATGTATTGTAAACCTGAATGGTTTGTTAAGATAAGTCCATTATCTAGAGTACCAATATTAATGATTGGAGATGATAGTATATAATTATATAATTTAGTTGTTTTATTTGAATCTGATGCAATTATGGAATACATTGATGAAATTTCACCTCCATAGATTATGCCATCTGATCCAATATAAAAAGCTTTAGATAGAGGAAAATTCGAATATGCAAGTGAAATAATGAAAAACATGTCTATTTTTGTTTTTAGTCAAGATGAAGAGGTATTTATAATATATATATATGTAAAAAGAAATTCTTTAAACACAAGGAATTATTAAAAACAAATTTTGAATAAGTAGAAAAATGGTTAGATGATAAAAAATATATGAATGGGGAATAAATTTCACTTGTTGATTTTTGTTTTATTCCCATATTTGTAAATTTAAGTGTTTTTAAACCTATAATTTAGTAATGTGAATTAACAAAGAATTTTACAAGAGTATTAATTCATTATACATATATTAGTTTAATAAATATGGAGAGAATCTATTATAACTTCCATGTTCTAAAGCAGGTAGAGTACCAGATTATGAATTACTTGTAGTTGAAGGTGTCAAAAAGGTTAATAGTTACTTATATAGATCAAATCCTTGTTTTTTTAAAAGTTTACAATAGAATAACAATTTGTTATAAGGAAAATGAAATTCTTTCTCAATCATTATTAATAATAAGTAATTTTATATAAATATTGTATTTATATCTTAATCAATATGAAGGATGACTTTAAATTTGTATATTATGATTTATGTTGTTTTAATACTATTGCAATAAGTCTTATTATTGCATCTTTTTCTTTTTGGCTGAAAATCTACATGATCCAACAATCAAACCTATCAAAGCAATACAAGAAACAATAATAGGGGCCAAAACATGAACTAATAATGTGTCTGGGAAAATCCTATAATCTTAATAGATTATAAGTTTATCATAAGTGATTGTTTATTTAATATAACCATGATTCACTATAGCTGAAACTCTAACATTATACCATCCAGGTTCTTAATTAGGAAAATCGATTTCAATATTTTCACTTCCATAACTTCTATTCTAATAGAAAGTTATAAATTCAGAATAATAGTTTTATGCATATTGATTATATAGACTTTTATCACCTTAGATACAAGTAAAGTAATTGCCCTCATATGAATCTTAACTCACTGTAACATGAAATTCAACATTTTCATTCTTTGTAACTTAAACACATGGAATTGAAACATGTATTTTTCCTTGACTCACATATCCACTAAGAGTATAATATTTGTCACCATATTCCTTTATTTTTGTATGATCAATTGAATATGAAGGAGCAGTTTAATACTAATTAAATAAATTATTAAAATTACCTTAATAAATACATCAGGTGAAGAATAGGAACTCTATGATAATCTATAATAATAATCTCCATTATTAGCATCAATAACATCAAAAAAGGCATTTTTATAAGACATTTTACTCACATTATGGTAAAGCATATTTTAATCATAGCCTTTTACAGATAACTAACTGTATGAATTCTAACATTTAAATATCTCCATATAAATTGCTTAAGGAGAATAGAGAGTAATCTTAAAATCATTCATAGTATAACTAAGAGACTTTAAATAAGCTTAGTTATCAGTTAATGTTTATTAAGGAGTATTTGTATTATTTGATAAAAAATTGAATCTAGATATCTCCTTATAGAAGTTTGCATCATAAACTGAGATTACGATCTCATCATTATTGAAATCATTGGAGACTGTAAGAGTGAAATTAGTGTCAGAACACTCATAAGCTCTTCTTTGTGATGCAGATACTTCAAGATACTAATAGTTGTATGATTTCCAAACATCGTAAGTAAGATTCTAAGACTAAGTAAATACTATACATCACATCTAAGACTGAGTTAACTTACATAGGCATCTGTTCTAAATTGTAGTGTTGCATTATAAATATCTGCTGAATTCATTGAAAAAGTGAACTAATATCTACTTTCCACAATGACTATTCCCAAAATGACTAAATATATAAATTTCATTATGCTTTATTATTAATATTTTTTTCAACAATATGTATTTAAAATGAGAAATAATTTATACAATATGGATGAAATTGTTCTATGTTATTTTAATAATGAATATCAAATGTCTAACAAACTTTTTTTATTTCAATCTCTTTTCAGATTAAATTTTACATCTTAATTTTTTATACAAATACAATATTACAATAGTGACCTTTATATATATATATAATTAATCAAATTACAAACTTCAAATCATTTTCATTAAACCATTCAATTAATCTAGAATTTAAAATACTAAATAAAATATTATACTAAAAAGAAAATCAATACTAAGATGCAATTATCTTAAGTTATATTTAACTATACAACTCTTTAATCAATTATTTTTAACAATATATAAAAAATGTTTTGTGTAAAAGTAATACATAGAATATGAATTTTAATTTATAACCATCATTTCTCTTAGTTCAATAATCATATATTGATAAAACCTATATTCATTTGCAACTTAGAAATTTTAATATTTAATATCTAAAAAATTTAATATATTTAATTAAAAAAAAAAAAACTTAATAGAAATACAAATCATCTTTAATACATTTAAAAAATATAAAAATAGAATATATTCTATAGATATGCTTATTTTATTGTCTTTGTTCAAGAAATGATCAAAAAAATTATACTCTTTAAGTTAAATTCTTAAGGATTTAATATTTTGTAAATATTGTTAGATAATTATTTCACTATCTATCTATATATATATATAAATAAATATATTATTGATATTATATATATAATTAAGCTCAAAAATCATTGAGCTTTTGTTATCTAGTTAGTTTTTATTTTTAGAGTTAATAAAAATGTAATAATAATTTATATATAAAATTAAAACAAGATCACAGAAATAACAATATAAGGAAAATAATAAAGGAAGTTTTTATTAATTGTGAATTTTATAAAAGTAATAGAATTTCAAGGTTTATAGAGAGTTAAATGGATAAATAATAAATAATTATCATAATAGTATGTTAGGCACTCCTAGTTTGATTGATTTCTTTAATCAAGACTCTTTTGTAGAGAATAATCAAATGGATTTAGAGAATATCGATGAGTTAGAATCATAATTTAATTATGAATATACCAAATAACCTACCACAACAACAAGACATGATACAATTAAAATAAATGAAAAAGATATCAATTATAAGAATCTTCCAAAAATGATAGGAAATAACTTTGTGAAATGGATTAAAAATTATAAATATTCTTCTGATTTTGATAAAATTCCAAAAGGAATTAAAAAACTTGTAGAATTGAGAGAAAAAGAGAGGTAATCCAAAATAAAGATAAAAGACTTAAGAGAATCTATAATTAATGATGAAGATTCACAAATAATATTTAAAGAATATATAGCTGATCAGCTATATTTGGATTTATTGTTTAGTAACAAAGTTGCTGACCCATTCTCTTACATCCCAGGAATCAGTAATTACTATTCAGCAGCTAATGAACCAGAAAAAATGAAAAGTAACTATATAATGAGAAAGGAATTTATCAATTAATGATAAAATATATATTACATAATTAACTTCAATTATAATATTTTTGAGTACGTTTTAATGATTGTTAATTTAAAATTTTATTATATATATATAATTTATTTAATTAGCTGTTTTTTAATGAATCCTTATTGTACAATGCATAAAGAAGATATAATTAACTTTTGTGTTGATTCGAATTGTTAAACCAGATGCTTATGCAAATAATGTAAACATGAACACGAGACGGTTCCTATATCATATCTAATCGATAATATATTTGTAAAAGAGACTATCAATGTTGTAAATCTATTCAAAGTAATAATACAAAAATTGGTTCACTCTATAGAAACTGACTTAACTACTTAATTACAAGAAATTTAGTATGAAAAACCACCAAATGAAATAACATAATTAAGTGCATTCTTGAAGAAAAAATATTAAATTTTTGAGATCCTTAAAGATTCTATTCAGAGTAAATTACAAAGAGTTATAGAAGCTATCAAATAACCTGTTACTGTTAGTTCTTCTAAACCATAATTTCCTAGTTCTTTAAATAGTCTACCTTTTATGGATAAATAAGATGCACATAAATAATCACCATATACTCTTAAGAAATTAAAGTCAGAAGAGCATATCGGTATGACACATACAGAAAAAATAGAAGAAAATTTAATGTTAGACAAATTAGAAATTCAAAGACTCAAAACATTTAATGAAGAAAATTGGCCATGGAGATTAGAATAAGGTGCTTAATTTGTGACTATATTCACAGCTCTCAGAAACTTCAAATTACTAGGGTTTAAATAACCCATACTTTTTTGTTCAAATGTAATTAATCATCAACGAAAACCTGTTAATTTTAACGTTGGGTTGTATCACAAGAAAAATCTATAAAAAAAGGCCATATACATAGAGAGTAGGACTATAAAACATAATCATGAAAAAGTCATAGACAGATGTTATGACATAGTTTTCAAGATTCCTTAAAAAATTTAAATGGGAAAAGAATATTCTTTAGTAATTTGGAGTAATTCAGGATTTTATAGTCACTATTATAGTCTTCCTGCTCCTTCGAATGATTTCATTGAATTTTAATAACAAGATTACAATGATCATCCAAAGATCAAAAGATCTGAACTTGTCCACAAAGTCATATCTACTTTTAGAGCAGGTTTGATTCCAGCTTTATATATTGATCCCAGATAAGAGAATGATTAATGAGTGATACACTATTTGACATATAAAGTATTATTATCAAATTATCATAAATTAAATTCATTTATGTTTATTATTATATGTTGTTTAATTCAATCATGAAAATTACCTTTAGGTCATTATATTATGGAAATCTTCAAATGTCACAAAAGTATTAGCATCAGAATTAGCTCTTTCAATCTTTTCTTATAATACGGAATCATTCGTTATTTCTCATAAAGCTTTTGTTATTTTTCTGAGATCCTTCAAAGTAATAACACAACATCTTTCTAATAAAATTTATTAATATTTAGACATTTGAATGCAAGCTCTAGAATCTCTTTCACCAATTCTTGCTCTAATTAATTTAAAAATTAAGCAAAATCTATTTGAACAATTCCAACTGTATCCAAATCTCTTGTAATTTAATACATTATAGGATTTTTGGCTTCAAATCTTAATGATTTAATTGCAATCTTTAAATCAATTAGTTGAAATGATTTAGTACTTAGTTATCTTTATCAAATAAGTATGAAAGCATCTTTAATTTCCAAAACTCTTCTTTTGTAAATTTGGGTTTCACAAATTTAACAGGATTAAATTTTCCTGCTTGATTTTTTTATACAGTTAGAGTTTATTGTTATTGTGGTAGTGGTTATTGACCTCTTTTGAATATTAAAATAAAAATTGTAAATAATAAAAAGTTATTAATCCCCCCTTAGATTTAGATTTAGAAAAATAATTAGAGTAGTGTATTTTTACTAAAATTTTCATAGAAAAATAATAAACAAAAAATATTCATATTGAAACCTTATTTATTTTAATTTATATTAATAAATAAATAGATGATAATATTAATTAAATTTTGTTATTTATATTAATTCATTATATTCATTATTAAAATTATTTGTTATAAGAGATTGCATTATTGATTAAGGCCACCCATTATGTTGCTGGATGTTCTCTTTATTTAAAGAAATACTTTTTATTATTACTAGTAATTACAAATTCACCATCATTTCCCAATTTACATTTAGCATTGATCAATTCAATTTAATGCTATAATATTTAATTAATAAATTATACATTTTTCTTTTTATATGGATTATAATAAAAAAGTTCTTAAGAGAAATGTTTTTAAATAAGTTACATAGTTCTAGGAGTATATTATCCAAACATTAAAACTCCTGAATGTTTATCAACAATACCACTTAAAATTAACTATACTCCATCATTAACTAATGTTGTTTTGGCTCTTAGAATCTATTATTATTATTAATAAAAAATATAATACATTTTTTCTTTCAAATTTAGGTTATTCTTTTATTTCTTTCTATTCTTACCATAATGTTTCATAATTCACATTAGATAAGAAAGGATGTTGTTTTAGAATTGAATAATCACAATCATTCTCAATTGCTTCGATTAATCTTCTACCAGCATCTTTTGTTAATAGCATCTATATAAAATCAACTGCATTTTAATCCTTAATTAAATCATAATTTGGTTCTTTGTCAGAAATGTTTTAAAACATAATATATTCAATGTCACTTTGAAAAGGTGTTTTTCCAGTAAATAATTCATATATCATTACACCAAGAGCCCATAAATCTGATTGAGGACCACAACAATTATTATCAAGTAATTCTGGAGACAAGTATTCACCTGTTCCACAAAAACTAGATTTTCTACAAAACTTTATATTAGATTCTTCTTTAGTAACATCATTTCCTTTAAATAATAGGATAGCTCCAAAATCTATTAACTTAATGAATTTATCTTATGTCATCATGAGGTTCTCAGGCTAAGAATAATCAATAATTATACTTTAACATCTCTATGAACTACACCTTTTTTATGAACTTATTCTAAGATGACAACTAATTAAGCAGCATAAAATTGAATATCTGTTGTTGTAAGTTACCTTCCTTATATTAATAAGTTATATAATACCTTTGATGAAATCTCTGAATGTGCCCCAATTCATCAATTCTAAAGAGAGATATAATTTTGTATTAGACTCATATGTAGCATAACATTTTATAACACCAGGATGATTTATTGACATAAGAGCGTTAGATTCTAAATAGATCAGATGACTTTTATTTTGCTACAAATATCATATATTTATTACTTTTGCTAAAAACACCTTATCAATTACTTTGATAGCAGTTTCTTCTCCATTTGTTTTGTTTTTACCCTAAAAGACTTCACTATATGATCCAGTGCCTAACATCTTTACAAAACTATAATCATTAATATCTTTGCAAGAGAGCCGACTGAGAACTTAGTTTTAATTCATATAAAAATTAAATTATTATATGGAATCAATTTAAATATCAATATAAACCCAAAAATAGTATGATTCTCTAAGATGATTATAATTTTAGAAATTATTAAAAATATAATCATTTATAAATATTTATATTGCTATACATAATCTAATTTTTATAAATATTTATATATTCACTCAAATAACTTAGTATGTACTGAAAGAATAATAAATAACATCTACAATATAATTTAATAACAATATATAGCAAGTCTAAAAATAAAGTAATATATATATAACTTTGTTAATAACAGTAAACAACGTTTTTAATTTATACTTTAGAATAAATATAATTATATTTTATTGATAATGATATAATTATTAAGGAATATCTAATTCTAAGTTATTAATCATTATTTGAAAAATTACACTTATATAAGTATTGAAATAATATACAAATTCTTATTAATATATATTTGATTAAAATTATATTATTTAAAATTGATTGAATGTAATAATCACATATATTCATTATATTGATTTCATGCAATGTAGTTTGTAATCTTGCTATGTCAATAATTGCTCCATTTTACCCATAATTTGCTAAGTCTAAAGATATATCTGAAGATATCATAGGTATCATATTTGCAGCACATCCTTTGGGACAATTTATTTCTTCTTTGATTTTAGGAAAATTAATCACCCATGTAAGAAATATGTTAATCATAGGACAATAGATAAAAAATAATGATCATTGGAATTTCTTTATAGGGTTTAGGTTTACTTCTGTTTGGTTTTTTATACTATTTTGATTCTTATTTTGTAGTGTTAATAGGAAGTTTTATGGCTAGATTAATTGGTGGGATAGTATATAAATGATTAAAATATAAATAGGGTGCATCCATGTTTATGACACCGTTTTATGCATTTATTCCTTAGTTATTTCCAAAATCAATTGAAGAGAAAATAGCTATTGCAGAAGTATCAACATCTCTTGGATTTCTTGGAGGTCCTATATTAGGATCAGCTTTATATTAATTAGGTGGATTTATTTTACCATTCTTTTTCTTTGCTGGTTGTTCGTTTGGATTAGCAGTGATACTGATTATCTATTCAAAAAGTTTAGATGTACCTGATGTAGATCTTAGTTAATCAATCATTCTACATTAATCAATATAAAATCAAGAATCAATTATAGATGCTGAATTTAGAATATCATATTTAAAACTTCTTTGTAATTATCCAGTTGTAATATCTTTTATTACAAATACATTAACACTTTCATTATGGACATTTTATAATCCAACTATAGCAATATATTTATTAGAATAATATGATATTTAAGAGGAATATTCAGGTTATTGGATATCAATAAATGCTGCTTCATTTGGATTTTCAACTCTTTTCATATCTAGAATAAAATCTCATAAAAAATTTTACATGTACTTTGGCTTAGTAATCAGTGGATTTTTACAATTTTATATGGGTCCTGATTATAAATTCACCAACTTAAATCCAAGATTATTATATACAATATTATCATGGTCACTTGTAGGATTTACTGCAGGTTTCCCATATGTACTTACATTACCATAAATTAACCAAATTCTTACAAAAGATTATTATAAATATCCTACATAATGTGCAAATATTGCATCTGCTATGTATATATATATATAATATATTATAGTTTTAATGCCAGTTTAGCAGGAGGAGAACTGTTTGGTCCAATTTTGGGTGGATATCTTACAAAATGGTATGGATTTCAAAGATCAGCATCTTTATTAGGTTTTGCAGTCTTAATATGTTGTGTTTTGTATATACCTTATTTATTTTACTTGGATGAAAAACTTGCAAGAATTAAAGCTAAAAAATTAAAGAGAGTTGGATTAAAAGAATGAAAATATAATTTGTTATATATATATATATATTTGATAAATATATTATACTTACAAATTTAATCATTAATAATATGAAACAACTTGTTTTGGTAAATCATTTAATAAATGTTTTTTAAGTAAACTCAAAGGAATATCTTATTGATACTAATAAAAATTGAAATTATTTCTTATTGGTGGATTTTGTTGGTTTATAAGATCATTAATTTATTTAATCTCTTTAAAATCATCATTACCAACTCCAACATATATCAAAGAATATGGTAATTTTTAACCTATTTTATATATATATATAATATACCAGTTAAAATTAGATTTTATACTTCTTTTAAATCTGTAATTTATTCTTATCCTAAAATCACAGCTATTGTATATATTAACTTCCCAGCATTATGTTCAGATACAGTTTATACATACTTAATAAAATCTTCAAGTTAGAGGTCTCCTTTAAAAACAATTTCTTTTAGTCTTTTTTAATAAGTATTGACTGCCTCTTAATATCCAATTACTTAAGGATTTTAGAAATCTCCTGTTAAAGGAAAAAGAGTTTAATAACTATTACAATTATAATTAGAAAAGTGAGGTTCAGCTCCAATTCCATAAATAGCTAACAATTTCTTAATATCATAATTTTCTAATGATTTAGCAATATCATTTAATGCCTTTTAATAAATATTATTCTTTTCAATATAAGTATGCAAAGAATCTGGAAATGAAGGAACACCATTATGTGATGAATAATCAATTCCAATAATTATATTAAATTTAGTTCCTTATTTAATGTAATCATCAAAATTAGCTCTATATATTCTTTTTTTATTTAATATTTTAATAGTTCCAGCAGATCCTCCTTTTGGTTAGATTAATTAAAATGAATCAATATTTTTATTAAAAATCTCATCAATAGTTGTTTCAAATGAACCTAATATCTAATTATTCTTGCCTTTCTCATGTCTATCTATACATTCAACTTTAAATTTTTTATTTTCATCATTAAAACATAATCTTTATAATGAAATTTCAAATTATTTCCATGTAGGATTAAGATCATCTTTAATATATTCAGTTTAATATATTTAACACCATACTCCATCAGAAAATAAATAAAATTTTAAAAATGGATCTGACTTACCAAATATTCCATCCATATTTTTTAGATTAATTCCACTAAATTACCATTATACATAATGATTAGATTCTTTAAAGAGTACAGCCTTACAAATTAATAATCCTGCTGCTTTATCAAATCTTTTAATTTAGAGGGATATTAATGAATTTTTTTATTATAAAATGTCCTTTATTGTTGTTTATGCTTCTCCCATAAATTCTCTACCCATTCTGTCTTAATCAAATATTTAAAATTTTAACATTTAAATCATATCTTAACTATATTCAATATTAAAAGTCTTTTCCCAATTAGGATCTAAATTACATTCAGCTGTTTCTGTTCTGCCAAGAAATGTTTCTTATTGTCCAGATAATGAATAATAGATTTCTAAATATGGATCACTTTTTGAAAAGAATTCAAGATTAAGTAATTGTCTTGCAGCCAAAAATAATTCAACATAAATTCTTTCATCTGGATTATAAGTTTATTACATAATAATTATAATCAAGTATGCAATGATATAAATCGTTAATGATATGCAGTTGATTAAGCTCTGATTTAGTTATTTTACATTATTTTTGGCTTTTAAGGAATAGAATATAACCTTGAAAGTTTCTTGTTCTCTGACATTCTTCTTGGACGATTTTATAACTCTAATTAATGAAATCTTTCTTTTATCTTTTTAATATCATTATCCAAAATTGGATTTTGCTATTCTTATATTACATTGAGAAGATCATATATAATTGCTCGATATTATTATACAATATTCATTTTTATTAATTAAATTATTATTAATTTAAATTACTTCTCAAGGAAGATAAAGCTGCCTATAATGTCACCACATAATAACCACTAGTTGAATTAAGCATTCCATTAGTTATCAATTTTTCTATGTAAGTAAGATGAACATCAATATCATAGATTTAAGATTTTATCAAAATGTATTTTATTATAGGCAAAAGATCATCAGCCTACATAAGCAAACTAGATCCTCTATTCTCATTTGCATCTCTTACATGTTATTAAATTTATTATGAAAAATTGATTATCACCTTCACTTTTGAAGATGGACCATATTTTTTGTTTAATTTCTATAATGTTTTTATAGCTTAACTATATGGATTTTATTAAGATTTCAATTAAAAATCTTTAGGAATTTCCATGTCCTCTACACTAATATTTTAATTATGTTTAAAAAATTATTCAGTCTATTTTTAAATTTAACCTAACTCTTTTAACAAAGAATTATATAATACTTTATATATCCCTTCATTTGACATTACATAATTAACAATAAAATTTAACATAGTCTCTTCATTTAATAAAACAGCATGTACTTGATACTTCTTCTTTAAATTTATCATATCATAATAGACTACGATAGTTTCATAAAGAGTTCTACAAAATAATGTCAATTATTCATGTAAATATTGAAATGTATGATCTTAATGTTATTAATTTATAGAATGTCTAAAATGAATTATCATTATGCCTAATTCATTTGGTTAATCAAAATGTTCTTTTATTTTATCTGTAATCTAAACAAAAAAACACATCTAATCTTAAAAATTCACTTATGATCCACCCATTCCTATATTAGATGTTTTCTCATGATAAATATAGGAGGGTGTTACTGATTAAATACTTAAATTAAAAGAAGCTCTACTAGGTTTAATAAAATTCTCAACTAGATCTTCTTCTGTAAATCCTGTTCTTTTAATTATAGTTTATATATTTCTATCTTCTTTTAAAGATTATCTAGATTTATAAGACTTTTAAATATCTGAAATTGATGATTCATCATAACTCTAAGCAAAGGAATGTAATTATTTCTAATACTTATTTGATACCCTTAGATCTTTAAGTTAAATTAAAATAGGTTCAGCCCAACACATTTATTTCTTCATTACCTAACAAGTACTTTCAAGTTATTATTTCCAATGAATATTGTCATCATCCTTTTCATTTATATATAAATACTCGTTCATAGCAAAATACATTCCCCATCTTTATATATTTATTAAATATATATATATTATTATATATTATATATTTCAAATAAGCAAATCATGTATAAATCTTTCAGTTAACTAATCTACAGAAGCTTTTATTAATTTAACTAAATTTTCCATAATCCTAGTAGTTTCTTAACTTAATTCTTAATAATCAATTTATTTTGGTATTTAAGGTCTTTTCTTTTTATTCTAAATTAATAACTATTCTATTGGAAAATCTTTATGATTTGTTACTTTTTCAATAATATTAAATTAAATTTGAAGTAACTCTTTAATTTCAAGAATTAATAAATTTTATTAAGAAGTTTACATACTTAAATATGACATTTATTAACAGAGATTTTCTAATTCTTACATATCCTTATATACATTATTAAATTCTTATATTTGTTATTTGTAATTATTGATTTCATTATCCTTTTATTATATATTTGAATCTAATTATTAAATCTATTATTTTAATTATTAAATTTAGGTATCTCTATTAACTTAATCTTCATTTGATTATTAGCTTTATTGATTTAATTATCTAGAATATCATTAAAATTAATAATACTTATTCAGATTGGCAATTTAATCATTTAGATTATTAATCAGTAAATTTAATTTGGAATTTTGATTTTTTTCAAATAATAATTGCTCTTAAAGATGATTATTTTATAATTGTAATTATTAGTTTAATTTATTAATTGTATTATTATTATTATTCTCTTTATTTAGTATAGCACTAATATTAATATCCATTTTATTTTCTTTTAATTCTTATTTCTCAACTTTTCCACAATTTTCTGGTTATTCATTTAAAATAGACTTTTTAATAATAAAAATAATTACATACATGATTTCTAATTTTAATTTTCTCTTACATATTGTTAAACTCATCCTAAAATTTTTTTAAGCTTTCCTTTTTTTTTCTATTTTAAAGATAACTCTCTTAAAATTAAGTCTAAATCACATTTTTCTTTTTAGCACTTTAATTTTATTAATTTATCAAAGGAGAACCTATGTAGGCTGGTTATGTTTACTTTCTACTTCTAGCCTCAACATTATACTAAAATAATGGTTACAATTAAACTTACAACATTCAAAAATCCAGATGTAGATGGTACCTCTTGTATTCTATTGGGAGATTTGTAACAACTATTTTCGATATAATGTTTTTTTGCTTCATGAGTTGCTTATGAATTTAAAATGCATGAAATTTGTTTTTGTCTCTTTCTAGTAGTTGTACTCATCTACTTTTATTTTAGTATGTCTTCTAATCTATTGAATAAATCAGCTGATCTTAGAGGTTAGACAGGATCGTGAGTAGCTCTTGAACTAGGAATTGGGAATCGAGATACACTATTGGAACGAGAGTTGTTGATAGAAAATAGAGCTGATTGTTATTATTTAAGGAGTTTTTCATTAGTTAAGTACTCCATTTAATTTTAATTATCATTATATTTATTAACGTATATCCCATTTGGTATATTCTTTAGTAAGTCTTATAATTTATCAATTTCTTCTTTTCTAAATGACACCTATGTTTCTTTACTATCATCATTCACAAATATCCATTCAAATTAGAGTTTCTAATCTAATTCATTATTTTCATAGAAGACTTGATTTTATATTGAATTAGTAATATATATTTTTAGTTAACTCGAACCATTTCAAATAAATGGCAATAATAATTCATGTCATTTTCTATTTATTATTTCATAAATACAATAAACAAATATATGTCTTATACAATTCTACTTAAATTAATTAAAGTTTTGATTAAATAAATGAATATAACAAAAAATCAATTGAGTAAAGATATCCTAATCAATATAATGCTAATGTATAATTATTTAATTATCTTTCAAGTAATTATTAAATTTCTATGATTTCTATTACATTTTGATTTAATGAATAGCAAATTGTCTTTTAATTTAAAGACTGATTTGAGAACTATTACTAGATGAAGTAATCAATACAATTATTTATTCCTTCATAAATTCATTTACTGTTCTAAATGTTCTCGCATAATAATTTCATTTTATTGATATCTTCAAACATCAAATCCAAATAGGATACTATTTATATTTATAATTAATATCCAATATATTTTAATAATAGTTCTTTAATAACTTCATTTTTATTATCATCTTTATCATTAAAAATATCTTCACTTACTTTACGATGAACAATAGATATTAATACACTTTTATTATCTTGAATATCTTATTTAATACTTTAAATATAATCAGCCTTGACTTCTCCTTACAACCAATTATACTCAAAAAAATCTCTAAAACTAATTTTTCTTTTAAAATCTATTGAAACATTTAGAACAGCAACTCCTTCAATTTTGGTGTGATACATGAATCAGGAAATTACAAGTCTCCTTTATTGATTATAGCAATTAAATCAATTATATTTCCACCCTTAGGTAGAATAAATGGAGATATTTTTTAAATCATTTGATAATTAATAACTCCAACTGACATTTCTCATTATATTATTTAATTTATAGAATCTCCGAACCATTATCAATGGAGTATCACAATAAAGATGTTAAATATTAATCGTCTTCCATGTACTTTTCAAATCCAAAATCTGCCAAAGTAATCTAAGCTATTTTATAAATGAACTTACTTAAATAAATTATTTGATACTTTAATTATATTATATACTTAGTATAATATATTAGTTAATTTAAAATCTCTATGTACTATTCTTAACTTGTACATTTATGGTAATGCTAATTATTCAACTATCCTTCTTCTTGTTTCTTCTTCTGTCAATTTCCCATAAGGTGAATACTTTCTAATTTAGTTCAATCAAATAAATACCCTATATTCATCCAAATCTCAATTTTCACAATAACCAAAAACCAAATAATAATGATATTTTGTCCTCTTAAAATCTATTAATTTAATAATATTTGGATGATCAAATTATTTTAAAATTTCGATTTCCTTTTCAATTAATCATAGACACACTCTCATTTCTAATATTTTATTTATTAATCATTTTTATAGCAACATCTTCTTTTCATCCATTAATCTTACCTCGAAATTCTCATTATCCCATATGCTTAATATCGAATACCTGATTCAATTATCCCTAATCAGGCTGTAAGGTCTGACTTTTTTTTAAATACGATGTGATTTAATTAAATTATAAATTAAATATTTATATTATAATCAACCCTTTTTAAGAATTATACCCTTCTATTTCAACTCATCAATTACTCTATAAAAATATTATGGATCTGGATATCCATGTTTTTATGAACCACCTTCTAAACTTGTTTTATGATGAATTCCATTCCAAATTATACAACTCTCCTATCCTGTTGATAGTGATGTTCCTATGGTAAATATTAATTTTTATTGAAAAGCTTGTTTTAGTAAACCAAGTACCTACTGGCCCTCTTAATTGTTAGGTAAATAAGCTATTCTTATTGTTCCTTAATATTTTTTCCCTTATTTTTATCCTGACATAAAAAAATATGTTATTTAAATTGTGTCACAAGTATAACCTTCACAACTTTTCTTTATGATCTATACTTCCATATCTCCATCTGGTTAATCTCCTATCATTTGACCAAATATCTGATTACAAAATGGGCACTTAACAAAATTTTCAGATATCATAGATTATAAACAATCATAATGGATTTAATGAGAACAACTCAGTTATACAACATATTTATCTTGTATTTAATTATTAGTAAAACAAGACTCCAAACATATAGGGCATTGACTGATTTTATCATTTTCTAATACTTAAGTTTAATAAACAATGCTCATATTAAATTTAGCCATATTTTCTTTTATATTATCTTTTAATTCTTATTTGACTTAATATTAATAAGTTGGTTTTGATTAATTATTGGGTTAAGATTATTATTATTACAATTATAAATTATTTTAGAAACTTTTTTTCTAAATCATTTAGTATTATTTATTTTATTCTTATTCCTAATTTCTTTATAATACCCTTAATGTATTATTATCTTATTTATTAGAATAAAAAATATTATCATTTTTTTTTTAGATATATTAAAAATCAGGCTTAGTAAAAATCTATGATTTTTTCTAATCACTCTAAAAGCTCAAATTATATTAAGTCTTCTTTTACACCCTTTCAGTTTATACAACCTATTCATTTACTTATTTTATGTTGTTAGATTCCTTAAATTAATTAATTTGCAATTCTGTGTTTGAATTTAGACTTAAACCATTCAGATTGAAAGAATATAACAAATCTGAATCTAAATTTTCTAGCATTTTTGTATTTGTATCAATTAAATTTGTATTTTTCCAATCTAAGAAATTTTTATCTGAGTTATACTCATTTTCTAGTAATTAGAACACTATTTAAATTCTATTGTTTATTTCTTGTAAAAGAGATTCAATTTTACTGTTTTTCATTATTTTCTCACCCATTTGATTTTATATGAATTCTAATTTTTTAATGTCATCACTCAAAATCTGTTGACTAGTTTTCATTTGATACTTTATAATGATAAAAATCTTTGAATATATTATTTAATATAAAATGGCTTTTGTATTTTAAGCAGAAAGAAATATGCTAAATAAACCTTCTGGAGCACCTCCTAATGTAAAACATATTTAACTGAAATAGGTTGGTCCTGGTAGTTATCTTTCACATGAATAATTCAAAATAAAGTATGGCAATGCTCCATTCGATACACAAGTTACAAGAACTCAACCATTAAGATAAGATAATTCTCCTGGACCTGGAAGTTATAATATCTAAAATGAAGTATAAGGGTACATTATCTTAATCATCTTAGACAAAATATAGTGTTGCAATCTTCATAATCTGATGTAAAGGTAGTTGAGAAACCATAACCTCAGTCAGTATTTGCATCCTAAACTAAACGATTCTAACATCCTAAAACAATGCTCTCTCCTGGGTATTTGCTTATTTTTAAAAGGATTTAAGACCTGGAACATATGATACTAATAATAGCGGAACTAGAGTTATTCAATAATAGTATACATCTTAACATTATATTGAAACTTTAATGAAAATGAATAAATATCAATCAATACCATCTATACCTTCCTCAAATTAAGTATATGGTTATATAGAGAAAGGAAGTAATAATAATTATTTTAATGACTTTTAGCTCATGATTTGGAATTAAACAATTTTCCATTTTAATAATTTACTGGTCTTAAATAAGATTCAGTTGGTCCAGGTTAATATGATGTTAAGGATGCATTTGAATAAAATAAATATAAAGGAAGTTTTTGGCATAAATCCAAAGCTCCAAGATTAGCACCAACAATTTCAAAAGAAAAAGAATTAATGGTAGGACCTGGAACATATGATCCAAATGCATCTGTTGTACCATTGCATAAATTAAATCCATCTGGAAATTTTTAATCTAAATCTCAAAGATTATTTGATTCTACTAAAGAAGAAAAATAAAAATAATTTATGAAAATCTTCTTTGATAAATAAAAAGATATGATTTAAAAGAATGGAGCAAATTATTTAGAAGATGATGAATATATATTTTGTGATGTATACAATTTTATTATAAATTTCAAGGATACAACCCCAGGACCAGGATAATATTTAGGAAATACTTCAAATCAATCAGCTATTTCAACTAATACACAATCTACTACTAAAATGGGAAAAAATTGTTTTGGATCTAAAAGTAGAAGATTTCAAGAAAAAAAAATGCCTTGTTATGTAGGTCCTGGAGATTATGAATTAGAAAAAGATATGATAAAGGAAGTTATATCATAAAAGTAACCTCCTTTTCAATCTACTAATTTACGTTTTGAAGTTAAAGGATAAGAAAAGCGTCCAGGACCATAAACTTATAATCCAAAAATTACAGTAATTTATATTATCATATAGTTAGTTGGAGGATAAATTAACCAAGAAATTAGAAAGAGCCCCTGTTGGTAATTTTGGATCAAATTAATAGAGATTTAAACCATAAGAAGATGAAGTTCCAGGTCCAGGAACATATAATTAAAACAATAAGAAAGTTAAAGGAATTGCATCTGTGTTTACTTCAAAAACTAAAAGAGCAGATGCAGCCTCTATTCCTAAAGATAATTTCCCTGCTCCAGGTGCATATGATGTTAAAAATTATACTATTGAATAAACAACAAAAATTGAAAAAGAGGAGGATCCTGATTTGGCTATTTATAAACCAGCATTTGGATCATCTTTACCAAGATTCATGCATAAAGAAAAGAAAGCAATAGATGAAATAGAAGATGAACAAGAAGATGAATAAATAAGAATGCATAATAGTTCATCATTGTTTTAGAAAAAAAAAAATCCACATCCACCTTTTAATATTAAAGTAATATATATATTGATTAAATTTAATTAGGAAAATAGATTTAATTATGAAAAAAAAGATGATTAATTACCTGGTCCAGGTGAGTATTTTGATCCAAAAGAAAATGCCTGGAATAAATCTACTTTTAATATTTTATTCTAAGAAATATGATAATTTTTATCTAATATTCATTATAAAAACATTTTTGTAATTAAAATATTTAATGTTATCACTCTTTTTATAAAATGAATAATTACTAAGTTTTATTTATATATTTAATTGAAACTAAATAAATATATCTAGTTTATTAGAAAATGTATTAATTATGAAAAAAACACTTTACATAACAGTTTTTCTTACTACACTATATGTGAATTAACAAACTAATTAAATTATATTATAATAAAATTGTTACTCATTTATATATTTAATACAAAAAATAAATGAGCTAATTCATTGTTATTGATTCTCTAATGATGCTAGAGAATCCCACTCGATTATTGTTTCATCGATATTATCGATTCTATCCTATAATTAATGATCCATAAATTTAGACAATGATACATACAAGGGACGAACAAAGAATTTATAAAAACCTATTTCTGATTTTGATAGAACAGATATCTAAATAAAAATAAATTAAATACTTTCTGTAAATCTTTCATAAATGGTTATTAAGGTAATCCTAATCTTCCTTCCTCTTCAAATTATGCTTAAAATTCTTGATTAACTCTTAAGGACCATTATTTAGAAATAGGCCATTTTGCAGATGCTCCTGCAAAGTCAGAAGTATGAATGATCATACCAGTTATAATTTTTATATCTTTTTCATTATTTGCTTCAAAAAATTTGAGTAAATTGAAATGTTCTTATTTATCAGTAAATATAATATTCTGAATGAATTTTTCTCTAAATTACCTAAAATCTATATTCTTTAAGAAATTCATTCTCTCTTTTAATAATAATTTGAGTGCAGTAGCAGCATGGTATTATTCTAATACATTTTTATCATGATATCTAATAGCTTTTTCAGAAAAATTATTGATTTCAAATATATTTGTTCTACCTGTATGACCTACATCATGACATAATGCACTTAAGATTAAGGATAGTTTAGTTAATTAATCAAAGAGTACCTTGTGTTGTGGTTAATTGATCATTTTATTCATTATAACATGACAACTATGCATAACATTAACTCCATGATTATAATTATGAAATGGATTTCTACGTTTATCATATCTATATTCTAATTCACCTAAAAATTCACATAATCTTGTTTTATCAATCTCAAATATCTCATTAAAATTATTTCTTTTCAATATTTAATAAACTATTCTTTNAATGTTATCACTCTTTTTATAAAATGAATAATTACTAAGTTTTATTTATATATTTAATTGAAACTAAATAAATATATCTAGTTTATTAGAAAATGTATTAATTATGAAAAAAACACTTTACATAACAGTTTTTCTTACTACACTATATGTGAATTAACAAACTAATTAAATTATATTATAATAAAATTGTTACTCATTTATATATTTAATACAAAAAATAAATGAGCTAATTCATTGTTATTGATTCTCTAATGATGCTAGAGAATCCCACTCGATTATTGTTTCATCGATATTATCGATTCTATCCTATAATTAATGATCCATAAATTTAGACAATGATACATACAAGGGACGAACAAAGAATTTATAAAAACCTATTTCTGATTTTGATAGAACAGATATCTAAATAAAAATAAATTAAATACTTTCTGTAAATCTTTCATAAATGGTTATTAAGGTAATCCTAATCTTCCTTCCTCTTCAAATTATGCTTAAAATTCTTGATTAACTCTTAAGGACCATTATTTAGAAATAGGCCATTTTGCAGATGCTCCTGCAAAGTCAGAAGTATGAATGATCATACCAGTTATAATTTTTATATCTTTTTCATTATTTGCTTCAAAAAATTTGAGTAAATTGAAATGTTCTTATTTATCAGTAAATATAATATTCTGAATGAATTTTTCTCTAAATTACCTAAAATCTATATTCTTTAAGAAATTCATTCTCTCTTTTAATAATAATTTGAGTGCAGTAGCAGCATGGTATTATTCTAATACATTTTTATCATGATATCTAATAGCTTTTTCAGAAAAATTATTGATTTCAAATATATTTGTTCTACCTGTATGACCTACATCATGACATAATGCACTTAAGATTAAGGATAGTTTAGTTAATTAATCAAAGAGTACCTTGTGTTGTGGTTAATTGATCATTTTATTCATTATAACATGACAACTATGCATAACATTAACTCCATGATTATAATTATGAAATGGATTTCTACGTTTATCATATCTATATTCTAATTCACCTAAAAATTCACATAATCTTGTTTTATCAATCTCAAATATCTCATTAAAATTATTTCTTTTCAATATTTAATAAACTATTCTTTATTTTTCTATAGAATTATTTTCTATTTTGAATATATTAAAATCAAAATTATCAATCTAATCAATAAAAATTGGTTCTTATTCAAGATTCTCTACATCAATTAAATTTATTTAGATAGTATCAATAAATCCATTAATCATACTCTTTTTCTTTTTATGTATTATTCCAGGAACTTAAACTTATTATGGAATATAAAAAGATAATATTGTATCTTTTATTTCTGGATTATTTTATTCTAAATTTGATAAGTATTAAGTAGCTTCTTATCTTAATTTTATTTTTTTGGTTTCCGTTTCTAAACTTCTTGTTTATAAGAATCCTTCTGAAAATATAATTGCAAAACCCTTAAATTTTTTATTTCTGGCTTTCATAAAAATTTCATACAATTAATCTGTTTATTATATATTCCATTTATTATCCAAATGTTATTCTATTACTCTCAATAACATTTCATTCTTTATAATTTGATAATAATGTCCTCTGGGACAATAGCTTAATTAAAATTCTCTACTTAAAGATGGAGGAATTGGTCTTGATAAAAAAGCCAATTTGCCCTCTTTATCGAATTCTAACATAATTGAATCTTTTGATTTAATAAAATATTTATAAAATATGATTCTATCGTAACTTAATTCTATAAACTTTAAGTATTTTGTGTAAAGATTAGTAATAGTCTTATATATCTATAAGTCATCTTTCTTATTTAGATTTAATCCTATAACAGTAATTTCCAAAGGCAATATATCTTTAAATTATATTTTAGCAATTTTAGCCTATTTACAAGTAGGTGAAAGATTGGTACTTGAAATGGATGTAAATGATCCTTAACTTTCAGTATCTGTTTTTTCAATTGTATATTTAGTACGCAACAAATTAATAATTTGATTAATAAATAAATATTTACTACATCTAACAAATTCTACTCCTACATCAATTATCATATTCCCTATTTAAATAGGGCTAATCAATTAAACTCTTGCTTCAATAGTTGCTTTAGATATTAATTTACTTAATATTTGAATCTCATTGAGACATTTATATTCTAATGTTAAATTTAACAGAGTATCCCTAATTTATTTTTGATGATAGAAGAAACACTCATCCTATATTCTAATAGTATAAGTTCTACTATATTAAGAGAACATTTAAGAGAGTTTTGTTTGATTTTCTGTGAGGAGATTAACATTTGTGGTTACAGATATTAAATCTTGTAAATAATCATCTGATTCAAAAATATTAAAAGAATTTTTGGTTGAATCATATATTCCATACTATGGATTAATAAATGTGAATTCATCACAATTTAATAGATTCTAAATAAGTTTTGAAGTAACCGAAACAATATTATCATTAATTAACAAAGAATGTGTATTCAGAAATTGATTCTTCAATTATTTATAATATGATTCGATTTCTTCAGCAATATTTTATTCTTAAAGTAAGATGAGGGATGCCTATGGACTTTTGCTAGATAATTTAGATATAAATTGAGTCAATGACTTTAAATGATCCTACACTAAATATGTAAGTGAGCTTGATCTTGATTAATAAACTTCAACAAGTGCTTCTCGAAGTTTAGTAATGTAAGTAATCAATTCTTCTTCTGTAATTTTGCTTTCTTTAGAAAAGGCACTCTTTCGACCAATGGTAGGACTAGATTCAGATAATAATGACTTTCTTCTTAGGCCAGGTGAATTGGCCAATTTAATAATTTAATGTTTAGATTTCACATATTCAATTAATTATTATTTAAAGTCTTCTTTCTCCATGTCTTATTATTAAAGTCTATTTCATACCCTCTATCAAATATAATATGTCTTCATTATTAGTATTGAATTCAGTTTTAAGTTTATTCTTTTCTTTAAAATTAATTTCTCCTTATTCATACAACTCTTAGACAACCTTATGAAAATTGATACATCTTCTCAAAGTCTGGCTGATTTACATTTGTTTTATAATAAATTATAAAATATTATATAAAATAAAACATTAACTGAAGAAAATCCTAAAAAAAAAAAAAAGATTACAAAAGGAATATGTACTATTATTATATTATCAAAGCCTAATCAAAAAGCACTATCCCATTCTGCATCCTTTGCACTAGCCAATACTTTCTTCTATCCTTAAGTATCCTTTTAAATTTAATCATGAACCAAAACTCCACGCTATTAACCAGCCTAAATCTATGCTGGAGTCATAATTTTATCCTTTCCAGGCAATAATGGAGCCTTTAATGATTTACTCATTAATTTTTCCTATAAATAATATTAACATTTTTTACCCAATCAAAATCTTTGAACCAAGCATGAGATTTCAAAGTTGTATATGAACCTCCTAATCTAACTTCTGGGATCTTATTCATCAATTATTCAATAAAAGTTTTAGCTGATTTATCAGACATAAAATGTGGATAGCTGATAGGTTTCTTAATGATTTCCTTATAAATTTCAAAAGGATCTTCTGCTTCTTCACCAAAAGGTAAACCACCACATATAAATTCATAAAGACAAACTCCAACACTCCATAAATCTGCAAAGTAACCATATCCTTTTCCAGATATTACTTCTGGTGCCATATAATGAGGTGTTCCTATAATTGTAAATGTCTTTGAAGATTCTATAATAATAATAATTATTATTTTTACATTGATTCTTAAATGATTTAGCTGTACCCATATCAATTAACTTCAAGAATCCCTTATCATCAACCATAATATTTTCTGGTTTAATATCTCTGTAAACAATACTATGTTATGTATGTAAATATTCCATTTACAATAACATTTAAGAAGCATAAAATTATGCATCATATTTACTCAATAATCCTATAATCAATTTAATAATATTACCAATAACTCTAATGGCATCAAATAATTCCATTCCTGGAATGTATTCTGTCAAAAAATAAATATTTTCATTGTCTTTATAGGATCTGTAAAATTTAAGAATAAATGGATGATCCATTAATTCTAGTACAGCCTTTTCTTATTAAATGTGTTTTTGGATTCCAAATTATTAAACATGTGCTCTAGTAACATACTTCAAAGCAAACAAAGTCTCCAATTCCTTAAATTTACATAAATAAACAGAACCAAATTAACCAGATCCTAATTTATTTAAATATATTAAATTTTTAAATGGTTGACTTTTGATTTATTCCTCATATGCATTTACTTTTTCTGATTACTAAGCCTTTCCTTATTAAATTTTTTCAACACTTCCTTATGCCTTTCTAAATGATTCATAATCTATAATAGCAACATGTCCATCCACTTCAATTGTATATGTTTTCACATGAGAAGATCCTTATAATTTATCCTATAATGTATCTTCTACTAAAATTGATCCCTTAACAACTTTTGCATTGTTCTCATCAACAGCATCAACATCAAGAAGGATAACTAATTATCCAACTTTATCTCCCTTTGTAATTACTTTAGAATTTGCAACTAATTTCTTAATTTGTACTCCCTCAAGTAATTTATCTTAATAAGTAGATTATGTCTTGCTAAATAATTTAGATGAATTCAAAGCCCATTTACATATATTTTTGTAAATAATAGATTGTACTTAATCACCTAAAATTTATTAAATCATATCTTTTCCTAAAGCCAAAACCTTTGTATCCTTTTATATTGCCTTAATGGTCATCATTCTAACTTAATTCTCATGTTTGAGTGCTGATTCACCAAAAGAATCACTAGGATTCAAAACTGCTATTTATTAACCATCTTTATTAAAAACTCCACATTAACCCTCTACTATAATATAAAATGAACTGGCCTAATCTCCTTCATTTACTATGATCTCCCCTTAATTAAATTTTTAAGATATGAGCACACCAGCTACAGCATCCTTCTATTCTCTTGTTAATTAATCTATTTAAATATTTCACATTATAATATTACTAAAAAATTTAACACTCTCTAAATATTTTCTATTTTTCTCTTATTCACTTCTCATAATGGTTTCTATACTCTTTCTAAATGTATGTCTGTCAATTCCCCATAGAAAACATTCTTCCACTGCCATACATGTGGCAGATCTAGGAGCATTATATAATAATGCTAATTCACCAAACCCAAATCCTGATGTCAATTCTTTACGTGGTACATTATCCACCAAGACATTAATTTTTCCCTTCTAAATTATGAAGAAAGAGCTAGCTCCATCACCTTATTTGATAATTGCTTCTCCTGCTTGTAATCTGCAATAGAACATACTATGTGCTAATTATGTTCTAAAGATAACATAATGTATTACAATTATGTTTCAGTCATTGAGCTAAATACAAAATGACTTTAAAAGCATTTTATGATGAATTTAATATCTTCAAGAGTCTATGCTTTCTGTTCTGGGTGAAATGTTTCATATATTTGAGCCATTCCGCTCTCCTGAGTGGGCCTAATTGCAACATTACGTTTAGACACTCTTCGAATCAAAGAAGCTGGTGGTTATCCTTATTATTGTTGCTACTAAACACTCTTGTCAATTCCGAATTCTTAAACAGAAGACTTTTATATCCAATGGTTTTGATCCATAAATTTAATATAAAAAGGCAATATTAATATCTATTTATAAATCAGATATTTTTGTGCCTTGAATAATCTTCAGTTAATTAATTCTTTTTAAACCAATTAAATCCTTGTTTTCAGATTTCCTTTATTATATACTATTTTACCCGCTTTATTCAATTTTATTATCAAAACTATATCTATTTCAAATTATTTAATAATTATTTGTCATTTAAATTAATAATAAATAGATTATTAACTTAAGCTAACTATTTTTCTGATTTCCAAACTAAATTAATTGGCTTTACATTTCATATTAGGAATTATTATAAAATTATTAAGCTTAAACAAGTCAAAAAATCAGAAAGGAATTGATTATTAACCAAAATTCTCATTTATATATTATTTCATTATTGTTGAATTTTATTAAAAAATCTCACATATTAAAATATAATAATAGAAAAGAATTTATACTTTGAATATAATTTCAAGATAAATTAAAATTAGAAGTATAGTAAAAAAAAGAAGAGAAAGAAATTTTTAAAATACATTTTTAATATTTGATTCTGATTAAATGATGGAATTTTAAGGATTATGAATTATTGTAATAACTAATAAAAATTTTGTTTTAAAAAAAATATATTAGATATCCTCCAGTCACTCAAAATTATAATGCTTTTAATTTAGCATCTCTATTTAAATGAGTTTTCACATTTTCAGAGTTTATCCAACTGATCTAACTAAGTAGTTTTTAGAATAACTATATAAATTTTGTAGAAAAATGTAAATTTTCTTCTAAGCAAGGTTACAATACTTATATAGGGTAGAATTAAAAAACTATAATCGGAATTATATATTTAATAATTAATTAAAGAAACAAACATTATTTATATTAATATTCATTAAAAATTGATTAATTATTTTACCTGAATTATCATCATTCCAAATTTATTCTAAGAAATTGAAAATAGTCAAATTGGATCATTTATAATATATTAATGATAATATATATTGAGAATCTATTATTTTAAGCTGAATAAACCAAATTAATACTTAATTGAAATATTTTTGAATAACACATTAATAAAAATTAAAGATTAAATACTATTTAGAATAAGTGATATTATACAATTAATATGGATTTCTAAATGAAGAAATATTTTTAATAAGGAAATATTTAAGTTGGTTTCCTATGGACTCTCACATAAAGTATTTAATGTCTTATGTGTAAATGCTTCTTTTAATAAAAACTTAATTTAGAATATATATATTATTAACTATTTAATAATATATATATTATCCGTTAAATTAATGAATTCTCCAAGAGCAGAGACCCTTGATCAAGAACTGAGTGAAGCTATTAATAAGATATACAACGGTTGCTAAAAAATCAATGCAAAACATCTGAAGATTAGAATATTGTAATGGCTAGATAAAGTGAGAACTCCAACACATAATTTTATATGGAAATAGAATTCTTTACTATATGCACGTGTTCTTCTAGAAATGACTCTAGAATAATAATTAGATAAGCCATTTCGAGGTGTACCACCAGATGGTCCATTACCTCGATTGGACAAATTCGATGTCGTAATATGATCAATCTTATTCCAAAAGCCTTAACATATATGGTAGAAAATCAAATAAATAAATATCCAATAGCCTATGTCCCCTAGAAAACCTTTAGGCATGCTTACCAATAGGAATTTCACTCCAAAATTAAAAACTGAACCAACACAATACAAATCGAATAAGTTTCATAATAGCTAAAAATCTCAAAAGTGGGATTAGATCAAAGAAACATTGGAAGGAGCAAATAGAAACATGAAAGAGTTTAAACAATTCTTAGAAAATATTCAAACTGAAAAACTATTTGTGTGATTATTATTATTAATAATTACTAATTATTATAGTGATTTGTATTAAAAGAAATGGATGATAAATTATAATTAGTTATTATCTATAGAGTATATATATATAAATATGAATTTAGATGTAATTTTGATTATAAAAATGAATTTATATTATATTTAACAACTTTTTCAAAGTAAATGATACCTCCATTTACACCAGATGCGCGTAATTTGGGTGGTAGAAACATGATATCTTAATAAATTTGGAATCATTTATAATAGTTAAAAGAAATATCATAACAAATACCACAGATTTTAATATCACCAAGAAAACTTCCAAATTCACCTAAACAAAGTATAGAACCTATAAATTACAAAAGAGTCAATAGAAAATAAGATTATTTACTTTATCCAACATATTTGTTTAGACGTAAAACTATTTCTGAAAGCTTCACATCATTGAGTCCTAAAAATATTCGTGATGAAACCTAATTACTGTTTCAAGAACCTCTTCTAAGAAGATAGAAAAATCTAAAATCTCCTCAAAAGATATTTCCATTTAGTACTATTCAATTGGGAACTTTATATAAAATCAAAGCTAATGAAATAAAAATGAATAAAAAGAATGATCAAATGTGAGTTAATTACTCTATAATTTCTAGACCTTGGTATCAAGTAGAGATGACAGTAAAGGATTTTAACATATAATATGAAGATTTGTTGAATGAAATCTAATAAGTAATCTTAGATTTTGGAATCTATAGTGCATCTGATTATCAAATCTTAATACATATGATTTTGAGACTTAAACCCTAGATACCTAAAATGGACTTACTAAATATTTTTAATGAATTGATTATTAAGTAATAATTATAACTGTCTTGAAAATTTAATTAATGTCAACAGATTAAAATAATAATATGATAGTATTATTATTCTCAAACCAACAACCATCATTAAAATTAAATAATGATATTTTCCTTTTACTTTAAATTATTATGTTTATATCAATTGATAAATTTAAAATATTTTGATTTCTTAAAAAACTTTGTTAAAATATATATCTCCTTATACTGAAGATATTTAATGGAAGTATATTTATCATTATATATATTAATTAAATAGATAAATTATAATAACATCATATACATCTTAATTTCTTTCCATTGTAATTCAAATTACTAAATACTTCAAGTTCATTCATAATTTTAAGATGATTACTAAAATACTTGGATTCTTGTTCTATTTATTATTTTATTATTTAAAATTGATTACTGTGAACCATAAAATTAATTTCATCTACTAATTAATGTCTATGTTATTCAATGAGTTTTAGATCTTATAATAATATATCTTCCCATAATATTGTTGTTGCTGGTTTAACATAATCATAATGAATAGTAGGTAAATAAGTAAAAGTTACTTTATTTGCATTTTCAATTAATTTAATATTAAATTAATATCTTTTTGATAAATGTTCTCTTATTTGAGGACAATAAAAGAATTACCCTTATAAAGTAGTACTTTTCATAGACTATTATAATTTACCATCTTCATAATAGATAAATTCGAAAATATATGGAAATGGTTACTCTAATGCTAAAATATCAATGAGAAATATCTTAACAATAGAAGGTTTAGTTGAATAATAAGATTTATCATAAGAAGTTTACTGGAATTAAAAATGTTTCTCCTTTTTTAATAAAAAATTAAATTTAACAAGAGGGAATACTGATTTAGTGAAATCTTCATTTGACAATTTAGTTTCTAAATTTCTTATACAACATGCTATTATGATATCCTTTTATTATTTTTAAAATTATAGATTCTAAACTTTATCAATATCACCATCATAAACATATTCTTTATATAATTCATATATTTCTTGTTTATTCTAAATGAATCTTAAATCATTGAATATAACTCTAATTTTATTTTTGTAAAGTTAAAAATTTTTGACTAAAAATTTTAATTGAGATTCTATAAAATAATCTTCCTTTGTATCTGGAAAGAGTTTATCTTTTTTATCACTCATAAATTAATCATATTCTTCTTGAAGATATTGAGGTATATTAGATTACATTTCAAAAGGAATGATTTAATTTTATTCACACCATAATTTAACTGCAGGAATTCTATAAACAAATCTTAAGAATGTAATTTTTTATCTTAATCTAATAACATTGCTATGATCTTTATCTTATTTTAATTTATCCAATCTACCTGCAATTCTAGTATGATACAATATTTCTGATAGTTCAATTTGTTTTACCCAACAATATGATAATAATATCCTTTATAGATAATATAATCCATTTGCTTTATTTGGTGATAATTTTATTGTTTCAAGTCCATTACAAAATTCTTATAATTATTATAAGATTTTTGTAGATTATTATGTAAATTCATCATTCTTTTAAGATATCTCTCCTTATTTATCTAATAATTTGATAAGTTAAGTTTTTTTCAAACGGAAAAAGATTTCATTTAATTCATTTTTTAATTATTGTCTCTATTGCCAAATGATAGTTAACAATTAATAAAGAATTTCTTTAAGCTTACATTCTTAAGGTAATTCCTTATTCCATTAAGATTCTTTTATATTAAACAACATAAGATACCAATTGATACCATCTAATAAGGAATCTTCTACCATTAATGTAAGTTTGTATTATTTATCTTTTACATTTTAGGTTTTAATGAAATTAATGATAAAAGGAATGGATTTAGATATTCTAATAATACATAATAGTTTTTTTTTGACTTCAATTAATATTTCTCTATTTTTTTCTACTTCTTCATCTTCTTTAACTTTTTAATATTTGATTCTGTCTTAAAATTAAGTACGAGGTTCTGTTTTTTTCTTAATTTTCAAATTAATTCTTTATGCTTAATTGTAGAAAGAATTAATTAATTATTTTGTTTCTTGAAATTCAGGGGAGACTTATAGTATTTCATTTTGTTATTGACATTATTTTTTAAGATCATCAAAGATTTAAGTTGTAAATAATTCAGTATTTGTAATAGCTAATTTAGGATTTAGAAACCAAGCTTACATTTATTGTAAATTGGATGCTCTATCATTAGTTGATAATTGATGAAATGAAGTGGATTCATCTTCATTCATGGTTTCTATATTTTATAATTGTAAATGATTACATACCAATTTTTATAGATCCAAATGAATTCAATGATTATTATATAATTATTAATATGATGATTGTTTATTTAATATTTTTATGCTAAAGTACACTTTGTATGATTGATAAATGTTTAGAACATCAAAATTATTAGGAATGCATTTCAAGTGAATAAGTTTATTGTAAATATCTTATTTAAATTAGGTATGTGGGATTATGTATTTGAATAATGTAATCAAAGTGATAATTACTTAATTGGATGTAATATCTACATAAATAAAATTGGGTGCATATCATAATTGGGATCTAGTATAGCTAATGTTATATACTGTATTAAAATGTGTTAATGAAAGGCAAGTTTGATGGTAGATGTTAATAAATTAATGATTTGGAGAAAGAATAATGCTAGAATAATCTAAATAGATATGGATGTTTAGCCATAAGGAATCCATATACAATTTGTAAATGGGAGAAGAATTAATGTATGAGTGTAACAGGAGAAGATATAAATAAAATATAAGAGAACTTTAATGTTGTATATTATAGTAGTAATGCTTGTTAATATATAACTAATTATTTGGTTATTCATCATACTGTATTATGGGAATTGTTATCTTATTAACCAGATTTAGAAGAAGAAGTAAATTAATATATTTTGAATTCAACAAAAAATATAGATTAAGATTTAAGTTTATTATAAAATAGTTATTCCAGAAATTAAATATTCAAATAATTCATATTTGGAAATAAGTATTAAATAGAAACTAACAGATATCGATTAGGATGCAATGCTATTGATATTAGAGATGATGATGATTTTAATATTTTGATAAATATGTCTTAAGATACTTTTGGAGTTAATCATCTTTATTGCAAATATATTGAAAAAAAAATAAATTACATTATATTTTTAGATGGTAGATGTTAATAAGTGTATCCAACAATATTGGCTACTACATCATTTATTGATGATAATTAAATATAATGTAAATAATTAAGTTATTCATTATGTTCAATTTATAAATCAAAAATTAGAAAGTGTTATATTCCAAATATAAATGATGAATACACATGTGTAGAAGGAGAATCAAAATTAGATTTGAATTCTGATTGCATGTTATAACATAATTTAGAACCATATTATAGATGTGAATAAATAAAGTATTGTTATTTTGATATAAATAAACAATATTGTTCTGACTTTTGTTATAATAGAAAGAAGAGAACAGATTGTTTATCAAGTGGAAGTTGTTTATGGTCAGGAGTTGATGAAAATGAATAGAATGGTTTATTATCATGTATGCCTTTATATAGATGTAATCAATTAGGATTAGATATTAATTATTGTAAATATTTATAAGATTATTGTGATTGGCAAAATGGTAAATGTTTTTAAATGAATGAAAAATATGCATTTACATTAACATGTGAATAAGCATTTAATAAATATGTATGTTTGAATGTGTAGAAATCAGATTAACTGTGTATTTGGTATAATGAAAAATGTATAAATTTTATTGATTATGAATTCAAATACTTATATAATACATTACCATTTGTGTATTAGATGAATAGGAATATGTGTATAAATTTTAGAATGGATAATTGTATATAATATTTATTATAATATTTTAGTTATGTTTGATCCTATTAATTATTAATGTGTTTATTAAATCAAATTATAAATTAATTGTAATAATAGAATGATCAACAAATATCATTGTTATAATATTGTTAATGATCTATGTAAATGGGATGATTATTTGAATTAGTGTATATCTATTCCCAATAGTAACACCTATTATTGCAACTAATTAAGTAATGTTTCTTTTAGAGTATGTCTAAATGCAAAGGTAATGAATCCTTAAAACAATTGTTTGTATAATTGGGATTCATACTCTTGTTATGAGGGTTCAAGTCAAGACAATCTTATATAATAGGAGAGTGATTGTTATAATGTGAATATTGTTAAGTAATTCAGATAATGGAATCAAGGAAAGTGTGTAGAATTATCTCTATCAGATGTGAATAGTATATAATGTATATCATGGAGAAATGTAAATCGAAATGTTTGTATAATGAATATATTCAATAATTAACCTTGCATATATGATGAAAAATTAAAATTATGTTACAATGATATTATTATAAACAATTGTTCATAAAATTTGAATCAATTTGCATGTTTACAATCTACTAGTAAGTGTTACTATGATATTTTGAATGATTAATGTAAAGATGCTAGTTAAGATATGTTAAAAGAGTTAAGTTGTAATGCTTATGTATCAAAATTAGCATGTCAAAATATTGAGACTTAACATTAGAAATGTATGTGGGATAGTTATTTTTATGAATGTAAATACTATGATTAAGTATTTCAATATTGTGATTAATTTTCACTTAATCGATAAGCTTGTACATCATAAAAAGCATCAACTTCTATTTAATATCACTTTTACAATTATTGTTAATTCAATTAGGATACATTAAATTGTGATGTTAATAATGATAGTTTAAATGATTGTGGTACTAATCTATCAATAAATATTCACAGATGTATATAATATACAACTGGAACATGTTTATTTGATTAGAATAAATGTTTTGATGTATCAAATACATAGAGTAGATTAGATTAATTATACTTGAATGAACTTATTTGTGAATAAGCTAATTCTGATGCTTGTAGATTAATCACTAATCCATCTTAAGGATGCAAATTCACTACTCTATCAAGATTCGATTATATAGATACTAGATGTGTTAATTAAGAATTTAACAAATCTACTTGTGCATAGAGTACAATAACTAATTTAACAAATAAAGTAATTTGTAGTAAAGCAACAGATAATTGTTATTTTTCATCAACTATTGGTAAATGTTAGGCTTATACATTAACATCTCCTGCTTATTGTAATACTCCATCTATTTCATTAATTGGTTGTATTTAAGTTACAGTTGGATAATGCATCTTTTAATAAGATTAATGTTAATATTATACAGATCATAATACAGCTGCATGTGAATTAAGGAATTATTAAGCATGTATTACTAGTAATTATTTAAAATGTGTATATAATTCCACTCTTAAAAAATGTTTATAATAAAACTTTGATTGTACCAAAAGAATAGATTCAATATATACATATTCTTGGTCTACATGTTCAATGAGTACATAAGATTGTTATGGATTTAATTCATAATGTATTTTAGGTCATATCAATAATGTACCTTGTGATCTTCCAGGATTATCTTAGAGTGTTTGCAAATCTTTGAATATATATTGTGAGTTCTTTAATGGTTATTGTTAATATTAAATAATTCGATCATGTAATGAAATCATAGATAAGGATGAATGTGTTAATAATAAAATAAAAGAATAATATTGTGTATTTCACAATAATATGTGTTTTAATATAATAGATATTGATATCTATTAATGTAATTAATTTGATTATACTTCATTTCATTTTTGTAAAAGATATCCTCATTGTTCTTATGATTTTAATACAAACAAATGTTAAATTATGGAGATTCCTAATAGTCTTAATTGTTTAGATGATAATTCCAATGATATCTTATACTAGTATATAAATAATGAATGTGTGTAGATCTAATCAAATATACCAAATTGTTTAAGTATCTAAAATATTTAAATCAATTATAATCTTTGTTAACTTATAAGTGATAATGATAATAATCAATGTGCTTATGATTTTAATACTCATCTTTGTAAACTTACATATTATTCTTATTTTAAAGATTGCTCAGAAATCTTAACTGAAATCTAATGTATTTTTGCTAATTTAATATGCTATGCTAATTATGTTAATACTGTTTATCATTCGTGCACATCATTATCATAATAGACTTCAAGTAAAATTAATAGATATGGATGTATTCATAATGAAATTGGATCCTATCTTTTTAATAATGATGATTGGACTTGTACTTCAGTTTCACTTAAAACTGATAACTTGAAATTATTGTAATTTACAAATTAATTGAATGAGAAGGCATGTTATTTATTAGGATCAGCCTATTCACCTAATCTTTATTTGAGATGGTAAAATAAAGAATGTGTTAAATTAACATTTAAATAAGCAATTAATTTATCTACATGTATTAATCTTAATAAAAATGCTTGTTTGGCTGTATCTAAATTAAATTGTTTATGGAATATAAATGATAATGTATGTTAAGAAGATATAACAACATAATTTGAAGTTATCAATTGCGAAGCCTAAATTACTTCAAATTCAAATTAATTAAATTCACAAGGTCTATGTTCCAAAATAAGTGGTTTAAGATGTATCTAAAAATCTACTTATTAAGGATGTGAATCTTTATCTACAACTACATACAAATCTTTATTTAAATGTACTGGTCTAGGTTTGAATAGAGAAGCTTGTTTAATGGAAACCAAACTTACTTATTGTTATTGGAGAAATGGAATATGTGATGATGCTAATTTTGTATTATAGAAATGTGATGATGATGTTTCAGAATATACATGTAAAAATATTACTAGATAATTTTGCTAATGGACCAATTCAAAATGTTCAATAAAAATAGAAGATTTCTCTAAATGTGAACTATCTAATGGATATTTTGCTTTTTGTTTAAACAATTAGAATCTAAAATGTAAATATAACAAATAAATTAATTAATGTGAAAGTTTTACATATACTCCTCTTGAATGTGACAATACATATAGTAAATTTGCATGTCGTAATGTCATAAATAAAACATGTGAATGGAATAATAATCAATGTTAAGAATTAATAAATATTACATCTTGTTTTTCTATTTTTAATTAACAATCTTGTTTATTAAATGATAGATACAGTTGTATTTGGGATATAAATAAAGGTTGTTTAGAATTTATTACAGATCAAAAAGTTAATTTCTTTAATTTACCAATATTAGCTAATAAACATGTCTGCATTAATTATTCAATACAAGAAACTACATATACATCATAATTTAAATGTACAAATATTCTAAATTATAATTAAATTAAAGATAAATCTTCAATCAATTTAGGTGATCCAATTGATTATATCAAATGTTAGAATTAAATTACTATACAAAATTGTCTCTAAATACATACACCAAATACTTATTGTTAATGGATTAATAATTAATGCATAGATATCAAAGATAATTCTATATTTTCTAGTCTATCTTGTAATAATGATATTAATATTTGGACTTGTCTTAGAATTATTACTCCATCTTAAAATTGCAAATGGTCTAATTAAAAATGTTTAAACTTTTAAGAAAATGATTAATAAATGATAAACATTAATATTAATGTTTGTATTAATTTCTCTTAGAATATGGTTTATATGAATAATTCTTGTATTCTATAAGATGATATACATTGTGATTCTATGGGTGTTAGTAGATTTACATGTGTAAATAATTAGAATTATGCATGTTAATACATTAATAATTAATGTGTTGATTTTTAAATCTAATCTTAATATACACAATGTAGTGAAATTATTAATGTATCTATAAAGGCTTGTTCAATGATACCTAATCTTAAATGTTAATATGGTAATTATAATAATTGTGTAAATTACTTTGATAATACATAATTAATAGGTATTACTAAGTTTGCTTGTCTTAATAAAAGTGGTTATTATTATTGGTAATCTAATTAATGTAAAAAATTAATTGATATAAATATTGTTTGTGATGATGATATTTAAGTCACTCGATAATCATGTGTATTAATTAAAGATAAATTATGTCTTTTTAATATTACCAATTATACTTGTACTAGTATTTATAATCCACATTAATTAAATTGTTCTACTATTGGATTAAATAAATAGGGATGTATGAAAGTGTTATATGAACCATGTATATTCAAAGATAATTAATGTTAATATTTTGATAATTTCTAATAATCTTATACTTCTTTAAAGAATGTAAATTAACTTACATGTAGAATGTTAATTAATGATTATGTAGAATATAATGAAATAGAAAATAAATGTATTTATTAATTAACCAAAACTAAATGTGGTAATTTAAATATTAATGCATGTTAATAACTTTCTTATTGTTTTTGGAATCATGACTTTTAAAATTGTGGATGTACTTTATCTACTGAATCTTGTTATAATTTAAGTAAAAATGATTGTTAAAAATAGAATTCATGCAAATATTAAAAAAATATTTGTTTATTAAAATAATGTTATCATTTATCAGAAAATTAATGTGAAGGTTAAATTTTAAATAATTTAAAATGTTACTTAAATAAATTTAAATAATGTACTTAAGCTAGTAAATGTGAAGATATTATTGATTCTTATGATTGTTAAAATATCTATTTTAATGGAATTGCATGTTTATAAATTATAAATAAAAGTTAATGTTACTCATATAATAATTTTGAATTAATATGTAAATATTCAACTTCTTGTTTAAATTAATATTGTATTTTTGATGAATTTTGCAGATTAAAATAATGTATAGATATAAAAGAATAATAAGAATGTGAATTTACAAAGAATTGTGCTTTTATTAATAATAAATGTTAATCAATTAAATCTTGTTAAGAAGTAGATGATCCAACAATTTGTAATTAATTAATTGTTAATAATTAAAAATGCAATTGGTAATTATAAAATTTACTTGATAATACTAAAATATGTACATCATAAGCATGTTAAATGTTGGGAACATCTTCTTCATTATGTCATGGTAATGAAATAAATAATTATGCATGTGTCTTAAGAAATTACAAATGTGTTTAATGTGAATCAATATAAGAATTTTGTGAATGTAATTCATACAAAGGAATATGTTATTATACTAATAATTAATGTTCATCTCTTTTATGTAATGATTTGATGACAACTTCAATTTGTTAACAATCTCCTAAATGTGAATGGAGTTAATTATTAAATTAATGTACTTTATTATGTAATTTCAATTACTAAGAAGAATTATGTTAAATTAGAAAAAATGAATGTCATTGGAATCAATATAAAAGATTCTGTTAAAATGGTCCTGAATCTATTCCTACTCTATTTAATTCAACTAAAGCAAATCAAAATTATCAGTAACATTTACTACTTACATTATTAATAATTTTATATCTATGAAATATATATATTATAATAATAGTATTTAAATTATTTTTAAATATAATTATCATTAAATTACTTACCATTCATCTTATTCATGTTTAATTATATCTTCACAAGTAATGATCTCAGTCTAACCATCCTTAATTGATTCTGGTGATTCAAGAAATGTATCAATTAAATTTGCCAAATCTATTTAATTATTATAATATATATTATACCTTACTTCTTCTCCTTCTCTTATTATTCATTCACTGTTAGTAATACATCATTTATTGCTCCAGATACAGTCTCATTAAAATGAATCAAAAAATTTGTTATCTCTTAAAATACTTCTGCACATCCACTTAATTATTATACTTAATCACATTTTTCCAAATAGGTTGAAACTTTACCCAAAGCAAGAGATCCAATCAATCCACCAAACTATTAAATATTATTAATAATATTAATACCAGCCATTTTAATGAAACATTAGGTATTATAACATTCCATGGTAATGCAGATTTACCAACTAAGGCATGATAAATCACTAAAGCTGCACCATATGATAAATTTGATTCAGATAAACCATTTGAATATAAATACTTTCCAAACTTCTCTGCTCCTTAAGCTAATAATCTTATTAATATATGTTTTGAATATGTCTAATCTCATTTATTTATTGTACCTTAATATCAAAATCATCATTTGGAGAGAGAATACCCTTTATTTCAGCTGTCAATTAAGCCTCTTTTATCTTTCCTGATGGAATCCAAAGATCATACAACTGAACTCTTGCAATATTATCTACAGCTATTTCAATTTAAAGATTCCACTATGCTATAGAACTAGCCAAATCATTTAAGGCTCCCATTGTCTTATTATCCAATTTCAATTTCTCAACATCCAAATCTTAAGGAATCCCATAATGTCTGACTAATATCAAATTTTAATATGGTTTAATGATCTATTCAGAAAATAAACTCAATATTTCTATATCGACTAATTAAATGAATTTGTAGATTGCTTACTTTCTCTAATTTGGATCACTTACTTTCCCAGCCTAATATTTTTAAATCATAATATACTAAATAATTTTAAAAAATTTGCTTTCTCAATGGTTAAAAAAAAGATGAAAGGTAGGGTGGCAATTGAAGACTGAAATCAACAGCATTTGTTTTACTAGTAATGAATTATCGTATTTCCTCTAAATCATCAAATTAAGGGTATTAACTAGGATATTAACTTTACATAGTTTTTAAAATATTATATTAATTTAAATATTATAATTTAACTATTTTAAAGTCATTCTTATATTTATTTATTACTCTATATAACTAAAATACATTATAATTGTAATTAATATATATTTATGAGAAAATTGTTATTCATTTTATATGTATTACAATTTCTGAATTACTTATATATAATAATTTTTATAATTTAAAACTCAATTCAATATTATTATAATTGTTTAAACTATTATTTCTTAATGTTGTTCAATCACTTTTTATTTGCTTTTATCTATATTATTGATAACCAGAATTACCTTAAATTTAAATAATAAGAACTTATTCAATTAAAATCATATGATTAAATTAATTAAAATATTTATTTAACAAATTTATAACTTAAACATATAATTATTACAAATTTTATTTCATAAATATATTATTATCTATGACTTATTTCTAAATAATAAAATTAATGATTTTCCTTTATATATATTTTAAAATAAAAAAGAAAATTGGTAATTATATAATATATATCCNATGATAAATTTGATTCAGATAAACCATTTGAATATAAATACTTTCCAAACTTCTCTGCTCCTTAAGCTAATAATCTTATTAATATATGTTTTGAATATGTCTAATCTCATTTATTTATTGTACCTTAATATCAAAATCATCATTTGGAGAGAGAATACCCTTTATTTCAGCTGTCAATTAAGCCTCTTTTATCTTTCCTGATGGAATCCAAAGATCATACAACTGAACTCTTGCAATATTATCTACAGCTATTTCAATTTAAAGATTCCACTATGCTATAGAACTAGCCAAATCATTTAAGGCTCCCATTGTCTTATTATCCAATTTCAATTTCTCAACATCCAAATCTTAAGGAATCCCATAATGTCTGACTAATATCAAATTTTAATATGGTTTAATGATCTATTCAGAAAATAAACTCAATATTTCTATATCGACTAATTAAATGAATTTGTAGATTGCTTACTTTCTCTAATTTGGATCACTTACTTTCCCAGCCTAATATTTTTAAATCATAATATACTAAATAATTTTAAAAAATTTGCTTTCTCAATGGTTAAAAAAAAGATGAAAGGTAGGGTGGCAATTGAAGACTGAAATCAACAGCATTTGTTTTACTAGTAATGAATTATCGTATTTCCTCTAAATCATCAAATTAAGGGTATTAACTAGGATATTAACTTTACATAGTTTTTAAAATATTATATTAATTTAAATATTATAATTTAACTATTTTAAAGTCATTCTTATATTTATTTATTACTCTATATAACTAAAATACATTATAATTGTAATTAATATATATTTATGAGAAAATTGTTATTCATTTTATATGTATTACAATTTCTGAATTACTTATATATAATAATTTTTATAATTTAAAACTCAATTCAATATTATTATAATTGTTTAAACTATTATTTCTTAATGTTGTTCAATCACTTTTTATTTGCTTTTATCTATATTATTGATAACCAGAATTACCTTAAATTTAAATAATAAGAACTTATTCAATTAAAATCATATGATTAAATTAATTAAAATATTTATTTAACAAATTTATAACTTAAACATATAATTATTACAAATTTTATTTCATAAATATATTATTATCTATGACTTATTTCTAAATAATAAAATTAATGATTTTCCTTTATATATATTTTAAAATAAAAAAGAAAATTGGTAATTATATAATATATATCCTCATTTTTATCTTACTCTTTTTTTCTATTCTTTTGTTTGATTTTATTTAGCATTCTATTCACTAAATTCTGATTCCTCATCTTCAATAACTCTTAGTCTTTTTTTCTTTTGATCTCTATTTTCATAAATACGTTTGGAAGATACATAACCAGGTTCGATAGATTCATTTTATGGAGATGGTGATTTAGGATTTCTATTATTTTATCTTCCTGTTCTTTTAGTGGAATTAGAGTTTTTAGTTTCCTCTTTATCTTTTCCATTATTTTGATCCTCCAAATTTTAGTTTTCTTATTAATTATTTGTTATTTGATCTTTATTTGTTTTTATTAATTATTAATTAGTTTCTTATTTTTTGGTATCTCTTTAATGTTTTTATTTTTTTGCATATGTTACTTCAATTAATTATTCTTGTTCTATTTCATTCAAATATTATTGATATTCCTATCTTCGTTTTTCTTTTCTTTTTTAATTAATTTATTCTTTCTTTTTAATTTCATCATTTGTTTCTAATCTACTTAATGGACATTCTTTAATTTTAAGATTCTTAACTTTCTTTTATTCTTTAATTTAATTATTATTATTTTATTTTTAATTAATATCATTTGATTCAATTTACTTTGATTCTTCAACTTATTATTAATTAATTTATGATTATTTCTACTCTTTTTCTTTTTTATCCAATTTTTTTTATCTATCTTAAGTAATTTTATATATTTAAATAGAATCTGCATCTAAAAGATCCTCATCTTTCTTTTCCTCATCACTTTCTAAATAACTAACTTTATTTTTTATTCTTTTAGTTTCTTATTATTATTAATTTTAAATATCTTATTATTGTAATATATCTTATTATTATAGTGTATCAACATTTTATTATACTTAATTTCTTTATTATTCTTAATTCTTTTTCTTTTTATCATTATTTTATGTAACTTTCTTCTCCTTTATTTATTTTTCTTCAACAATAGGATTTTCCTTTTCCTTTTACTCTTTACATACTTATACTTTCTCTTTTTGTTTTACTTCTTCAACTTCCTTTTATTCTTCAACATAATGTATAGTGACTACATCAAAAATTGCTTATTTAGTTATAACAACTGATCTCATATTAGCCTTATGTAATTACATAAATAATTGATCTGATATTCTCTTTTCAAAATTGAATATCTCACTTTCACCTTTACTTATTAATGCAATCTCTGAATATCTTAACCATTTAATTGAATCCTTTTACTTTTATCTTAATTAACATTTATAAAGAACTAATCCCAAATTAACTTATTTCTTTGTTAAAATCTTATAAACCTATCTTTATTCTAATAGTTTTTACTTTTCCTTTTCCTGCTATTACTTTTCATGTCTTATTTACCTAGCTAATTATGCTTCTTATAGTTATTATTATTTAATTGATAATTCAGTTTATTATTGATCTTTTTAAATATCCTTTTAATTTTTCTATTATTATTCAATTTCTTTTTCTTTTTCATCTTTTTTTTATATTTTAGATTCTTTTTGATGAGTACCTTTTTCATCTAATCTATGTTTTTGAATTTATAATGGTAATATTTTCTATTATTTATCAACTTAACCAACTTTCTTATCTTTTATTTTAGATAATCCAATTAATAAATTATTTATACATTCCAAACCTTCTAATAATTCATCCTAATCTGGAGGTTTAGTCTATTCATCAATAATATACTCTTATTTTTTATATAAATCTTCTCTACCTTTTAATCTTAAATAAATCAATGAATTTTTAGGATTATAAAATTTCTATTTATAAATTTATTTTGTTTTATCCTCACAATTTTTATTTTGTAATTAATTTACTTCCTATACTTTTTATTATTCTTTTTAAAGCTATTGAACTATTGGAATTTATTTTAATTGTTATTATTTTTTAGTTATCAAGTCTTATTTCAATTATTCCTTCCTCTATTCCATTTTCAATTATTCTTATTCAATATCTATTTCTTCAATCACATTTTAATCTTCAAAATATTATTCAATATATTAAGGTTCTTCAACTGCTATTGTAGGTGGACTTGGATCTCTTGGAATCTCTATAGCTACCTATGACCTATCACTATCTTATTATTCTTGTTCCGATAATTCATCAAAGTTTACCTACCATTATTATTTTTGAATATCCATCTTTCGTCTTATTATAGGCTCTTCTTCTTCTTATATTAAGATGGATGGAATTTCAACTGTCTCTTTTTTTACTTACAAATTTGGAATCTGTAATTCTATTCGATTAGGAGTAGGAGTTGATTAAATTATTTATTATTGTTGATTAGACTATTTAGAACTCTCTGATTCATTATCTGATATGTCTTCTATATCACAGAAGTCTAGAATGTAATGACTCTATTATTTGTTATGTTTCATATTTAATATTTTGCTTTAGACCAAATTATGATAAATTACATTGAGAAAAAGAAAAGAATGATTTTTTTATAATTCAAAAAAAAACATTCATTATGAAATTTTAATTCAACATTAAAATTGAACATATTAATTGATGGATACTGAAATTGATTTATAATTTAATTATTTAGTAAAATATTTAAAATGATTTCTCCTCCAAATTATTATTCAAATACAGAATGTCAATCCATAGAGTAAATCTTCACCAAGTACATCCTTATTCTATTCTAAAATCTATGTTATTTTAATTTAAGTCTAAGGATCTAATTATGATAAATAATGCAATTCATTTTATATAAATATCTAAAGTAATGAAAAATCTTATTTATTATTAATTTTATTTATCCTCTCCTTATTTAACCTTGAACAATTACATTACATTAATTTCTTTATCTCCTTATTATATTATAACCAAACATATGAATCAGGACATTAAATCTCTAAACCACTAAATTATAATTTGTAATTCATTGCCTTACATGTAGCTATTACATAACTCAAAGATGAATATTTAAAATCTGGAAAATACTTTTACAGTTTTCTTACATATTCTATTTCTACAAAAGCAGCAACAATACCAAAACTATGAGATTTTAAAATAGGATCATAAAATAAATATTCTGATATTAATTGATTTCTTGTTAATAATATTACTCCACATCCAATCAATATACCTTTTATACGATATTCCATAAACCTTTAACCTAAGTTCAATTTTACATTTAAACTTTAATTTTCTAAATACTAATTATCCAATAAAATGCTTGTTGAGTAACATGTTTTAAAACTTTCAAGAGTTGAATTATAAGAATGAACTTCAAGCATGTAATTTATAAAGAGTTTCGAATTTTCTTCACTTGTGTATGGATCTCTAATTTAATTATTTATAATACACTATTGATATTCTCATTTCACCTATCCTAAAATCATTAACAGTAAATGTCTTATCATCTATTATATTAATATCTTTTAATTATGGAATTTCTTTCCATTCCTATTTAGATTATTTAACTTATTTTTTTATTATTTCTTTATTAATATTCTATTTCTCATTACTTTTTTTTATTCTTTATTCACTTCTAATTTATAAAATATTAAAATAACCATTCTTATTTTACAAGATTTTATAATTATTTAATATAACTTTATCATTTAATTTAGCACCTATCATTTAATTAAATTACTATTAGACCATCTAAATTGATTTAAAAGCTTATATATTTTAATCAAATAATATTAAATTATGATTTGTGTANACTGAAATTGATTTATAATTTAATTATTTAGTAAAATATTTAAAATGATTTCTCCTCCAAATTATTATTCAAATACAGAATGTCAATCCATAGAGTAAATCTTCACCAAGTACATCCTTATTCTATTCTAAAATCTATGTTATTTTAATTTAAGTCTAAGGATCTAATTATGATAAATAATGCAATTCATTTTATATAAATATCTAAAGTAATGAAAAATCTTATTTATTATTAATTTTATTTATCCTCTCCTTATTTAACCTTGAACAATTACATTACATTAATTTCTTTATCTCCTTATTATATTATAACCAAACATATGAATCAGGACATTAAATCTCTAAACCACTAAATTATAATTTGTAATTCATTGCCTTACATGTAGCTATTACATAACTCAAAGATGAATATTTAAAATCTGGAAAATACTTTTACAGTTTTCTTACATATTCTATTTCTACAAAAGCAGCAACAATACCAAAACTATGAGATTTTAAAATAGGATCATAAAATAAATATTCTGATATTAATTGATTTCTTGTTAATAATATTACTCCACATCCAATCAATATACCTTTTATACGATATTCCATAAACCTTTAACCTAAGTTCAATTTTACATTTAAACTTTAATTTTCTAAATACTAATTATCCAATAAAATGCTTGTTGAGTAACATGTTTTAAAACTTTCAAGAGTTGAATTATAAGAATGAACTTCAAGCATGTAATTTATAAAGAGTTTCGAATTTTCTTCACTTGTGTATGGATCTCTAATTTAATTATTTATAATACACTATTGATATTCTCATTTCACCTATCCTAAAATCATTAACAGTAAATGTCTTATCATCTATTATATTAATATCTTTTAATTATGGAATTTCTTTCCATTCCTATTTAGATTATTTAACTTATTTTTTTATTATTTCTTTATTAATATTCTATTTCTCATTACTTTTTTTTATTCTTTATTCACTTCTAATTTATAAAATATTAAAATAACCATTCTTATTTTACAAGATTTTATAATTATTTAATATAACTTTATCATTTAATTTAGCACCTATCATTTAATTAAATTACTATTAGACCATCTAAATTGATTTAAAAGCTTATATATTTTAATCAAATAATATTAAATTATGATTTGTGTAATAATCAAGATCATCTAAGTTTCCAAATATCTTTAATTTTTATATATTTTTAATCTCAAAATCTAAATTCAAATTGATCTCTTCATTTATCAATCTACTACAAGAAATAAGTTCTTATTAAATTTCATTCATCAATTCTTATACATCTTAATATTAAACATATTTTTAAACTTTTTTTTATTGCTATTGCTATTGCTATTGCCTTTAATTTTATTTATTATTTATTTATTTAGAATTATCATCATCTTATTTTAAATGAACACATCCTTCAATATCAATTTTTGGATATTGTTTGATGACTTAATTAATAAAATTATCAATAATAGTCTTCTATTTTTTATTTGGTTAATTTTCTTATATATTAACTCTAGTATTGTAACCTATACAACAAGATTAGATATGATTATATTTTCGAAAATATTTAGAATTTCTCACAAATCCTCTTTCAAGTAGAAGTTCTACAATCTCAATATTGAAATTATTTATAGGATGGAGATAATAGATATATTATTATTTGCCACATTCATATAAACAAGATGTTTTCATTTATTTCAATACTTTTAATGTTGTCAAACATTTATGCTTAATAACTTGTTTATTATTTTATGTCTGTGTATTTGATGTTTGTGTACTTGTATATAAACAACAGCATCCCATTTTTATATTAAAATCAATATTAATTATAATCAAGAAATTTTAATAGATAAAGAAATGTAAATTAGATTATTTATAATTTAAATGATTAAAATAGAAGATAAAATTATAATAAAATAGATTCAGCCATTTAGTATCAAACTATATTATCTATATACAATACAATATCTATAATCAAAGTATTTTTAGCTAATCTAAAACTATATATAATTTTTTCAATATTTTTAATAATTATTATTTAGATATCAATTTTATTGAATTCCCCTATATATTTCTTCATTATATATAAATATGAAATCATACATAATTTCATTTCCATATTCTTAAGCATATTATTTTAAATCATTTGAAATTTCATCTTATTATGCATCATCACATAATAAATTTGCTTTTATTTTCATATCTTGTAATTAAATAGTTACTTTTGAGAAATCTAATGGTTATATTTATATTGGAATTGGAATATTAAAATTTTTCTATTTCATTTAAGATTTAACTTAATCATCATATTCAGCCCAAAGATATTTATTTGGACATTAAATTTCAATACCACTAAATTATAACTTATATTCCATTTTTTTTGTGCTAAATGTAGTATAACCAAGAGTATGATATTTAAAATTTGGGAAATATTTTTAAATCATTTTTGCATATTCAAGTTCAACTAATATTGAAAATACTCCAAAATTAAAATTTTTCAATTCAGGAAGATAGAAAAAATATTCAGATATAAAATATTCTTAAGTTAATACAATAGCCCCAAGACCAATTAGTTTACCATTTACTTTGTATTCCATGAATCTTTGACCTAATTATATTTTGATATTTTGCTTTAAGTCTTCTAAATATGTGTTAGTATTTAAGTAATTTCTACAATATAATCTTATGATTTCTTCATCATTATCATTTCTATTATGTACAACGTTGTGATATTAAAATATAAAATCAACTATATCTCTACTTTATTCTAAATCTCTAATATTTTCAAATTTTATATATACTTAATCGTGATAACAATAGGGCCAACTTAAAATGTTTAAAATGTAAATGTTTCATGGTTTATCAAACTCTTATTTTTAAAAATACTTTATTTCTTTGATTATTTCTAAATTTATTTTATGGATTATTATTATTAAATTACTAATCCTTATTTTTAACAATTTAAATTTTCTATTAATTCTTTTGTATCAATCAAAGTTAAAAATCCTTTTGTTTTTTATAAAACAGTAAATTCATTTACTTCTTAGTTTAATTTTCTTAAAGTAGCACCTAAAAATTCATTGAATTTGTCAAGGGAATACTTTTAAGTTTTGAAAATTTATTGATTTTAATGAAATAATAATAAATTTGCATTTGAATAAAATTTTGTTTTTGTCTAATGTTAAAATATCTTAACATCATTTTCTTTTAAAGTAAAATTTAAATTCACTATCTAAGTTAGTTCCTCAAAAGACTATTTACATTTTTATATTGATGCATCTATAATTTAATAAAGTTTAATTTTTTATTGATTATGAATTTAATTATATTTTTTTATTTATTTCTATTAATTTTCTAAGATTTATTATTAAAAATCTTTCTAAATAATGCTTTGTTTTTAAACTTATTATTTTATTTTTTGATCATTTCCTTCATCATAAAGACTTAAATGTTCCAATAGAGAGTAAGCAGATTTCATTTGTTTTTTTGTAGGCAAACATTTTTCTAAAACAATCCTCATGTTGTAAATAGTACAACAATCGGTTTTGTTAATTTTCATATAAAAATCTCCATTTCTAGTAAAGAATCTTTCATATAATCTTTAATGAGTTTAAATAGTAAGTTTTGAATAGTCATCTAAATATCTAATCATGATTTTTTATCCACACTCAAATATGCAGTTACATTAATACAAATTAAGTTTTTTGAAATAAATTGAAGGATGCAAATCGAACTTACAATTAACAGATTGTCCTTTCTTTATTTGTTTGTTATAACTTATAATTCCCATTTTTTATTAATTAATAAAAGAGAAAAAAATGATTTTGGGAACAGAAGTTAATGAATTTGTTTCAAATAGATAATAATCTAAAATTCATTATCTCTAAGAAGAGAATAAGTAATTATAGGAATATATCATTGATCTTGAAAATGCCTTAAAATTAAATAAGTAAGCTATGGCACTTACTATGGAAGGAATGAATAAGCGAGTTCAGGTATAATGAGTTTAAATCATTTAGTTGACAAGTGATTCCAGTACTATGTCCATGTGTTACACAAATTATTAGAATAGTTAATTAGAAAGTGTAATAAAGTTATTGAATGAAGAAAATGAGAAACTCATGAAAGGATTATCAAATCAATAGAAAATAACATAATAATTATAAACAAAGTTATTATTATAAGAATAGATATCAGAAGAACAGCAAAACTATTACAAAGATTTAATAGCTGATTTAGAATATAAATTAATAGATTTGAAAAGGAATATTCATGATAAGGAATATGCAATCTAAGAATTAGAAAGGATGAAACCTATATAAGAAAGAGAAGGATAATTAGTGAAATTAATTGAAATTGTCACTCCTTCAGAGTAAAATTTAAAATTACATGAAGAATTAGAAAATGTAAGAAATTTACTTAACAAAATTACTAATGAAGCTTAATCAATTACAGAAACAAATAATACATTGAGAGAAGTCAATTATGTATAATATTAATATAATATTATAAGCATTTGAAGAGAGAAATCTTTAAAATGAGAATAGTCTTACGTAGTTAAACAAATTATTAGTGTATGAAAGGTAAATATGTATTTATATTTAGAATAGATTTTGTTTATTAAGAGTTTATTGATAAAACTGATGATAATTTAGAACTTAATAGAGAAGTCTAAAATCATAGAGGAAAATTAGAGTCATTGCATCAAGAATTATATGGTATAAATGGTTTAGGTTATGGATTCTCCCCAGAACCTTAATAACTCAAATATTTAAGCAAAAATGAAAGGATGATTTATTAAGAAAAATTACATAAAATGGAAATGATGGTGAAAGGATTTAAAGAATTATTTGAAAAAGAAAAAAATGCTAATATTCATATTAGATAATTATATAATATATTACTATCAAAATATGAATCTATATTAGATACAAATGAATTACTTATTAAATCTAATTAATTGAAGGATGAAAGAAATGAAAAGTAATAAATAGAATTACAATTTTATAAGAAATAAAGTCAAAGTTTAATGGAATAATTGAGAAATAGAAAAACAACATTCAATTCAATCATTCTTAATTAAGAATAAGATATTGCTGCGAATATTTTTAGTCCTCGTTTTTAATAAAAACAACAATCCAATTCTCAATAATTTTCCACTATGAAAAAATAATAGTAAAAAAATAATGAATATGATAATAAGAACTCTAATTAAGAATTTAAATAATAAAATAATCAATCATAATCAACCAAAATATAACTTACTTAAAAGCCTATTCTACCATAACTTGAAATAAATGATTCATCTTCTGAAGAACATATAAAATATATTTGTTAAACAGCCAGAGGAGATAATCAATAATTAAAAAAATTGAATTATTAATAATAATAAGGATAAATTCTTTAATATTATGATATGTCAAAATAGGAATGTATTACATTTCTAATGTCTATGTTTAATGATTATTTTAAGAAATTAGATGTAAATAATATTAAAAAATAATAATAGTTCAGTAATGTCAAAAAGTTGCAATTGATGAAATAAATTGAAGAGAAACCTTTTCAAAAAAGATTTATCAAAAGATCATATAGTAATCCATTCTTATACTTTTCAAATGCTAATAATATTTCATTTAATTAACCACCTAAATAATCAGTAGTGGCAATTGTAATATTTTATTATTATTATATATTTAGACTAAAAATGAAATTTAATTATTATTAGCTGAATTGTAGAGTAAAAAATAAATTAAAAATGATTAATAAGGAATTGGAAATGATCTTTTTAATGTTGATGTCTCTAAAATAGATATCAAATAAAATAAAAGAAAACTAATTGATAATGATCTTAGCTTTATTTCTAATTTTGAATAATAAGACTGATTTATATATAAAAATATTTTTATTATCAATTTTGGAAAACATGTCTAAATAAAATGTTAAGGCCACATCATCAACTCTTGCTGAATCGGCATATATGAATGAAATACAATTAAGCTAATATAACTTTAGTTTAAGTGTTGCTAAGAATATCTTATAAGTATAAATTGAAATTACTCCTGATTCTTAAATGATTTAGGCCATAGAAACTGCTATTGATTATTTTAATCAAATATATTATGATTAAGATATAAATGAAAATGTTGAAACTTATGAAGTATTCTCTGCAGATCAAAAAGGAAATCCTTTAAAAACAAAGTTTAGGACAGAATAATTACTTTAAGAAATAGAATGTAAATCCTTTGCTTTAGTTTCTAAAAAGAAGGGAACTTTATTATCTATTTTAAAACAACCTATTTTAAAAGAATCTCTAATAAAAGGTACTAAAGAATTGCCTAAGTTCAGATATGATACTACTATTACCAAATGATTACTAAAACTTATATTTAATATCATTTTTATAATTTTATACTTAAATCTTTACACTTCATTTTTCCTTAAGTTTAAATTATTAATATTTTTGAAAATAACAAAAATTATTACTCATTTTTATGTTTTGATACGACTTTATTGTTCTATAAAAGTTTTCAATCCTGATGGCATAAGTAATTTCTCTGCTTCATTTTTAGGTAATATTTCTTATATTATTGATGCAGCTTAAGCAAACTTTTAATCCAACGACTTTTTTTTTTTTAATAAAATCATTTATTATTGTTCAACATATTGTTCATATTAAATTGGATCTTTAAACAAAGATGCAGCTACCTTAGCTTTTTCCCATAATGATATTTCTGATTCTTTTTAAATCAATTAAGTTTTCATTCTCCATGTATCAGAGGTTCTACTTGATTATTATGACTTTGCATCCTTATTTCCATTTAATTTAACTTATGTATTTAATTTTATTCTTTATGCATGGGCTCTATTAAATTCAACATCTTCTAAATTTAATTATAATTTATCTTTTAACACTAATGATTTCTATTCAAGTAACCTCTCTTTATTTTATATAACTTATTCTTGTTTCTATATTAATTATTAATATGTATTGCTGAATCCTTCTTAATGTTTCTTATTTAAACAATATTCATACATTTTATTATTCAAAATTACTTTCTTTACATTTTCTTAACATTTATATATATTTCTCTTTTTTTTCTTTATATTTCTTTTTCTCTTCTAAAATTAATTAAGATTTATTTTCTTAGAATTTTTTCATTTTTTCACATTATTCTTTAAGATATTACTATTACTCAAATTAAATTAATTGAGACCTTTTTTCTTATTTATTAATTATCTAACTATTTTTTAAGGCAAAATAATTTCTCATATCTTTTTTGTATAATTCAACTTTTGTTTAAGCCTAGGTTTCTTGATTAAAACATTCATACCTTTTTATTGTAATTTATTCAATCTTTCAGTAATGGTTTATTAAAATAAACTCTCCTATTATTTTCTCTTCTCTTATGCTCTTTCAGTATAATTATCATGTTTAAAATTCTTTTTTAAAAATCTTCCTTACAATTATTCTTATATTCTGGATTCATTTTCTATACATGTTATAAAATATTGATTCCTTTTTTCAAATTCATCTATCTCTTCATTAGATTTATTTTTATAACTATCTCTTTCCTTTTTTTTATTAAAACTAGTTTCACTTTTTCTTTATTATTTATGTTATTATTTTTAATTTTGTTTCTATAAATACTCAACATTCTTTTTTTCACCTTCTAATTATTAATAAATTAGATTTTGCAATATTTTTTATCTTGATAAACTTTTTTTCTCCTTTTTTTCCTCAATCATAACACTCTCTTCACTGAAATTTGAAAAACTTAAATTATAAAGAATTCATACTTGTTATCTTATTGATTGAAAGTAATTTACTTAAGAGATTAATCTCCTAATTTGTGCCTTTATTTAGTTGCTTATATTTCATTAATGATCCCTTTTTTTATAATCAAAGTTTATACTCATTATTCTATTTTTATAATGATTGTATTTCATCTATTAAACTTCTGGTGAGACTGATGGAAATTACTCTATTGATCTAAAAAGATAGAGTTTATAAATATACTTATAAATAAGATCATTTGGATCATATCCTAATCTTAAACATAATTTTTATGTTGTAATTGATTAAGGACTAGTTTAATCAATCATCTTCTTAAAAATCTGATCATCAACCTGATTTATCATTAAATTAATTATTTTGATGGATTAAATACAAGATAATACGGATGTTATTCAACCAATCTTCTAAAAGTTAAAAGAAACTTTTAGTACTCACAAAACAAAGTGTGTTAAATTTAGAAAAGCCTAACTCAGAAATTTAATAAGAGGTCTTCAAGAAATGGAACAAGAATTTCATACTGCATTAGAAAATGACTTAGGTGTCACAATGTTTAGTAGTTAAATGACTTCAACTATCATTACTAAGGCAGAAGTTGAGAATCAATTAGCACATATTGATGAATGGAGTAAGGAAGAAAACGTAGATACACCATTTGTAATAATCTATATCTCTATGATAGGTTATCGGTCCTGGGTCATCAAAAATAATTTATGAACCTCTAGGAGTAGTTTTAGTGATAGCTGCATGGAACTATCCTCTTTATACAGGAATACCACCTATGGCTGCTGCGATTGCGTCAGGAAATTGTGTTATTCTTAAACCATCAGAAATAGCTCCACACTCTTCCAAAGTTATGTACGATTTAGTTACAAAATATCTTGATTAATCTTGCTATGCAGTGATATAAGGAGGTGTAGAAGTTTCAAAAAAGATTACTACACTTCCATTTGATTTAATTATATTTACAGGAAGTCCAGAGAAAGGTAAATTAGTTGCAAAGGCTGCTAGTGAAAATTTAGTTCCTTGTATATTAGAATTAGGTGGTAAGTCACCAACCATTGTGGATAAAGATTGTAGTTTGAATGTTACAGCTCAAAGGATTATTTAAGGTAGATTTACAAATGCAGGTTAAACTTGTGTTGCTTGTGATTATGTTTTTGTTCATTAATCTATTAAAGATGCATTCATTAATGAGATGAAGACTGAATTAAAAAGATTTTTTGGAGAAAATCCTTAAAATTCATAAGATTATTCAAAAATAGTGACTGAATTTCATACATAAAGATTATAAGAACTTCTTAAAGATCATAATGGATAAGTAGTTGTAGGAGGTTAAGTGAATGTAAATCAAAGATATGTTGAACCAACCATTATTTTGTAACCCTCTGTCTAATCTAAATTAATGACTGAAGAAATCTTTGGTCCTATTCTTCCTGTCCTTTTATTTGATAATATTGATAATGTTATTCAATTTATCAATTCAAGACCTAAACCATTAGCTTTATATTATTATGGAAGTAATAGCAAAAATAAAAAATTGCTTGAATAATAAACATCATCAGGTGCTATAGTATACAATGATTCAGTTTTCCATCTTTTGAGTAAATTTAATTTATATTTTATATAGATCCAAATTTACCTTTTGGAGGTGTTGGAAATAGTGGTTATGGAGCCTATCATGGAGTTACTGGATTCAAAGGTTGTAGTCATGCAAAACCTGTATTTACAAAATCTACTTTGAATATCTATCCATTTAATATTAGATATCCACCATTTACAAAACATAAGTTACAAACATTATCATTATTGTATTATTATATGATTTATTTAATAGTTTTAAATTTGCTGAGTTACCTCAAAGACATGTTGTTAATGCCACTCTTTTTGTTTCCTTCCTTATTGCTATGAAAGTAGCAAAAAATAAAGGTTATTTAAAGAAGTTTTTGGAATTATCCAAGCCATATGTTGATAAATTATGGAAGTCCGCAAATTTATGAATAAATCAAATAATTTATAATAAAAAATGTCTGAATCAAATTATTATTAGAAATTTGGAATAAATCAATCAGTTTATAATAGTGAGTCACCCAAACAATTGACTCCTATTCTGAAAATTAGACATTCATTATCAGATGGTGATATTGATACTAGAAAAGATAGCTATGGCAATTATATTAAGCATGGTTAAAAAAAGCATCGAATTTAATTTAGAGAGAAGAACGAAGTATTTATAGGTATTAGATGAATTGATTTCAATAGTCGAAAATTGGAAATAATACAACACTGATATGGCAACTCAAGAATCTCCTTGTCTTTGTACAATTTTGTGATTTTTTATCATTCATTTTCATTAACTTGTATAAATTACTGCTATAGTAAATTTAGCATCTATTAAATATCCATAAATTGTTTATTCCATTTACAACTGTTTAATATCATTCTAAATTTATTATAATTTAGTTTTAACTTTCTTTAATAACATTTATATAATATGAACTTAATTTTATTCATTTAGAACGAGTGGGTTATTTCACTGCACCTCTTAAAGTATTTTTATGTTTAAGATAAGAGTCGAAAAATGTATTTAAATCATTTTTCATTAAATGATTTTTAATGTTTGGCTCATTAATCATTTCCTTCATTGTCTCATCAAATACTATATCATATCGCATATCTCAAATACCATAATATGTTCTATGTGCTGATTTCTATTAACCATATCCTGTATGAATTTTATCTTCATAATCTTTAAGATGATCAACCTTAAAAAGAATAGCTTAAGTAGCTTAATCTTTTTCTTTCTGTTATTTCAATGGTTTTACAAGTTCATCTAATCTCCCTTCTTTTTTCAATTATTTATAATGATTAAAATTTTCCTCTCTTTTACGATTTACATCCTACATTTGAGTAGTCATAGTTCCATAATTATCAAGTCCTAATGAAATCAATGCAGAAGTAGTCAAAACTGAAACAGGAGGTTTAGGTAATGATTTAGTTACACTATTAAGATTTGCAGGAGGCTATTATGTTGCAAACTCTTCAATATGTTAATCTAAAACTGGTTTAATTAATTTTGTATGTTCAAATTCAGGAACTTCTTTTTCATATAGTTCATCCTACACCTTATTATAAAGAGCAGCTCTCTCTTGAAGAATCTCTATTTTATTTCTTTTATCTAAGAAGTTCATTATATTATTTATTAATTTCAATAATGACTCTCTATAATAAATAAATAAAAAACTCTATTTTTTCTTTAAAATTATAAGATGTACATTTAATTATTAGATAAAATAAGGTAAAATTTATTTAAATTAATAAATTATATAATGAGCCCAATTTTTATAGATATTATATGTATTAGAGTAAATAATTAGATCACTTTTTTATAACAACAATTATAATTTAATATTCAATATATTTTTGATTAACTAAATACATTAATTTTATGAAAATTGATATTATAATAATAAAGATATAAAAGAAAAGAATAGATTCATCTTAAATTTAATGGTTGTCAATCAATTACTTATTTTTATAATAATTTAAACAATAATCATTTTTAAACCAAAACTTACTCATAATATCATTTTGTCTAAATAAATAATCATTATAATGATAAAACTTTTGATAAGTAATTATATTATGAATTTAATAATTTAATTTTTAAATATTTACTTTATACTTTATTCTATAACAAATAAAATAAGTTAAAGATAATTAAATTATTAGGAGAAAAAATACTTCACTATTAAAATGCTCTAACACCTACTGATTGGAGTTTACTACTGAAAGGTCTAGTTCTTTTATTGCTTTTGATTTATCTACTAACACCAGTTTAAGGTCTAAATCCTTAAGAGGATGTTTTAGAAATTATAGGATTTTTGCTAGAGTTTTCTTGATTTATAAGTTTCATCAAATCAAGTAGATTATCATATAATTAGAAACCTTGTTATGGATTACTCTTCTGTATTTTAGGAGTGCCTTTTATTAAAGCAACATGTTGATAAAAGCCTTCAGTTAATTATTAGATGTCTCTATCATTAATTTGATGTCTTTATGAAACATAAGTTGGGGAGAGCAAGCGATTCTTAATAATTTATTTTTCAATCATATTATGATTTTTTATCTCTTCTTCTTCAATATTAAAATTTTCACAATCACCTCCTAATGATACCTTTTTTAAAGCTGAATGATTTCTAACAACATTCTGATTAGCTATTAATAAATTAATAATATGAAACTTTTATCATATTTTTTTGTGTTTCTCCAATATTTAGTCTCTGAATGATAAGGTAATTAGATCATTTCTTCATTTTCATCAATTTTCATCATTTATTTTGTTTATGTATTGGGACCAGGTGCTGTGATTGGTCTCTATCTCTATGCTGAATTTTGAGCAGGAGATATTAGACCAGTCATAGGTCTGATTTATTTTTCAGGAGTAATTTGTAGGTTTTCTAGTTCTTATTCTTTTTTTGCTTTGAAAGATTATTTAGAAAATCCTTAAAAAAATATAGAAATATGAAAATACCATAGTTCTCTAAGTCTTCTTAATAATCTTAACGAAGATCTTCAATATTATGATGCTATTTCTTGTGCCTACTAACAGGATCAAAGTGATCTTCAATTTGTTTCTCTCGAAGCATCAATGCTTAATATTTTTTATTTAGTAAAGTTAGACTCATGAAAATTATTAATAATAATATATATTCAAAATTAGAAATTATTATTCGTAGTTCATTATCTTTTAAAATTTATCTGAAATTTAAATGAATTATAATATAAGGCATCCTCAAAGGACTGTTTTAATTATATGTGAATGGTTTTTGTAGCATTTTCATTTATTTCTTGTTATATTGTTTTGACGAATAATATAATATGATATCTAAATACAAAAGGCTTGATTGCTTTATTCAACATAGGATCAATGGATTTCTAAATAGATTTTATTATTAAATTGGTTGGAAGAGAATAGTATTTTATTAGATAAAAATAATAATAATTATATATAATATAATATATTTTTAAATTTCTATTCTAAAGTATATTTTGCTAATAAATTTAGAATTGACTTTTATGTCATCTATTCTATATCTATAATGTTCAAAAATTTTATTAATTATAAGTTTATTCAAACATCAATTAAGTAGTCATTCGAAAATTTACTTTATTTGATAGCAACTATTGGATCCATCTCTCCTTCCATTCTATCATTTTTCCATAAACCAACATACTTCTATCCATTCTTCCAATGATATGTTCCTTTTCCTTGTCTCTTACCATCTTAAAAGAAACCTTCATAATAATCTCCGTTTGCATAATCATAACGTCCTTATCCATTCTTAGTTCCATTAGCCCATTCTCCCATAAATACATCACCATTAGTTAACATCAAAACTCCTTAACCATTTCTAACATCATTCCTATATTCTCCTTCATATTTATCTCCACTCAAATAATAATAGATTCCTTTGCCACAACGTTCACCATCAACAAAAGTTCCTTCATATCTATCACCATTAACATAATAAAATATTCCATTTCCATTCTAATTTTCATTTCTCCATTCTCCTTAATATTTTGCTCCATCTGCATAAAAATAAGTGCCTTAACCATGCTTTTATCCTCCAGTCCATTCTCCTTCATATCTATCTTCATTTGAATATTGCATAACCCCAAAACCATTCGCTTTATCTTCTAAAAACTCTCCTTCAAATCTTGATCCATTTTAATATTCAAAAACACCTTTTCCACATTTTTCCCCATCTCTCCACTCTCCATAATATTTGTCACCACTAGTATATATGTACATACCAGTTCCATGTTTCTCTCCATCTAACCATTGTCCATCATATTTCTCATTTGTTGCAAAGTAAGTATAAGAACCTTTTCCATTCTTTTTATCATTCATCCATTCTCCTTCATATTTATTTCCATTCACATACAAATAAACTCCTCTTCCATGTTTTGCACTCTCTCTTAATTCTCCATCATACCTTTCTCCATTTGCAAATATATAAACTCCTCTTCCATGAAATCTAATTTATTTAATCTACATTACCTGTCATCCTTCCATTCTCCTACATATTTATCTCCATTACTATAATGATAAATTCCTTTTCCATTCCTTTTCTCATTAATAACTTCCCCTTCATACTTACTTCCATCAACATAATTTTTTATTCTGATACCTTTTTTGTATTTACCTTATTCATCTAAATCCTTTATCCATTATTGCTCAAACTTAAAAACTATTTCATCTTTTTCTTTAAGTAATTTTTACTTCTCCTACTCCAATGTTTTAGTTGGAGGAATTTTGAATTTTAGATCAGCCATTTCAAAATTTAATTTATTAATACTACTAAAATTTTCTGTTAACTTTATTACATCAAAAAATTTAATTGTAATTTTATGTTATTTTAATGTTTTTTTAAATTTAAACCTCTTTCATTTTTGTTTAACTTAAAAAAAATATTATCAATTGTAAAAATTAATCAGAATATTAAATAAAATATTTAGAATATGAAATATTTAATAATAAAACACAATTAGATAAATATTATTATTTAACAAATTAATAATATATATGTTTCAATTAATTCTTCATTATTATTATTGTTATTGTTTCAATTATTATTTTTTTTATTAATTTATTTTCACTATCTACTCTCTTTTTTCTACTTCTAATTAAATATTAATCAGAGGTTCGTTATTAATTTATTTCATCAAATTAAGTTCATTTAATATTAAAACTTTCAAATCTTTTAATAATATGGTGCTATCATTTTCAAATTGAGAATCTAGATTTCCTTCAAATGAAGGTTCATCATCAGGATCTCTTATTGATTCTAAATAAGGATGATTTAATGCCTGTAAATTAATTAAAATAATTAATACTTCAGTGCTAGTAATCCTTTTTTTAGGATTAATTTCAAGCATTTTATCTAATAAATCAATTGCAAGTGGATTTGAATATTTAATTACACTTCCAATAGTACATTTCTATTTTGTTTAAAGACTATTGACATATTTCTTTGCATTACTATTTGTAATAAATTATAAGTCTTCATCTTAAGGTTTACCTAATGTATCAAATATTAATTTTATCATTTATATATAATTAGTTCCTTTAAATAAAATTTGCTTAGTAATTAATTCAGCAAATGTGCATCCCAATGACCAAATATCAATTGCTGTTGAATATTCATGTGATGATAGCATTACTTCAGGAGCTCTATAATATCCTAAATATTATATATATTTAATACTTGTCACAACATATTCTGTTAACATGTTTTAGCATCTATTATCTTCTGCTTCTAATTCTTCTATTTATCTTGCCAATCCAAAATCACAATAACATATTTCACAATTTTCTGTTGCTAAAATATTACTTGGCTTTATATCTCTATGCACAATACTTGCAGAATGTAAATATTTTAAGCCTTTCAATAATTAATATCTAATTAGAAATATGGTATTTACATAATATATTGGTAATGTTAATCTGTAAGATTTTATCCGCTTTTTATAATCTTATAGAGATCCACTTCAAGGTAATTAGTAACTAAGTAGATTTCCCCAAATTCTAACTCTTTATTTGAATCATCATAGACTAGGTTCTCTAGATGAAGAATATTCTCATGCTACATTGTTCTCAAAATTCTAATTTCTCTCAACACTCTTTTTGCGTCTATCTCATCTCTTACTAAATGTAGTTTTTTAATAGCCACTTTCTATTTCTCTGGATCAGTTTGTTTCTTATCAATAGCAAGAGCTACATGTCCATAGGCACCAGCACCTAATAATTTCTTTACTTCATATCTAGCACCTACATTGAATTAAATCCCAGAAACTATTTGATTCATAAGTATATAATTAATAAATCAATTCACCATTTTATGTTATGTTTCTATGCAATCTATCTTAATTATATATCAGTCTTATCATGTTTTCTTACTAATCCAATTCTTTATTAATACTATAATACTCTTTAGGTCTTTGTATCTGTAGGATCACTTAAAATCTATTAATTTTGCATTTATTTTTATTAAAATTACTCATCATTGACTTTTGTTTCAAACAAATTTCTCCTAGAACCTTGCTTAGTGCCTTTGTTTAATATAAAATTATTCTGAATTCTTAATGGGTTTATATTATTATGAGATTTAACTTTGTTTCTATCTAAAAGTTATCTAATATGACCCATAAACTCATTATATTTTTATTCATTTTTCATAGATGGCAATGCAAATTCCTAATCCATTATTTTAAACATAGGATGTCTCTCAGTTTTAGTTACATTAATAACTTAATCTTTATTTTGTTTATCCTTAATCTGTTACAATAAATAATTAGTCATTAAATATAAATAATATTTCAATCATTTTTAGATTTTTCTAAGTACAATATCATCTGTAGTAGTTTATAGTGAGCTTTAAGAGTTCACATACAAAATACTAGCATTTCTTTGTGGTCTAATTTTGAAGACAAAATCTTCTAATCTTTTCTTTTACATCACACGTTCATCATTATTTAAAAGATTGCTCATTGAAGCACTTTTTACTGATCTAGTTTACCCTTTCATTCCATTGTAATGAATATCATTTACATTCTATAATACAGGATTAAATTGTTTTGGTTAAAGTGTTCTCCCCAATTTTATAGGACTACACTCTTCTAAGGGAGTTTAAAATAATGTAGATCTTAGTGATATCTTCTGTGGATATAATTAAAATTTTTGTTATCTTATAGGTGTTTTCAATATTATTGAGGATTGCTATTATTTGATTTGGGATTCTCCTTTTGATTATGGTTCCATTGCTGGCTTTTTATTAGGTGAATTAGGCTTGCTGCTCTCATCTAATTTTGCCATAGAAGTTGTTCTAAATCTCATTCTTGTTTTCGGTGATTCTTAAGATGCCAAAATGGCAGGTTTTTCAATTTATTAAGATCCCTACCTCTTTAAAAATAGAGGATTTTAAATTAAATTTTCTAAGTAGTGTTCTTCACTTACTTCCCATCCCTAATCCATTTCTCTTACAAAATTATCAATTTTTATATTATTTTATATTATTTTATCAAACAATTTAAAATTACATAAAATAGAATATCATATAACCTATATTAATTTAAATAAGTATTTTGACCTTTAATTAATGTATATTATTAAAGATTTAAACATTTTATTATTGATTATAAAAAGATATATTTATTAATATTAAATAGGTTTAATATTCTAAATTAATAATAATAAATTGATGTATTGATATGATAATATTTATTTAATATATAATAGATAAGATGAGATCAACTTAATAATGAAAGACATTTTTAATAGTAGACCTCTTTTTATGCTTCTGACATGATATACTCTTAACAAATAATTTCAGCTTTTTAATTGATTTTACTTAATTCTTCTTTGTTATATCTAAATAAAAAAACAAGTAATTACATGTTATTAGTTTTGATAATTTCTTAAAGGGAGTTTAAAATTAATTTATGTTCATTTTGAACTCCTTAAATTTTTTCTCTTGATTAAGTATCAAATGTTTAAATAATCTTTTTAATTGATAAAAAAGCATCTTTAATAAACTTCTTTAATTCTTACTATTATAATTTGAGTGATATAATTTGATTTTACAGAGTTTTAATACTTGTTTAATCATGATTATTTGATGCCTTTAACAAAGATGGTTATAATGAACTTAATTAAGTATTTTCTTAAATTTAATGTCCTAATTTAGGTACTTTGACTGTATTAATGTATTAATTTTTAGGATCATTTTAAAATATTTTAGCTAATAAATTTGAGCAATAATATTTTTATGATAACAGTTCCTATTATAATCTATTAATTTTGAACTCTTATAATCTAATAATAGAGTCTTATTAATCTATTTTGTTTTTCAAATCAGTAACTAATTATTCTATTATCTAAATAAGATGATACTTGTGATAATTTTCTCTGATGTTGTTGTTTAGGATTATTTATACAATATCAGAGATAAACCATCATTTTCTTATTATATTAGTCTTGGATGATTTGTTTACAATCTGTTATGATTGTTGTTTTAAACTTACTTAATGTTAAACTTTTTGTTTTGCTTTAATGCTGTAATTCTTTCAGTCTTAATAATTTTACTACCAATCTCAGGATCTGAATTACCTGCAGTCTTATTCAACACATTTGCATCTGGTAATTAAATAGGTTAGACATGCAATTTCAAATGTTGTTTTTTTGCAGGTGGTGGTGAATGTGAATTTTATGTAATTTACATATTAATATTTAATTCTCACTAATCATACCAATCCTCCTTAATTTAATTTGTTTCTAATGACTGTACTAAATTCTGAAGAGTTTACAAAATCTTTAGCATTTCTAGTAGTTTAGAGTTAAATTTAATATTGAGCCTTCAATTCATTATAAATTTGGATTTCTTAAGCTTAAGCATCTTTATCTTATTCTAATTTAAATATATATATATAATATAATTTACATAAAGATTCTGTGTAATTTTATAAATCACGTTCATTTTATTCTAAAGCTTCTTAAGTTGATTTCAATTTATCTAAAAATATTAATTTATAAATACTTTAATAGGCAGCCAATACATAAGTAGCTTCAAGAAGAGATCTCTTAAATTCTTAATACTCTGTGTTTAATGTTTTTTATCTCTCTGTCCAAGTCTCTTAAATTTATTTTTCATCAGTATTTTCCTAATTAATTTATATCACATCATTATTACTTAATTTAGACTAGCAACTAATTAATTTCTAGTATCTTATAATAAATCTCTTATTTTCTATGCTTATCCTTAATCTGAGAAGTTTTAAGTCAATTAAAGTAAGGCTTCAACAACTGGATGAATAGTGCTGGTTTTTGCAATTTTATTATTAACTCTTTTGACAGCCTAATGAATTGTTGCTTTCTCAGTGAATGCTATATTTCCATTAATTAAGGAATTGATCAATTATAATGCTTCATCCACTGCATTTATAGCACTTTAATGTTCACTTACTACTATTTTTATTTTATATTACCTCTATCTAAATAAGCTTAATGTTAATTTTATCTATTTAATGTTTCTCTTGCTAATGAATCTCTATTATCATTTATAAAACCATTCAATCTATCTATTTTTTAATTAGTTTAATCAATGCTTGGTAATAATATTGCATCAATAAAGTCTTTTTGATTAAATATGTTGATTTCTGTTTGACCTATATTAATATCTAAGTTTTCTTATGTTATTTAATGTTAATTTGTTGATCTAGTAAAATCATCTTCTAATTATTATAATTCAGTAGTTAATTCATTTTCTAAATCTCCAATTGCTGTCACTAAATCATCTTTATAGTTATTTCTCATTCATACCTAATGGACCTCTCATTTCTGCATGTGTCTAAGCCATTTCAATAATAAATTTCCCCAAATTACTTTAAGAAAGTTCATCTATTTTTTCAGTACTCAATTACACCATACTTGGATCAATAGAGCTGACTAAATAAATAGTCATTATAAAAGCTAAGACTTTTTACATTAGCTAATTTATTATATATTAAAATAATCCGTTTTAATATAGTTTGCATGTTATATTTTTGTTTCATGTGAAGTTAATGAAAATTAAATTAGATTAATTTCTTAGAAATCTTATTAAATCTCTGATTTGGATGAATTTGGACTTATATAACAAATTTTTTTGTAAAAATTATTATTATTTCTATAATTTAATTTTAAAAATGGAATTTATTGCATCTTTTGATAAATTTGGTGCTGTCTATAAACCAAAATTAAAATAAGAATAAAATAATTATAAGACTGTTTTAGGTGGAATTATTTCAATATTAATATACTTAGTAAGTTTCATCTATTTTTGTTACAAAATCTATTAGTTTGGAAAGAATGAAGTTAATCCCATATAATCTATTGCTTATGAATATACACAAAATTTAACAATAACTAATAATGATAATTTATTGAGTTTCGAAATTTTAGGAACCAAAATTAATCCATTTAATAGGACTGCTCAAATACTTGTCCCAGTTATGGTTTCATAAGGAATAAATGAATCAAGTAATTAAATAACTTATGCTATAGTTTTTTATTAGTATGATGATATTTACAACAACTAAGAAATTAATTTTGAGACACAAAAATACACTCCAAAAAATTTAAGTCTTTAAAATGGATTGGGTGATTATCCAAATAGAATTATGATTGGATTATAAGTGTGTAATTCACTTTAACACAAAAATTGTGCTGATAATTCTCTTATTGATTAATTTTTTAAGTATTTTAACATAATGATAAAATTAGTTAAAGCAATCTCTTGATTAAAACATCTGTAATAACAGAATAATATAATTCATTTTAACGTAGTATCAACAATATGTCAACAGAATTAAACTTCGCCATCGATAGATACACAACTTTTTATTAAAGAATCATTATGCAAACTCAATTTTTATAAATAGATGATGGACCCTTATTTCCATCATATAACTCTAAATGGATTTTTTGTGATTCATAAGTCCAAACTTAAAGTTTAGGCCCTACTTTTAAAAGAGACTTTGAATCAATATTTCTCACTGAATTATCTATGTCTTTTGTAACTCAAAGAAAAGTAGTTCAGTATATAAAGGTTTCTTAAGTTTTAGCTGATGTAGGTTCAATATTTTCAAGTCTTATGCTTCTTAGTATTATTATTTCTTCTATTAATGAATTTTTAATGGAAGAAGAATTACTTTAATAAATTATTGGGATCTACTATCCATAATTCTGTTAGTTATAATTTACAAGATTATTTAATTTTGGTCCTGTAACTGAAGTTAAATATAAAGATAAAATTATTAATCTTGAATAATTTTTAAAATTCTATAAAAATGCTAAGACCATAGCTAAAAATAAACTTACAGTACATAGTAGCATTTATCAAACATCTAGATTATAATTTGCTATATAAGGATTAATTTCTAGAGAAAGTCTCAAAAAATTAAATTTTTAAGGAATTAAATTAAATCTGAATTATGATAACATAATTAAATCTCCTAGAGAAAATTAGGTATAGACATCAAAATCTTCGGTTATCGAATATGAGGAAATAGAAGATCATGTAAATTTGTTATTTATGGATGAAGATTTTGATTTATTTGATCAGGATGATCATAAATAGAATGAAAAATAAAAAATTATAGAAGAAAACTAGCCATAACAAGAAAATTAAAATGATATTTAATAATTAAATTTATGATATAATTTTAAATATAATTGGATAATCTTAAAAATTAATTATATTATTAATAAATCCAAAAAAATTCAATAAAGATTTAGATTATAAAGTTCTTTTTATTATTTTAGGATATATGTTTAAATTATTAATTTTTCATTTAGAGTATTTTTTAAACCCATCCATATATTGAGATTGTCCTAAATTATATTCCATTGGCTCATCTACTCCAACATATACTTTGTTCATTGCTTAATTAATAGGGGAAGGAGGAATATTAAAATATACTTAAGGTGGAACAATAAATTATACACTTGGCTGTAATACTTTACTATTATTTAAGGAATCAATCTTTATTAATAATAAATAATTACTCTATCTTTATTAAAGAATTTATTATATTATTCACTTAGAAAATTATTTGGTTTGCTGTTATTGATACCGTTTAGTAAACTATCCATTTTCATCAATTTTATTGGATTAGAATTAGTAAACATTGATAATTATTATTTATAATCCTGATGATCTTATTAGGAATTTGATTATTCATCATATTAATTCCCACATTAATAAAGATCATCGAAATTTCTAGCTTATTGATGATCGATTATATCATTAACCACTATTTCATCATTATTATTCATTTTATTTTTAACCCTCATTTTAGATTTTTACAAATTTTATTCATCTTGTTTATTTTCCATTTTTACCATCTTTCTTGAATCTTATTAAAATTAAATTTGTTATTATTATTATTATTATTATTATTATTATTATTATTATACTTTTTCAGCATTTTCTATTTTATTTCTCAACCTCATTTGTTATTATCCATTAGATTGTTATGATTAATGATTTAATTATTAATGACTTAATTATTAGATTTATTGTTATTTACTTGAGGCTCTAGTTCTTTTTTAATCTACACTTTATTCACTTTCTGCTTCTGACTAAGATTCACTTTCTTTTCTCTTTTGAAATCCAGGATACTAACATATTAGATTTATTAAAGTACATCTTATTTAGTGAATACCTTTTTATGGTTAGATTAAAGCATTTCCATTTCAATATTTTCAGTAGAAGTAAATTAATAAACATTCCCACTTAGATCTGTAAAACACAACAGCATTTTTATGTTACACAAAACAGCCAATTCACATGCTTTTTTCAACAAACCATTTTTTCTTTTATTGAATGTAATCTAAAATAATATTAAGGAGTAATTTAAATTATATAGTGGTTCTAAAAATAGTAGAATAAGTAATTAAAATAATAAATTTACATTCCTAATACGATCATCTTTAAGATATTGTATGTCAATTTTATTCCTTCCCATTATATATTAAATATTAAATTATTTAAAATTAATCTTTTATAAATGTCTAATTTTTGGAAAGAAATACAAAATTATTCTGGATGCACAGATTTTGAATAGTTACAATATTATCTCAACATCATATACAAAGTAACATTTAATAAAAACTTTAGTATGAAATATAATTAGAAGACTTTTAAACTATACATCCAGTATATTTAGCAAAATTAATGCATTTACACTAATTAGCAATATAATATTATGAACATTCAACTGAGGAATTAATAGAGTATGAAAAATACAACTTAAAGTCTACATTAGATATTGAAGAACAAGTAAATAGACAATTTATTTATAGATTAGAAAAAAAGAAAAAAAACTCATAGAAAGCAAAGTAAATATAAAGGCAACATAAAAAAAATTATAATTAGAATTGAATTAAAAAGATAAATTCATACAGAAAATTATAAACACTTAATTAATTTAATGTCTTTATTGTGATTAGGTAGTCACAACAGAGTCTTAATTTGATTTACATATGTAATAATATCATAAAAAAGAATTTAATAAAAAAGAAGTTAATATTATCAATCAAGCATTGTAAAATCAATTATTAACATAATAATTAAGTAATAAGGTTATCTAATAAAATCAGCAAAATTATTTAGCCTTAAATTATCAATTACTTTAATTCACTAAAGAATAATTATCAAGAGAAACTACAAATTTTATAGAAAATACTTTAGAAGTCACTGGAAAAATTAAAAATATTGATCAAAATTATACAAAAGAAATAAAAAATTTGGAAGAAGAAATTGATAATAAATTAAATTTGATTTAACTTAATGTAGAAAAGGAAGAATAAATAAGAGAATAATAAGTCAAAGAGAAAGTTGCATTAATGGAAGAATAAATAATGCAAGAATTTGAAAAATCAAGATCTCATCTTTTAAAATCAAAATAAGTAAATAAAATGAAAACCAATACTTTTATAGGGAAATCTCAAGAAAGTTCAGTGTATAACTCTTAATAACCACCATCTGCTGTATTCTAATAATAATCTGGAATTCAAAGAGGATAAACTACTATAAATATTTAAAGTCTTGCGAATATTGAATAAGATGAATTAATTTAAGATGATCAATTCCAAAAAACAAATTAATAGTAATTTAAAATTTAAATTAAACCAACTTCAGAATTAGACACTCCTCTTTAAGGTAAATTTGAATAATCTTAATAACTTTCTGAATCTTTATTAGGAAGCTAACGTTTATTGGTTAAACCATCAACTGAAATATAATAATAATAATCAAAATTTCATAAGTAAGTTTAGAAAAAGAATTCAGAATCTGAAGGAGATTAATCATTCAATAAAAATGATAATTAATATTATAATGATGATAATATTGATTATCTAGTATAAAACCTTGAGATGTATCATAATGCAATTGATTCATAATAAAATATGCTATTTGAATTGTAATTATATTATTTTTTTATTATTTAGATTATTAAATAGAAGTAAAGGTTCTAGGCCTACATGTTCAGACCTATAGAAAAAACATTATAGATAAATCTTAGAGAAAAATATTGAAAAAGACATGAAAGGAATAGAAGGATTTGATCTTAAAGTTTTAAAGAAAACATATGATGATTTAAATAAATAACTTAAGGATTAATAAGCAAATGCAGATGAAAAACTATAATTATACTCTTTTAATGAGGAATCTCATACTCCAGAAGAAATTGATTCTAGAAGAGCAACTTAATTTTTAAATATTAGATCTAGAAAAAATAGTGGGAAACATTTAAAAAATCCATCATAGAATTGATTTTGGATATTTCTTTCTATTAATTAAGAGATAATCGAAATTTTTAGAGAGGTAGATTGTAGTTATAATTTATTTTATTTAGCAATAAAAATAAACATAAATTTAATTAAAAATAATAATACAAGATTTAACCTTAAATTTGAGTATACTTTATTGGATTAGATAATTATAATATTTAACCATTAATTAAGAATAGAAACAAAACATTTCAAAGTATATAATAAATTGTTTGTCTTTTTTTTCAATTTAAAATTTAATTATACATAATATGGTGAATAAATATAATCAGAGATTTTAGGAATAGAAAAATTCTGATTGTTCTTCCTCCTAAGAACAGCCTTCTAAGTATTAACTAGTTGAATCTACTTTTTACCAACTTATAATTGCTTAAACTTATCCAGTTAATTTTTCGTATTTATTTTCCATTTATTCCCTTTGTTATTGTAAATCCAAATATATTTATTTGTGTTATTATAATATGATCTCATGTTAATTAATAATGTGAGTGAATTATTATTCATCTTAATTCAAATTTTATTTTATTGAAGTAATCTCATCAATCAAGAATCTTTAAAAACATTAATGATTTAACTTTTATTTTTATTACATTTTGTTCTAGCTTCTTTTTAACAAAACTAAGAGATGTCTAATTTATTATTTAATAATACTCTTTTCCTTTTAAAAAATTTTGATGCCAAAACACTTATTAATTATTCTGATTTCGAATCTTCTAAAAATCATACATATTCAACTGTCTTAAGAAAGAAGTAAAGTGATTATGTTTAAAATGTTAAGGCAGTATATTTTGTTCCAATAATTCAGGATTTAAAACGATAAATGCATCTCCTTATGGTGCCCAGGTGATGATTAATGAATTATTCTTTTTCTATATATATTACTAATTACTAAATCTTCCAAAATGGCATGCAATTTAATAATGAAAGACGGAATAGTATATTTTGATTTGTTTTTATCCATAGAAATTTTGAGGAAATTAGAAATTTATTTTAATTAATAAATCTTTGGAGATAAAATATTTATATAAATTATTATTTCTTCCCCCTAAAAATTAATAACCACACAATTTTTTCTAAATTTCTTTATTCTTTTAATAATTTTTCAATTCTGATTTCTATATCTAATCCAAACTACACCTTTTTTGATCTCTCATCCTATCTAAATAAAAAGACAACAAAAATTAAATATTAAATACATCATATAATCAATACTTATTCACTTTTTAAGTCTGCTTTTTTGAATCTATATTTAATGTTTAACTTTCTAAACTTGTTTGTAATTCATAATTGTTCCATTGTATTAACATACTATCATGGAATTATTATGTAATTTATTTAATATACTTTATTATTAATAACATCATGGATTTATTTACTCATCATTCTAATAATTTAAAGCAGAATGTTAATATAATAGAATCAGTCTCTTCCCTTTCAGAACTAGCAATCTTAGGAGATTAAAAAGAATCAGACATCTTTGAGTAATTTTATATTATAATCTAGTTAATTTATAGAAGATAAGATTATAGAAGAATTTGTAAGAACATTAAAATCAACTAAGGATACCAATATAGTAAATACAATCTTGCATTAAATTTCAATGCTAATGTAACTTATTCTTTAATTTATTAGAACAAATATTGGAAAAAATATTGTTGTGCTTCTTTCTTTGCCCTAATTAAACGAATTTATTATATATAACTATGATTTAAGTAATGATGAAACTTAGGATTACTATATTAATTTTATTAAAATTCTATCAAATAAGGTAACAAGAGAAAACATCAATTTATTCTTTAATTAAGTAAGAATTCATTATAGTCTTAATAGAAATATGCATAATTTCCACTATTATTATATTCTTAGAACTTTTATAATGCTAAAGATAATTTAACTAGAACATATACTAGACATATATTATTATCAATACTTTAAATAGTAGAAAATAGTTAAATGGAAAAAGTACTCTTGCAATATCTTCAATGTTATCCATTTCTTTAAGTGTTAACAAATCATATTTCATTTTTTAAAGATCTTTTATTTAAATGGAGTAAAGATCAAGATTATTATCATGAAGAATTAAAAAATATGTATTATTTTTTTAAAGATTTGTATCAAATAGCACATTATTTAGTTGATGTAATAATATTTATTATTATTTAGATCTTAGATAATTTATTTTTAAATATTATAATTATACCACTTCTTTAAACATTCTAATAGAAAGATGAGAATATAAAATAATAAAGTACTCTGATAATAAAAAGTTTTTTCAATGCTGAGATAATATTTAGTAAAAGAATACTTATAAGTATACTTATACTATTATTCTCACCAGAAATTCCTAAAATTCAATCAATTTAATTGGAATTAAATTATTTACCAACAAAAGATCCAGAATTAGTAAATTAATGTACAAGATTTTTTAATATTCCTTAAAAAGAGAGTAAAGATGGTGAAAGATTGAGTGGTTTATTATAATCTATCACTTAAACTATTTCATATGTTTCAAATAATTCTATATTTGTTAAAGAAATTCCAAAATAAGAATTATATGAAGCTTTGTAATCTTTGGGATACATACAAAAATTAAATTAAGCTATTTTATTTAAAGAAAACATATTGTTTTAAGATGAACATACAAATAATTTGTAAATATTTTATGTTATATTATATAGTCTTAATGAAGAACATTATCAGTCAGTTTTAATTCTTCTAGAAACTATAGTAACATAAAATACTTTATCTTTGATATCAGAATCTTAAAAACAAATATTTATAATCAATTTACTTAATATAATGTATGAAGAGCAATACAATATACTTAATACCTTAAATAATTGTTAAAAATCAATTTTAATCATTAATTAATTACTTGAAGTTTAAGACTAAAATTTTTTAATTTAATATATTAGATTTAAATTATTAAGACAAATGGAATAACATATTCAATCTTATACTATTGAATATTATAGATATTTTTCTTAAATTTTATAATCATTGTAAAATAAAAATATTGAAATATATAATAAGATTCCAGTAACTCATTAGATTATTAAGTTCTTACTACTTTTAGATTTAAGCTTTTAAAAATAATGGCTTAAGAATCCATTCTCTTAAACAAAAAATCCTAATATTTATAAAGAATTATCATTTAATGATGGATTAATTAAATTATGTCATTTAGAAATCATTACTTAAAATTTAAATTTTTATTTAGATTAATGGAAAATAATCCCATAAGAACAAAAATAAACAATAATTTTTATTAATTTAATAGATGATGAGAAATTAGAATTGGTTTTTCAAGATGAAAATGAAGCAGAAATATTTAAGTTAGAAGTATATCAAAGACAATAAGATTCAGAATAGCATGCTATTTCTTAAATAATACTATAATTATAGTAATTATACTTTTGATTATATGCTTTATTGTAATATTAATCATTATTATTTTTACTCTATTGTGTATTTATGGAATGCATCTTTTAATTCAAATATCAACTAACTTATTAGTAAGTTTATTTGATGATTTTTTTAATTTAATATAAACATTATTGCAAACCCATATTTTAATTTGGGATTATTTTTATTAATTATAATAGTAATAAATAAAATCAATATAATGAGGAATTCAAACAGTTCTGCTTCTGAATAAAGACGACATTTCATTATCTGATTATAATAATATTATATATATATATATTTGTGATGAATCGATGACGAGTATGAGAGATTCAATAGACATCCATCTATTATTCTCACATAAATGATTATTTGAGGCATTTGCCTGAAAAAAATAAAATTGTTATTATGATGAAATTATTGCCGCCCCAGTCTTAAAGACTCTGATGATACGGCTACGTCTGATCTAATAAAATTATATAGAATGATGCAAAATATTTGTTAATCTAGAAATAGAATGATGAAATTAACCACCAAGATCTCTGATCTAAAATCTAATTATATATTAAAGTGATGATTTTGTAGTCCATGATTAATCATGATTCCAATCTTTCGCTCCTATCTGATATATTAATAATATTATATAAAAATGATGACTATTAAGAACTAGAGTCTATGACTTATACATGAATTACAACCCTTGGCTGTCTGAAATTAATTATACTATTATATATATATATATATATGTGATGAAAAACTGACACCTCTTGATTGAGCCTATGGGCATTGATCGGAATTCAAAATCTGATTTTTTTTCTTAACTTTTCTTATCATCTTTAAATTATTTAACTTGGTAATCGATTTTTATAATTAATTAAAATATTAATATAAAATTATAGATTAATATTAAATTGAAGGATAAAATATTATATATTCTGTTTAAAAGTATTAAAAATTTGAATAGTTTTAATACTAAAATTACATCTTATGAATCTATATTTAAAGTCTTAATTAGAGGATATCATATTTTAATAAAAACTTAATATAATATAATATAAAAACATATTGTCATCACATAAATATTTTGATAGATAAAATCTTTAATAAATAATGATTATTCAATATAATTTGATCCGAATTATTCAGAAAAATTATCGGAATTTATTATACCATGCATTTATAAAAAGTAGAAGCAATAAATTATTTTCATTATTATTTATCATGAACATAAAAGAACAAAAAGCCATTCATAAATTGATAAAGGCAGGTTACTTAGAGTAACATAATCAGTTAATTGCCTAAGGAATAACTAATCCATGGTTTAATTATCATCACTTAAATAAAAATAATGGTGATATTCATAAAGTTATCTTTTCTTACAATGAAAATTAAAATAAGAAGGAAGAAAAGAGATAAAGAGCATTAAAAACAATTGAAAATATGGGATGGCTTCATAAAAATTAGGAACTACTAGAAAAAGGATTTCCTCAAATTAAAAAAAATTTGAAAGTTTTACTTAAAACAAATGGAGATGTTGAAAAATCAATTTCAATATTAAGTAAGAAAAAGTATATGAAATTTGATAAACCTATTGAATTAATCATGTAAGAACTAGGATTTACAGTATAATTTGAAAAACTAAAAGAAATGGGATACACTAATGAAAAAAAAATAGCTAAGTTGCTATTTAAATTTGAGGGAAACTTAGAACCAATTCTTGATAAATTTTTAAAGATTAAAAACAAAGATAATGTTTATTCAATCAAAAAACCAATTGAAAAACACAAGCCTAAGAAATTTTCATAAGATTATTAACAATTAAAAAAAAATAAAGCTGAACTTAAGTAAAAATTTGCTCATTTAAAGGGAAAGAATATTCATGATAAAAAAACATTGAAATTCTTATCTATTTTTAATGGTGATATTGAATCTGCTATTAAGTGGTTAAACCAAATCAAACCATAAGCTTAGTCTTAAGGTTAAATGTTGCTTGAACAAGAAGTTCTTGCACAATAATGAGTTTTATAAACTCAAAAGATAGGGAGGGAGGGTTGGATATTATATATATATATAAAGAACATTATATAAATAATTTTAAATATTTTTATTTAAAAAAATAAGTTTCTAAAGAATCTTCAATTAAAATTTTGGATTAGTAAGGCTAATTCACTCTTTTGATTTAAGATGAATTTTATCTAATTCAATTTAAGGGGTAGAGTGAAAGGTGTCTTTATTGTAAAAAATATTAATTCTCAATATTAATCCAATTAGATTATAAATAATTTTAGATTATTATAAATTTAGTAAATTTTCAAGCAAATATTCAAAGATGATTGTTTCATTCTGAAATTGAATTTTTATTAATTTATCGAAATGTGACTTCGATTTTAATATAAATTTCTATTTGTTTAAATTTGATTACATAAATAATCATTAAGGTATTGAATTTTGAGTTCTTTAGAGTTTAATTAATAACAAGATCATCATGTAATCCTTTAAACTAAACCTCATTTTAATTTAAACACTTAAAAAGGTTATTAAAAATTATTTATACATTGATGTAGCTTTATAAATTATGGGATAAAAAAACTAGATATTATCTAAAAGGCATACTATTTTAATAATTTCAATAATTTCCTATTTCTTTCAAGAAATCAAGTAAGAAATATAAAAAAATATAATAGTAAAAATCTTTTCAATATATTTCAAAAATTTTTTAAATTTATTCAGACTTTTTTATCTTGAATATTAACATTGCGATATAAATTAAATAATAAATAAAGAAGTTTATTTTTATTAAAATATCATAATTCACTTTCTAAAAATTAAGGAATAGGATCTTAATCGTAATAAGAATTTTTGCGACTTGGATTAGGTGATTCTGAAATGATATAATTATCTTCTAATTTATGGAAAAAATAGGGTTCACTATAAACCATAAGTTGATTATCTTATTTTCTATCTAAATTTTCTTATTTTAAATCTATTTTCTTCATAACTGGATATTCATCATCAAAACTAATGTCATCTTCAAATTTCATAGTATTTTTTTTTTCTTATTTTTAATTGTTTGTGATAGCACTCATAAGCACTTATATTATTTGATTTTTTGATAGTTTTTCAAATTGTTATTCTAAATTCTAACTGATAATTTGAGATGGTATTTAATCAAATTACAATTTTTCAGTATCAAAACTTCTTTAATTTTAAGTTTCAATTTAAATTTCATCATCATTTTCGCTGGTTTATTTCAACATTAACAAATTATTAGCTTGTAAATTACTTTTATGTTTATTATTCTATTTAGTTCCTTATAATGATTATAAAACCCATTTCATTATTTATTCTTCTGAATTTTCATTTTTATGCCTCTATATTAATATATATAGTACTTATTTTTAGTTAATTCACTCCATAAATATTTATTTTCCTTCATTATCTTTTCATTTTACTTAATAAGAATTTTCATTAATTTTTCTAATTCTAATTATTTGTTTTATAATTTTCCCATTTACATTAAAATCTTATAATATTATTAATTGTTATACTTCTGGTATTTCACTTTATCCATTTCTTAACTATTCATTTTTTACTAAACTCAAAGAATTCTGTTCTTTTACATCATTAGTCTTTCGTTTGATTTAATTTAACAAATGTCTACAATATATATAAAACTTACTTTTAACCTCTTTAAAATTATTTATGTTTGAATTCATTTTCATTATTATCATGTCTGGTTTTGTGAAAATCATACATATTCAATTATCGAACAAATGAAGCAAAGTTACTATGCTTAAATGATTTAGGTAAGATAATGTCAGAGAATTCATTAACTTTCTTAACTATGAAAGCAGTTCCTTCTTCATTCCAACTAATTATATCATGATTTTAAGGATTCTAAATATTTAAAAAATATAAATACATCTATTATTTCATAAGTTTTCAATAAAAATGCCGGTATGGAATCTCCATTGTCCTTATTTGATCGTGATCTTTTCTTCTTTACTATTTATTACTCTAATAAATCGATTTACATTTATAATAATTAATTTAATCATCATAATAATTATAGAAATCATTATTATTAATCTTATCATAAATAAATTAAATCACTATCTACATCTATCATTCATTCAATATTAAATAGAAATACTAATTAATAATAATAATAATTTTATATGGATTCTTAATAATCTATTTGATTTAATTTTATATTATAAGACTTAATTATGGTATTAATACATTAGTCAAAATAAAATGATAGTAAGAAATATTCATAATAATAATTGGATTTAATTAAATTATTTAAAACTTGTCATTTATTAGAATTTTTTAAGTAAAATAAATGTTTATATTGTACAAAAAGAGATATATTAAGTTTTATATAGATTATAGACTTTTTTTGTTCTTCAATATTATCAAAATTTAGAATTTTTAATATTACTATATTAAAGATGAAATTTTTTAGGAAAATTGATTTGATTTATAAATACCAAATATATATGGAGATTCTTTTATTTAAAAATATTGATATGTTTCTTTTTCAAATAATCATATTATTAATATAATATTGTTACCCTAATATATATATATTATATTAATTTTATTATAAAATAAAAGAAGATGAATTAAGCATTGAAATATGTTCCAAAAATAAAATTTATAGGTAGCAGAGCTAATTTAATTCCTCATCAAAAAAGTACATAAACTTCCAAGTATGTACATAAAGTTGTGGATTATTAAAGAAGAAAGATGACTTAAGATGAAATTGATATCATTAATCAAGGAGGATTTGCAGATATGAGTTGGAAGAAAATCAAACCTATCAAAATATGATCTTATTATCAAATTAAATATAAACATATATATTGAACTTTAGATTGAACATTATATCATATAATCTAAGATTACCATACAAACACTAAGCAACTCAAATACTATTGTTAGTATCATCATATTAATTTTATACATATATTAATATTCATAATAAGGTTTATAAACTTATTAAGAATTTAATGATTCATAATAAACTAGAAATGAATAAAAACTATTTGTATTTCATTATTTAATACTTGAATATTATATAAAAACTGAGTGAAGTGAATCTATAAATAGACAGATTATATAAATAATAATAATACATTATTAATTATTTACTTTTAATTGTTATCATTAATAAAATGAATAATTCGTATTAATAAACTAGAATATATATATTTTAAGAACGAATTAAATATTATATAAAATATAATTTGTTATCATATGAATGAGAATCTTTTTTTTTCAATTTTTTGATATTAAGTTTATGTTTGTAATGGTAATGATTATCTCTTTTGTATTCTTGAATTATTTCTAGTATTTAAGTAGATTCTATCAATAGCAGATCTTTTTCTAATTGGTTAAGCTGGACTCTCCATTGAAAAATTAGATGATGGTGTTTTAGCTCTAGGTAAAGTTATATCAAATATAAATTGAATTTTAGATTTTAGATTTTTGTTTAATTATTTAAATATCTCTTTCTTTTATTTAACAATATAATCTATTTTTTGATTTGGTGATGTTGAAAGCATAAAACTTTTAGATCTTTTTGGTGATTATATTTTACAAGATATTCTCTTTTCTCTTGTTTATTCTTTTATTTCACATTATTATTTTAATTCATTAATCAAATGTAACTCATTATTAGCCTTATATTATATAATAATAAATAATTACTTATAATCTTTATTATAAACAATCTAATTGAATACATAGAACCTTACCATATTCACTATTGCAAGTAATAGTTTATGTTCTAAATTCAAGTTTTTAGAAAGATTCCTTATCTCCAAATATTGAACCTTTTTGTAAAATAGCTATTTGTTTAACTCCTTAATGATTTATTCTTAAGGGATTATGCATTGTTATTCTTTAATCTTGAGTAATAATATACTCTCCATTCAAGATTAAATATATTTCATTTTTATTAATCTATCCTTATTTATAGATTATATCTCTATATCTATGTTCTTGACTTTAAAATGCATATAATAATATAGTCAATAGTTTTCTTGACATTCCTTAAAATCCTGAAACAGATTGCAATTCTGTAATTTATTACAAAATCTTTTCACTCTATGCTTATTATAATATTTCTCTATAATCTTATTTGTTTAACACTCCAAAAAAGCACTCAGTCTCACAAACTACAGTTGCCAAACGAGCAGCTTCATTTATTAATGCTCTTTCTCCAAATGAATCTCCTTCATGCAACTCATTTACTTTGAACAACCTTTTATTTTCAATAAGAACTTATTACTTTTTAATTTTTTCATTTAATAGGATTTTCCTTATTTCAAGAGGATGTTCTTTTTTAGGACGGATCCCTTATTCAATAAGGTGATTTACTTATTCTTTAATAGCTTAACGAACAGGTAATTTGTTTTGTTGATGCAATTCTATATTATTTGAATATATATATATTCCAACGCTACCTTATAGAATGATATAGAAATCTTTGCCTTTATCACCTTTCTCAAATACAATAGTACTCTTAAAAAAATACATCAATTAGATTACTTCAGGATAAATTTCAAGTTGAATTCTTTATAAACATCTATGTAATACAGCAATACCTTCCTCTTATAAGATCTCTTAAAAAAACTTAATGTTTTGAGTGGCTAATTATAGAATCTATTGGAATAATTAGAAAATCGAACAAATACCTTAATATCATTTTGATTTCTATTTTTTGATAGTTTTTGCAAAATTTCTGTGCTAACTTCTCGAAGTTAAGTTGGAGTAAAGGTGAAAGAATTATCAGAATTATATAAAAAAGTGTTGTTGTTGATAAATTAATTCATACATTATTATGTTCATTATAAATGAGATAATATTTGTATAATCAAATCTTTATTAATTGGTTTCATGCATACATTTTATATTCCATCATCATTCAATAGCTCATTAATATCATCAGTTGCATAAAATGTAGTACATCAAATGATATTAGTTTAAATTTATTTTAATTTATTGTATTCTTCAATTATAATCTAAGTACTCTCCAATCTAGAATTTCAATAAAATAATCAATTATTGGATAATAATATTTTAGAATTATGATATTGTTTGACAATATTTCACTATTTAATATTATAAATAATTCTATCTTGAATTTCATTGACTTTTAATAAGATAATCACTAGATTATTTAAATATAAATTTAGTTTAATGATTGAACTAATAATATTAGATTTTATTGTTGATAGGTCTTAAAAATATATTTGAATTATCATTATTTTTTATCCAATATAATAATAAAAGTTATATGATATTTTTTATAGTTCTTAATTCATATGATAGAAATTTAATTCATTTACTTTTAAGAATGGTTCTTTAAAAGAGTTTTATTTTTTTTATTATTGCTTATATATCTTATATATCTGATAACCAAACTAATAAATATATCTTATATTATGATATCTTATTATGTTCTATAAGTCTATTTTAAACGACATCTATCAGTAATAATTATAATTAGAGTTATTCTAATCTCAATAAACAAAGTTTTGTCATTATTATAGAAAATAATGAAGTTTCACATAATTATTGAATTCAATTGTTTCTTATTTAATTAATCAGAAATTGTATAATTATTTGTTTAAAAGCTAAGAATATTCATATATGACATAAATTTATAAAAAATAACTACTTTATTTTATACTTCAAAACTGTAATTTTAGATATATAATATCAATCATTTAATTATATATATTCACTTACTTTATGTTTAATAGCATTAATAATATGTAATAATATTTATAAATAAATTAAAATCCTATTATTATTCAACCATCTTTGATAATTAATTATATAACACTAAAATTCATTAAACATGCAAATCAATGGCAGTTTATAAAATATATTTAGTTTTTTATTTATTTATTAATGGATACATCTAACATGTAAAACTTATATTAAATATAATAGACCAGCAGCTGGATCCAAACCAACTAAACAAACCTTTGATCAAGCACCTGTTACAAGATAAGTGTAAATAATACATTTATATTAAGAATCTAAAATAAATCTGATATATTTGGAATCAATTCTTCTGCTCCTGTTCAATAACCATCAAGATAGAGTGTACGTCCAAAAACAGATATATTTAGTACAGAAACCTAAACAATAAAGCAATAAGAAGTAAAAGAATTTGATATCCAAGGTTCGATAAAATAAAACTTTTCAATCTCAAATATTCTCATCAGAACCCATTTAAAATGCTCCTCCTTAACCAGCAAGAAATACTTAAACTTTTGAAACATCATAATAAGAAGTTAAAAGATATTAAAAAAAGAATAATGATAATAGATAAGTTGATCATGGAAAAGAATTCTTATTTGGTAAAAGTGGTAAATAAAAATAAATATTATGAGATTTTGATGAATATAAATCATTAAAGAGAGCAGTCACATTAAATGAATTCAAACCGAAACTCAATTATGATCCAAATAATAGAAGAAATAAAGAACTTTATGGAAATGAAATTGCTAGAGAACATCTTCCAACTAAAGAAGTTAATCTAGAAGTTTCTAGTCCTTAAAAACCTAAAAAATCATAATAATAACAATAAGATCAAAATCCAAGTAATAGAAAATTGATGGAAAATCAATCAAGTGTTTTTGGTGATAGTCCAAAGTAATTGTTTATGAAATTCATTTAGCAAAGCAATTAAAGGATAAAAAGTAGAAAAATTAACAGCTTCAACTTAAAAATGGAGTACTGTAGGAGGATAAAGTAATAATTAAGTAAAAGAATTTGATCCAGAAACATATGCAAAAAATAGAAAAGAAGCTGAATTATAATCTAGTGTTTTTGGTGATTAACCTGTTAAAGTATAACCTGTATCAATTACAGAATCAAAAGAGGAATCTGAAACTCAATAATGTAATAAGAAAATGTTTAATTTAGCTTAATCATAATAAGAATAATCTTAGAAATAATAAAAACCAAAAGAGAGATTAATTCCTAATAATTAAACTTGGTAATAAACTGATTCTGTAAAAAATATGAGAGATTTTGATCCATCATAATCTTAAATAAAAGATGAAATTGATCCATCATAAAAGAAAATGGATATTCTTAAGTCATCTATGGATACTCATTAATTTGAACCATAATAAATTCCAGCAAATTAAAAAATATCAAATAAAAGTCTTAAAGTAATAATTATAATCTATACAATTATAGTAAAAAAAAGATATTATTTAAAGAGAAGAAAAAATAAATAAAGATAAATCAATTAAAACACAAAGTAAAAAAAAATGATAATCATATAAAAATAAGAGATAATTTTAATTTTATAAAATATGATTGTTAAATTCATTAATTCTTATTTGGATTTACTTATTTTTAATATGATTCAAGATGTGAATTTTAATATTTCAAAAATTCAATCTCTGCTTTTCTTCTTTACTCATTAGCATCCTTTCTTTCCTTAATAGATCTTTCAAGAGACTCTTTTTTATTAGTCAAAAATTGTTTCTAATAAAATAACAAAAATTTATTACTTTTAATTCCAATTACTATTTAGTTTCATTTAAATTTGTTATTTATTATTCTAATTTGTTAAGTCCATCCTCAGCATTCAATTACTTTTAAAGACTAAATGGCATTGATCCTTCATACAAAGTTTTATAAGCTACAATTGTCTTATTTAGATCATCACGAACTCTTGCCAAAATAACACCTTAACAAATATATTTAAGGTAATACCTCTTTCTTAACAATCTATAGTGACTTATCTGATAATCTCATCAAAACATTAACCAAATAATTCTTCTCTTATAGGACATAAAGGATATTCTCTAGCTTGTCTAGAAACAAGTCTTTCATCTAGAAGTTTTTGTAAATTGGTAATGTCATCTCTTGATGGAGGTACTGTTGAAACTGTTTACATGAATCTTCTTCCATCGATTTCCCAATCTCTTGGTTTAATTAAAGCATTTAATAGTTCCTAAATTTGAATTATTGCAATTACATCAATTGAAGGTTTTGATTCTAAAGTTGGGACAGGCATAGATTATTTTTTTCTAATTTGTTATAAGGTGGCTTCTTATTAATTAGAATATTAAATTAGGGACTCAGGTGGGATTTTCTTGTTTTCATCTACTTTTGTTTCTCTTTTGGATTTGAAAAGAGAATTGAGTTGCTATAACTTTAAAATGTTCTCAGACATTAAATAAATTAAATAATAATGATCAATATTATTTTGATGCCAAACAAGATGTTTAAATAACATATTCAACAAATTCTCTTTATTATGAGAGAATTAAATAGTCTTTTAGATTAGCAAATCTATTTATCTTATTTTTAGAAGGAAAAGAAAACAAATTAACAGGGCATGTTAATTTAATTAAATATATTTAAATAGAAGTTAATATATAATAGGTAGTAATTAATCATCATATAATTGATGAAATGATTAAATTAAAAGATAGAGAATGTAGTAAAATGACAATAATAGAAAAAAAAAGAATAAAAAATGGGTTTTTAAGATATGGACAATACAACTTCTATTTATTCTTGAATAGTTGCATCCTCCTCTCAAACTATTGAATTAGATAAATGAGTTAACATTATAAAATTGATCTTGATATATTATAACATTTAGAGTGAGATTAGCATATTTAACATATATATGTAGATATAATATTACTTTAAATAAGTTTGACATAATCAGTATTACAGAACATTTAAAAATAGTTGTGATATTCCATCATTTGGAGAATTTGAATAGATTTAAAAAACTATATTATGGTTGAGATTTATAAATAAATATTCAAATATGCTTAATACCTTGATTCTCATAATCACTGGTTTTTTATTAACCATTGCATTTTTTCCTGTATGGATAAAGTGGTTGATACGGTTGCATAAGAAAGTCCTTGCTCTCCAGTATTCATACAAACTATTTGTACTTTACAATATAGAATTAAGATATTAATACAAAAAACATATAATGGTTGCTGTAAACATAGGAAATATAAGGATTTCAAAAGTTGCAAATTAATGGAGATTTAATGTGAATATCATAGATTTTAATTTACAATTCATTCCTAACTAAGAAATCAAAATTGGTTTCTAATTTGAAGAATAATTGTATATGTAAAGACTCTAATCCAAATTCTTAACTTATTCTCAATAAAAAATACAACATCGTAAAAATAAACAAATACCATTCTTATCCTTATTATTAGAATCTTTAGCTATTAATTGTCTTTTTATAATCCTGTCTCGGTTAAATATTCATTTCAATATAATCAATGTTACTTTGCCAAAACTTAATTCTAAGGAAAGGAATCTACCAGAAATTATTATAAAATTAAGTCAAATCTCAGTATATTTGCATTTGAATTAGAAAGGGCATTTATAATGGAAACTCAATGGCTAAGATGCTAAAATAGAATAATGTTTGACTATCAATACTATTAATTTAAATGCAATTACTAAGCCTGGATTATTAATAGATTTATTAGAAGAACATAGTACTATAGATATTAACATTAAGGAAGTACGATGGTTATGTAAAAATGAATATTTCTATACTATGGATGTATTAGCAAATGAATTTTGGACTAGGCCAGATATTAATAAAATTCTTAAAAGACATTTTAATGAGAAAGGATTTAAATTTTTAGGTAAACCAAGAGAAATGAAACTTAATTTTGATTCATTTAGAATTGAATTTAGTATCTTCAATCATAAAAAACATTCTTTTAATATTTTATCTAAAAAGTTTTATAAATATGCTCAAAATAAACTTGTATTTGAATGGCAACAATTAAAATATTATGGATAATTTGATATAGTTGACACAGATTAAATTAAGAAAGGAATGATCCTATGCAAATAATTTACTATGAATACTCTTCAAGAAGATATTAAATTCTAAGATATTTTATGGAATATTGACTCTATTTCTAGCTTTACTGTTCATTCGAATGATAATACAAAACATTTTATCAGATATGGAGATGTAATCATTAATTTATCTCCATAACTGATTAAATTTTTTACTCTTATTTAAACTGAATTAGCATCAGAATTCAGAGTTGCATTTGTTGAAAATTACGAATAAAGTAAATACTTTAAAAAATATAATCGAATCGCTAAGGGAATGTGTTGTGAATTCTTGAATATAGATCTAAATTGTGCATTAAGCACTTCATATGATTTTTTAATTACTAATAAATTTTAAATTAATTTAATCAATGATGGTGCAATTATTAATTAAATCACTATTAATAAATTTCATTATATTTCATATGAAGGAGATGTGAATGAATCTTAAATTATTTTTGATAATTGCCAAATTAATAGTAATATTAATTAGACTAATGGTAAAATCAAAGATTTCAAAATGCAAACAAATCCTTAAATTGTTAATTGTAACTTTAATACATTTGAATTATTGGTTGAACAAATAAATATAGAAAATATTTTAAGGATTTATTAATTATAAAAAGTATTTAGATAATAATTATCAAAATTTACATCTTTCAAATTGACACCTTTAGAAAAGTTAAAATCTAAAGCCAATAAACCAATAATCAAAGATAAAATTATAAACTGTAAAGAAATAATATTCAAATATTTGTCTAAACCCTTCTTTGCAGAAATTATTCTTCTAGAAATCAATACAAAAGATATTAATAATATTGAATTAAATTAATTGTTGATTAAATTCTAAAATTCTTGCTTATTTGTAATAGATTAAATTTAATCTAAAAACAGTTCTTAATTAATGTAAATTAATATTAGATCTGCAATACTCAATTTTGAAGAAGAAATTAAAGATATTAATGTATTTATTTAAAGTATTAAATAATTTAATTCTATTGTATCAAAATAATAGATATTTGATATTAATCAAGAAAATATTGATACTTTCTAAATAAAGAAAAGAAGATCCTCTCATGATGGTGTTTTTAAGCATACATCCAATGATTAAGATCAAACAACTAAAATTAGATCAATCTTTGGTAAAAATATCAATCTAAGTATCTTAAATTTAGAAGTAATTGTCAAGGATACAAAATTTAATGATGCATTATGTAGATATAGAAGATTTTAAGAAAAATTTGAAAATATCAAAAGTAGATAAAATGAAAGTAAAGTATTAGAAGGCTTAAAAACATAATAATCATATCCTTTATTGAATTTGAAATTATAGAATCTCAATTTATAAATAAAGAATTAAAATTTGAGTATCAATTAAGTAATTGATAAGATAATAAAATTAGATTCTCATACAACATAATTAAATGAATCATTTTTTTAATATTTTGAATTGGCTAATTATGATATTTAAATAGATTAAATTAAAATATCTATTAGAGATTATAAACTTTCTTTACTTGATTTAAAAGGTATTAAATTCAATATTTTTATATGTCTATCAAAATTGAATACATAAAATATTTAGAATGAATTTAGAATATTTTATGATTTATGTTTAGAAATAAAGTAATTATAAATATCTGCAGGATTAAATTTAATATTTGCTTTTAGGGAAATATCTAATAGAATTAATTAAATTATGGGTTAAAATATGAATTAATAATAAAATAAAATCATAATAAAATAGTAATTATCTTTTTGGGACAGATTTAGATTAAAATTTCATGGCAAATTGCAATTACAACTAAAACATTTAATTTTTTAAATCACTACTGATATATTGCCATATTCAATTGATTGTATTAAATTTTCATCTAAATTAATAAATATTGAATTTTTAAATTGGACATTAAAAGGATAAGCAGATAAATTGAAATTAAGTAGAGTTCCAAAAATATAAAAAGTTCTTTATATCCCTAGAATTTAAATTGTAAGTGAATTTAATTGGTTTGCAAAAAAAGATTAGTATGATCATTATTTTTATTTGAGAAAACCATACTTTAATTAAATAAATAATAGTTTAAATGATTTTATAAGTCAATAATTAAAAATTGAAATAAAAGTTGATTGCATTTAATATGAACATTTTAAAGAATATAATTTTAAAGAACAACAAAAGCATTGTTTCTTTATTCATTATTAAAACTAATTTATGAGATGGTTAAAGAATAGACCAATATTGAGACATGATGTATTAAGAATGTTTTCAGTTTAAATTAATAATAAAATATCATAAATAAAGGAAAATCAAGTATATGAGATGGAATGTAACATGTATGCTGATTATAAAAAATTGATTAATTACACATATATAAAATTTATGGAATCGTTGAAGATTAAATAATCATTATTTTAACATACAAAAAAGATCAATATAAGAGTATATTCCAATAAATTTAGAATGTTTTTTACAAACTCTGAAAAACCAGTATCACATAGTGAAACCTTTCTAAAAAATAAAGATATTCCATTTATTGGATTCTAAACATTATTTTAATCATTAAAACTCAATATCTAATTAGAACCTAATAGTAAAGATAAATAATAAAAATTTGTTCTACAATCTATAGCTGCTAAATGTGATTAATTGATATCTTCAATGTTTGATGGGAAACAGATGTTAGATATAGAATAACCAGAAAATTTAAGTCAATAAGATTAATTTTTAAATTTTTTTGATATTCAACCTGTTGATTACTATTAGAATGAATTAAATTAATCTTAGAAACTACAAAACATGACTTTTCAAGAATTAAATAAATTGAAAAAATTCGTTAAAAAACCTTTCATTATTAATACTACACTTACTCCATAGTATCATTTATTTAATTTATTAAATGACGAATTATCTATAGAGAATTCACTTGAAGATGTTAAATTTAGAGGAAGAATATCAGGAGTTGAAATTAAACAATAATATATAAATGAATTCAATGCTTTTGACATTTTCTTAAAAGCTAAATAATTAGAATATAAATAGAACTAAAAAATTAATTTATAGGATGAAAATGATGAGAGTAATACCAAAATGACTGAAAAAATAATAAAGAATTTCATTTCTGCATTAGATTGTTAATTTCTATTTACTTTTTACTTATAAGAAATTTGGGTTAATGTTTTTGAGAGTCTTGAAATTCCTTAGAATAAAGAGACTAAATAAAATTTTAATATGAAATTAGAATTCACAAAAGCTAAATCATATTATAGAGAAGAATTAAATTTAATGGTATCTTTGATCAATCCTTAATTAAATTTCTAATATCATTATGCTAATTGTTAAATGATCTTAACATCACCCAAAGATTGTTAAATTATAATGTTAGAATAAATTCTACCATTTGATAGTTTAGAAATTGATAAAAAATTAGTTACAAAATTGATATTTAATGGATTAGATTGTCAATTATTAAAAAAACATTTAGATGCTAAATAAATTGTAAGATTTACAAATCAAGATTATGAAAAAATTATTTAATGTGATTATGCTCTATTTTAGATATAAAATTATTAATTAAGAGAAAATATAAGAGATTTTACAGAAATACCTTCATTAAATTGTAAAAAACATAATTTTAATTATTGGAATTAAGAATTAAGGAGACCTATTATATAAGTAAAAGTTGGATAATTAAATGCTACAATGAAAAAATATTAATTAGATTAATTTTTAGATATGTTAACATTTATGGAAATGGCAGTTACTACAAAAAATGAATTAGAAAAAAAGGAGATATTTTATAGAAATAAATTAAAAGAATTAAATTAATATGGTATAAAATAAATTGATCAATTAATTAGAAAGAAAATATCAGAAAATCTTGAACATTATGGAACTGAAAAATCAAAATTAGACTATTCCATTAAAGAAGCTAGTCTATCTTTATTAGATGAATAAGAAATTAGCTTTATTTTATTTAATATTAAATAAATTAAAATTATTGAAACTCTATTTGAGAATGATAGTCATAAAATTGATATTCTACTCTAAGATTTAAATGCTATTAATAAAATTGAATAAGATCCTGATTATAAAATGGTATTAAGTTAAGAAATCAAAATAAATAAATAACAACCCTTTTTTAGAATGATCAAAAAATATTATCCTCTTTAAATATATTAATAAAAATGGTTTGTTATTGATCAAAATGATATTAAAATGAATCCATTAACAATCATTTTAACAGATGAATTATATGATTAATTTTATAATTATTTCTTTGGTGATGATTCTACTTAAAAGAATAATAAATTAAGTGTTGAAAAGAAAGAATAAATGAAATGTAAATTTAATTAAATTATGTATTAGCTGCTAAGGAAAATATATCTAAATAAATACCTGATTATTTTCATTCATTATAAGTAGGTGAACTTAAATTAGTAGCCACTTTCAAACATCCATCTAAAATTAAAAGATTTAAAGATGTTACTATTTAATTGGAACCATACAGATCTCCTAAATAGTTCACTACTATAAAAGAAGTATAATAATATTTCAATTTATTATTAGTAATTTGATGAATTTGCAAGTTTTGTACTTAAATAAATTTCTACATAGATATTTTCTATTATTGGATAAAAGCTTTTTGGATGAAAATATGATATTAAAATTCAATAATTTATTATTATTTCCATTTAATGAATATTCAATTCTAAGATTAACTAAAGTCCTATTGGAGTAATTATGTTGATAACTACTCAAAAATTCAAGGAAACTAAGCCAGTATTGGTATTACTCTAATTAATATGCTTGATATATCAAATGCTTCAAGAATATTTGAATCAGGATGTGGACCTGGATTATTAATTCCTACAATACTCTTGAATAAAACATTAAATTGTGAATACATTTCAACAGATTTATCTGAAAAAATGGTTGAATCATCTAAATTACGAGTACTCAATTTTTTAACATTTCCTAATGGATAATAAGAGAATGATTCAGAAATCTTATTTAAATAAATTTCTTGGAGGGCTGAAGTAGCTAATGCAGAAGATTTATCATAATTTTCTACTGATTATTTCGATATATATTATGGTGGATTTATTTTCCATTTAGTATTAAATCCAATGACAGCTTTGAAAGAAGCATATAGAATTTTGAAACCTGGAGGAAAGATTGGATTCTCGATTTGGGGAAGAAAAGAAATAGCTGACAATTATACAATATTGAGAACAACTGCAGCAGAAGTTGGTTATGTATTTCCAAAGAGTCATGATGCTTTTCATTTAGGATCTGACAAAGCTGAACTAAAATAATTCTTAGAAAACTTGGGATTTAAGAATATATGTATATTCAAAATTAATTTTTAGTGTTATGGTATTAAAATACTGCAGCTAATAGATTCACAGCTGAATAAATAATAGAAGGTTAAAATCCTAGCATGATTGAATTACTTTAAAAAGATCAAGATTTATATAAATAATTATTAAAAAAATTGGATGAAAAAATTCAGCATAAATTGAATGTCTTAAATGAACCATTAATGTAAGATTGTTTATTAGTTATTGCATAAAAATGAAAAATTAATTTATAAAATATTAGAGTTAAATACATCTTTTTAATCATTTTTCTTTATATTATATTTTATTAATAATAGTAATAAAATATATAATATATATATACTAATAAAATAGATTATATATTTCTGAATATATTAAACTTACTTTTTTTAGAGTAAATTAAATTATAAAATAAATTTCAATCATTCCTTCTCAAAATTAAATTTTCGAAAATAAATTTATATATTGATTGAATTTAATAATTAAATGATTATTATATCATCCATAATATTATTATTATGAAATTGATATAACTAATCTTGTTTGATCAAAAATGTAGATGTAATTTCATAGAATAAAAATAAAAAGATAATAAAGTATTTATATTATTTGTTTAAAATTTATATGAATATAAATATTGTCACATTTATTTAGTTTATTTACTTAATTGGCAAAGCAAGATATTATAAAGTTANGGACCTGGATTATTAATTCCTACAATACTCTTGAATAAAACATTAAATTGTGAATACATTTCAACAGATTTATCTGAAAAAATGGTTGAATCATCTAAATTACGAGTACTCAATTTTTTAACATTTCCTAATGGATAATAAGAGAATGATTCAGAAATCTTATTTAAATAAATTTCTTGGAGGGCTGAAGTAGCTAATGCAGAAGATTTATCATAATTTTCTACTGATTATTTCGATATATATTATGGTGGATTTATTTTCCATTTAGTATTAAATCCAATGACAGCTTTGAAAGAAGCATATAGAATTTTGAAACCTGGAGGAAAGATTGGATTCTCGATTTGGGGAAGAAAAGAAATAGCTGACAATTATACAATATTGAGAACAACTGCAGCAGAAGTTGGTTATGTATTTCCAAAGAGTCATGATGCTTTTCATTTAGGATCTGACAAAGCTGAACTAAAATAATTCTTAGAAAACTTGGGATTTAAGAATATATGTATATTCAAAATTAATTTTTAGTGTTATGGTATTAAAATACTGCAGCTAATAGATTCACAGCTGAATAAATAATAGAAGGTTAAAATCCTAGCATGATTGAATTACTTTAAAAAGATCAAGATTTATATAAATAATTATTAAAAAAATTGGATGAAAAAATTCAGCATAAATTGAATGTCTTAAATGAACCATTAATGTAAGATTGTTTATTAGTTATTGCATAAAAATGAAAAATTAATTTATAAAATATTAGAGTTAAATACATCTTTTTAATCATTTTTCTTTATATTATATTTTATTAATAATAGTAATAAAATATATAATATATATATACTAATAAAATAGATTATATATTTCTGAATATATTAAACTTACTTTTTTTAGAGTAAATTAAATTATAAAATAAATTTCAATCATTCCTTCTCAAAATTAAATTTTCGAAAATAAATTTATATATTGATTGAATTTAATAATTAAATGATTATTATATCATCCATAATATTATTATTATGAAATTGATATAACTAATCTTGTTTGATCAAAAATGTAGATGTAATTTCATAGAATAAAAATAAAAAGATAATAAAGTATTTATATTATTTGTTTAAAATTTATATGAATATAAATATTGTCACATTTATTTAGTTTATTTACTTAATTGGCAAAGCAAGATATTATAAAGTTATAAAAAAATCAATAATTTCTATTTATATAATGCTTTGAACTGAAATTCACTTATTTTTATTGTATATTTTAAATTATAATTAAAATAAATTTTATATTTATTTTTGGAATTAAATTCCTTAAGTATTCTTATTAATGGCAGTTTTAAAAAGTTAAATATTTTTAAGCATTTGATAAAAATCAGCTTTATAATTTGTTATAAATATATAAGTTTATTCATTCACCATTGTTGCAAAAACAAAAGAAATTAGTTGTTTTTTTAACCTTTTTTTATTCAGTGATTGGGATACGTTTTTCTTTATTTAATGAGTTACTATATGATGAACGAGGTTGGATTCTCTAAGGAGGAGTGACTTATCGTTCAATAAAAGAAACCTTAAGAGAAAATTTAGTTTAATCACAATCTTTTAGTTGAAGTTCATTTCTGAATGCTAAAAATAGGTTAAATAAAATACATGGAAAATCTTCATTTGGTTTACCTTATTTCTTTTTAGGTAAATATAATTTAGTTTATTCAATATCAATCTTAGGTAAATTAATTTCTTTTAACTTCAAAATAGCCCAATTACAAATATCACCCAGACTTAAGATTTCACTAAAGCCTTAAGAAAATTCGTAAGTTGAATCATTTTCTTAATCATACCAATATATCGTAATTAATTTTTCAGTGGTGCAATCTCCAAAACTTTTCGAATTTTTCCTTAATTTGAGCAAGCTGACTTTCTATTCAGGACTGCGATCTAAATATTATCAAATTATACTTTAAGGTTTAAGAGATTTCATCTTGATTGAGATATCAATGGATTCATCGATTTAATCTAACATAATATAAAAATTTATATCTGTACTACAGAATTAATTTTATTATAAAATCATTATTTATGGAATAACTATTATATGATAGAAATATAAATCAATGAAATGATGTTAAGTAGGATATTGTATTTCTTCATAAATATTCATATAAGAAATTAGCTTAACTTATTAAATAAATACATATATACTTAAATCTTTAATATGAAAGAATAAATCAAGAAATTAAATACTTAAAAAGATTAACTATATTAGTGAATAGTTAAATTACATTATAAAAACAATTTAATAAAGTAAATAAAATAATGTTCTTTATTTAAAATTCTTAATAAGAATTCAAACTTTGAATTTACATGAGATAAGGTAGATATTAAATTAATGATAGTTTTACAAATAAGAAACAGTAATTATACTAAGATTTTATAATATAGGATTTATATATTTATTTTAGTGCGATAATTAAAATAGTACCTATTAGATATAAAAGTAGAAAAAGATAAGAATTAGTAAAGGATATTGTATATGAAATATGTTCTATTAATAAAAATTTAAATGAATTGAACATTATTCATGTTAGTTTTTATGTGGCTGTTCTTTTAGAAGATCTTGCAGTATATTGAAATTATGATTTATTAACTAATTTATAAGTGCTTTTTTCAATTATAATTTTTTTTGGTTTAGCAGCTCTATTTTATTGTAATGTATGAGAAGACTTTATTGAATAGTTTTCTTCTGATAATTCGAAATCAATATTTGGATTAGAATCGTATTGAGAATCAGCCATCATGAGGAGATGTTCTTAAACTTAGTTTTCATTTAATTTGGGCAGACTTGTTAATAAGGCAGTCATTTTTTCATCAAATGTAATAAGCATATCTATTGTGAATTAACTATAAAACCCTTTAATTTAGACTTTCGATCTAAGCTAATCAATTGGCTTTTATGAAGTGTATAGATACAGTAAAATATTTTGCCGAAGTCTGTATCATATTATAACATTAAATATATAAATTATCATTAATTAAATATTTATAAAATGTTTACTTAAGCAATTATTCTAATAAATCAATATTGCGATGTTCTAAATGTGAAAAGAGAATTTGAAAGAAATCAAAAGATAATTCTAAACTTCTATCTTTATCAATTAAATTGATCAAAATTAGATTAAAAAAAACAAATTTAATTAAAATAATAATAAAACAATATATAATAAATATATAAATTTCAATCGACTTGGTCTACTGTTGGTTTGAATTCTGATCCAGCTCCTCTATTCATATTAGGCATTGATGCTCCAGCTCCAGCGGCAGCTCCAGTTTAGGCATATACTCTTTACATAATAGGATGGAATTTAGATTCAAGTTCTTTTAATTTGTCTTTATAAACATCAGCTTCTTCATTTTAATGTGAATCCAACCATTTTTAAGTTTATTCAACTAAATCTGATAATTGTCTCTTTTCATCAGAAGTGAATTTATCCTTAAATTATTCATCATTCATAGTATTCTTCATATGATAAGCAGTTGACTCTAAATTATTTTTGGCTTCAATTCTTAATTTAATTTTTTCATCATCAGCTTTATACTTTTCAGCTTCATTAACTAATCTATCTATATCTTATTTAGATAATCTTCCCTTATCATTTGTAATTGTGATCTTATTATTTTTCTTTGAAGCCTTATCTTCAGCAAGAATGTTCATGATACCATTTTCATCAATATCAAATGTGACTTCAATTTAAGGAACACCTCTAGGAGCAGGAGCAATACCATCTAATTAGAATTATCCTAATTTATGACAATCTTTAGTCATTTATCTTTCACCTTCAAATACTTAAATTAAGACTCCTGGTTAATTATCAGCATAAGTTGTAAATACTTAACTCTTTTTAGTAGGAATTGTAGTATTTCTTGGAATCAATACACTCATAACACCTCCTGCTGTTTCAATACCCAAAGATAATGGTGTTACATCCAATAATACTAAGTTTTCACATTTTTATGATCCAGTTCCAGTTAATATTGCTGCTTATACTGCTGCTCCATATGCAACTGCTTCATCTGGATTAATTGATTTATTCAACTCTTTTCCATTAAAATAATCCTTTAATAATTCTTAAACTTTAGGAATTCTTGTTGATCCTCCTACTAATACTACTTCATGGATTTAACTCTTTGACATACCACTATCCTTAAGAACTTATTCAACTGGTGGAATACATTTCTTAAATTGATCTAAACATAATTCTTCAAATTTAGCTCTTGTGATTGAACAATTAAAATCTTCATTTTCAGCCAAAGCATCTAATTCAATTGTAGTTTAATTGGCAGATGATAATATTCTCTTAGCTCTTTCACATTAAGTTCTTAATCTTCTCAAAGCTCTAGCATTAGATCTTAAATCGATTCCCTTTTTCTTCTAGAATTCTGCACAACAATACTCAACCAAACGATTATCAAAATCTTCTCCTCCTAAATGAGTATCACCAGAAGTAGCTTTAACTTCAAATATTCCTTCATCAATTGTTAATAAACTAACATCAAATGTACCACCACCAAGATCAAATATTAAAACATTCTTTTCTCCTTTTGTTTTCTAATCTAATCCATAAGCTATTGAAGCTGCTGTTGGTTCATTTATTATTCTAAGTACATTTAATCCACAAATCAAACCAGCATCTTTAGTTGCTTATCTTTATGAATCATTGAAATATGCTGGTACTGTAATAACTGCATTCTTAACTTATTTTCCAAGATATGCTTCTGCTATCTCCTTCATTTTTGTTAAAACCATTGATGAAATTTCTTCTGGATGGAATTTCTTAGTTTCTCCCTTGAATTTAACAACTATCAATGGTTTATCATCAGCACCTGCTTCTACCTTAAATGGCCATAATTTAATATCCTTCTAAACTGTTGGATCATTGAATTTTCTTCCAATAAGTCTCTTAGCATCAAAAACTGTATTTTAAGGATTTCTAGCAACTTAATTCTTTGCAGCATCTCCTATTAATCTTTCATTCTCTGTAAAGGCTACATATGAAGGAGTTGTTCTATTTCCTTAATCATTAGCTATGATTTCAACTTTATCATTTATAAATACACCTACACATGAATATGTAGTTCCTAAATCTATTCCTATTGCTGTTTCGTTTGATTTTGACATTATTTTTAAAAGCTTACTTGTTTTTTATTAATTAAATCAATGATTCTACTCTATCATTCGTTTTAAAGGACCTAACTCTAAAAATTCTAGAATTTATTAATTCTCGAAAACAGAATTTTCCAGAATTAAGAAAAATTTATTTTTCTATTAATTAATTTTAATTATTATTTATTTTAATTAAATAGTATTATATTGTATATTTTAAGAAGTTTATTAAAATTTTCAATATGAAATAGTTAAATAGAATTTATATAATATAAATTAATATATATTAATACAAGATATATATATTTAAGATTCTAAAGATAATTAAATTTATCACTTATTTATATTAAATATTCTATTCATTTGACTTATATCCTTTTGATTAAATAGTATAAATAGACAATAATTTCAAAATAAATGATTNTCTATCTATATCTTATTTAGATAATCTTCCCTTATCATTTGTAATAGTGATCTTATTATTTTTCTTTGAAGCCTTATCTTCAGCAAGAATGTTCATGATACCATTTTCATCAATATCAAATGTGACTTCAATTTAAGGAACACCTCTAGGAGCAGGAGCAATACCATCTAATTAGAATTATCCTAATTTATGACAATCTTTAGTCATTTATCTTTCACCTTCAAATACTTAAATTAAGACTCCTGGTTAATTATCAGCATAAGTTGTAAATACTTAACTCTTTTTAGTAGGAATTGTAGTATTTCTTGGAATCAATACACTCATAACACCTCCTGCTGTTTCAATACCCAAAGATAATGGTGTTACATCCAATAATACTAAGTTTTCACATTTTTATGATCCAGTTCCAGTTAATATTGCTGCTTATACTGCTGCTCCATATGCAACTGCTTCATCTGGATTAATTGATTTATTCAACTCTTTTCCATTAAAATAATCCTTTAATAATTCTTAAACTTTAGGAATTCTTGTTGATCCTCCTACTAATACTACTTCATGGATTTAACTCTTTGACATACCACTATCCTTAAGAACTTATTCAACTGGTGGAATACATTTCTTAAATTGATCTAAACATAATTCTTCAAATTTAGCTCTTGTGATTGAACAATTAAAATCTTCATTTTCAGCCAAAGCATCTAATTCAATTGTAGTTTAATTGGCAGATGATAATATTCTCTTAGCTCTTTCACATTAAGTTCTTAATCTTCTCAAAGCTCTAGCATTAGATCTTAAATCGATTCCCTTTTTCTTCTAGAATTCTGCACAACAATACTCAACCAAACGATTATCAAAATCTTCTCCTCCTAAATGAGTATCACCAGAAGTAGCTTTAACTTCAAATATTCCTTCATCAATTGTTAATAAACTAACATCAAATGTACCACCACCAAGATCAAATATTAAAACATTCTTTTCTCCTTTTGTTTTCTAATCTAATCCATAAGCTATTGAAGCTGCTGTTGGTTCATTTATTATTCTAAGTACATTTAATCCACAAATCAAACCAGCATCTTTAGTTGCTTATCTTTATGAATCATTGAAATATGCTGGTACTGTAATAACTGCATTCTTAACTTATTTTCCAAGATATGCTTCTGCTATCTCCTTCATTTTTGTTAAAACCATTGATGAAATTTCTTCTGGATGGAATTTCTTAGTTTCTCCCTTGAATTTAACAACTATCAATGGTTTATCATCAGCACCTGCTTCTACCTTAAATGGCCATAATTTAATATCCTTCTAAACTGTTGGATCATTGAATTTTCTTCCAATAAGTCTCTTAGCATCAAAAACTGTATTTTAAGGATTTCTAGCAACTTAATTCTTTGCAGCATCTCCTATTAATCTTTCATTTTCTGTAAAGGCTACATATGAAGGAGTTGTTCTATTTCCTTAATCATTAGCTATGATTTCCACTTTATCATTTATAAATACACCTACACATGAATATGTAGTCCCTAAATCTATTCCTATTGCTGTTTCGTTTGATTTTGACATTATTTTTAAAAGTTTACTTGTTTTTTATTAATTAAATCAATGATTCTACTCTTTCATTCGTTTTAAAGGACCTAACTCTAAAAATTCTGGAATTTATTAATTCTCGAAAACAGAATTTTCCAGAATTAAGAAATAAATTATTTTTCTATTAAATAATTTTTAAAACTTATATAATTTTATTATTTTTAATTAAATAAATAGTATTCTATTTAATGAATAATATTAAATTTACAAAAATTTAAATCGCAAAATTGATAATACCGCCATATTTTATTTATATTCATTTTTCTCATTACTTATAGCTTAATTTACAAAGTACATAGGTAAATGATATTTTATCCTAAATACAGAAAAGTTTCTGTTACATGCTAAAAGGCAATTATTTTATCTATATTAATAATGAATTCATAAAGGATTTAATTCTTTTTATGTTAAATTATATACATTTATAATTAATAGAGCTAATTATTTAAAAAATCAAACATTATGTAATTTAATTATAATCAAATTTAATTAAAACAAAAGAAATATCATTTATATTTAGATAAACTTAGTGTTTGTATTTTTTTCTCTTATCTCTGTATTGTTTATTATAAAATAAGCTTTTCTTCCCTTAAGTCTTAAACTTCTTTGGTTATTTTATCTATATCTTAATTTAATTGTTTGTTAGTTCTCTGTAAAGCCTATATTTATTCTAACATTGTCTTTTATCTCATTTAGTTTAATTCTTTTTATCTTTCAACTTATTATTGTAATTTCTCAATTTGATGAACTAAATCTTATTCTCTCATTTATAGAGCTTGTTTGTTTGTTGAAGTTGCTTAAAATTTTTATTTAATATTTTAATTTTCATTTGATAAATTCTCAACTTTAGTTTATAATTCTTCACAAGTCTAGCTATTTATTTCAGATTAAATTCTATAATTTAAATTAAAAGTAATACTTAAGTAAATCTAAATCAAGGTCTTTTTTTGATATAACTAATTTTGATAAGATATCTTTAACTTCTATTTTGTTAGATATTTTATTAGACAATTCATCATAAACAGATTCACACAGTTTAGATATTTTTTAAATTTACATATGATACAACTTTTCTGACTGTGCTAATTTTAATTTAAGTTCTTTATTTTCTAATTTTACAATATCAGCTATTTATTATAATTCTAGTAATTAATTTTAATAATCTTCATCTTTCTATTTAATTGATGACTATAATTAGTAATTAAGATCTTCAATAGTTTAATATAGTTGTTAATTATTATATTTTAATTAATCATCTTCAGTCATTGATTTATATTTATTTAATTGATTTTCTAATTCTTAGATATAAACTAATTATCTTGTAATTTCTTCACAATTAGATTCTCTAACTATTTTATGTTCTTCCAAAGTATTGGATAATTTTATAATATCATTCTGCAATTAAGCTACTGTTCTTTCATGCTTTTTGAATTCATCTCTTTTGAAACCTTTTTAAAACAATGTTATAGTTTCATTATTTATGCTTTAGTCTTTCTTTAAGTTTTCATTCTAATTTTTTAACTATTATTTTGAATATTATTTATTACATGAGAATGTTATTTTTCTAGACCTCTAAATTTCAATTTATACTTTTTGAATTCTTCTGCTTAATCATGAACTTTTTAATTTAATTCATCTATACGATTCAACATAGAATTCTTTTCTTATTTTAAAATGTGAATCTTCTTTTTCTTATGAGCCAATTAAGCTTATAATTCTGTAATACTTTGTTTACTATAAAAATTGCAATCTGTTAACATTTAAAATAAATTAAAATTTTATCATTCCTTCACTAATGTAATGGCATTATATTCTCTTCCTCTCATTTCTTAATCCTTTAAGTATTAAGCTCTATATGAATTGACTTTTCTATCATTATCTGTCATTCCAAAAATCCTATTTTGAGTATCTATATTTGAATTGGCTGCTCTTTTCTTCATCCAATCTTTATGCATTTCAAAATTCTTAATTGGAAATTATCCTTAATGCAATAAAGGATCTTCTGGATTAGGCTTATTTTGAACATGTTTAACATTGTCAAATTCTATTGATGGATTACTACAATTAAATCTTTCAAGTGCTATATGTGTAATATTACTATTTTACACTTAAATCTCTTGAAATGTTGAGTAGTTTTATACTCCTCTTATTTTTTGAATTTTTCATATTCTTCTTTATATAATTCTGTTTATTCATTTGTTGGATTATCTAAAGCAAACAAACCTGATTTGAAACCTAATTTTGCTTTCTTATATGCTTTATTGACATCTTAAAATTAAGATCTCCATTAATTATATTTGATTTAATTTTATTTAGCTTATTATAAATCCTTACGATATTCTTCAGGTTTCTTTAATTCTGGTTATGTTTAATAATTAATTTTTGTTTCATCAAATTATTTTTCAGGAATTTACAATAGTTTTTTTTTTAAGAATGATTAACTAGTTGCTTGAAGTGGATGCTAAGTTATCAAATGATTGATAGGATATTAATTGAGATAATCTACATTATCTTCAATCAATCTAGGTTATTGACTTCTAAAATAAAAACTTTAATTCTTAATAGTCATATTTTATGGAGTATCTCCTTATTTCATAGTTCGAGCACCTAGTTATGCAAATTGACTATGTTGTAAGAACTTGCCTAAATGTTATGCATCCCAAGTGTTTCCTAACATCTTAATAGATCCATCTAATGCTGAAGGTGTTTGACTAAATTAAGTTTCACAATATTTACGATTGCTTTGTTTATGCTTGAATTGTGCTATTCATGAAATTTGGTAATATATTCTATGTATTTCCACAAGAATCATCCTCTCTTCTCATAAATTCTCTAAAATTGTCTTTACCAACATCTGGTACTCTTTCCTTTTATCTAAATAACATTTATTTTTTAAATATATTAAAAATGATTAACTCATTTTTTAATAAACATACAATAATTATTATTGATATTTCATTATATTTCAATATTCTGGGGGAAATTTATTGAATGTCACTTCTTTGTCTATAATTAAACCATTAATTTTATAAGAAACTTTTATTTTCATTACAATTCCCTTTTATCCTTGATTTGAATTTGTGATTTTTAGAGTCTAAAAAAATAAATATGTTTAAATACCGATATCACTTAACCAGTGCTATTGCCATTAATTGTTGAAGATGTTGGTTATGTAAGTTATAATTTCATATATTTTAATACAGCAAAGGAAAGTTATAATTCTGTTATTGGACTAGCTGTTTTATTGTTGAAATAAGCTGTAATATTAGTTTGATCTGGAGTTTCCTTAAATATTTATATTAATTTATACTTTAACTGCTCTAAATTCTATTTATAATGCACCATCATCAAAAGCAATGGCTTATTGTGTTAATGACTTTTATTCAACTTATTATGGTTATAAAATAGGTTATTATTATGTTTATGTTTAGATAATTGATTATTATTATTATTATTACATGATATAAGGTATATTTTATGGTATTGGTTTTTATTATTATTATGGTTAGAGATTTAATTCAAATATATCACCAGGTAAATTAACTAATGGTTATTATTATTATTATTATTATTATTATTATTATTATTATTATTATTATTATTATTATTATTATTATTATTATTATTAGAATGGAAATTATTATTACTGCTAATATAGATTTATATTTTAATTATATAAATTTTATAATGGATTAATAGGTTATTATTATTATTATATTTCCTATTTAATTGAAAATTCACCTATTCCACCCAATTAATTATAACTTTATTAAGTAGTTTATGGTTGAGTTCCAGATAAATTAAGTGTTATATCAAATGGATCAAATAAATTACCAGGCAATTAGGTTGTAATTTATGGTTATTATTATTATTATTTTTATTAATTTTAATCTTAATTTCCAATAAGATTTTCAATATCAAATCCATATAATTTAGTTGAATCATTACTATTAGCAGGTTTAGCTTATTCTAATTCTGTTTTAGCTGGTGGATATTCATCATATTCAACATCACCTATAGGTTTATTATCATAGATAGCTTTATGTGAATCACTAGGTGGTATTTATTCACAAATACCAGCTCTATGCTGATCCCATTAAACATCTAATAAACCATAATATTCTTAAGCTCTTTTAGAGACTTCTATGGATGTTGAATTAATTTATGATTATATTAATTTTGCAATGGTAGGTTAAAATTTATTTATTTTAGGATATAATTTAATAAGAGCAGATAATACATATTCTTTAATAACATTCTTTTAATTAGGTTTTTCTAATAATTTAGTAAGTAGATCTAGAATTTCTTCTTCTGTTATTTAAATAGGAGTGTTATCTATTGCTGTTGCATCTCCTTTTAATAAAAGATGACCAAAATCTCCTATACAATATGCAGTAGTTCTTGCTAATCCTTCTTAATTTAAATTTTCTTATAATGAGAAAAACAATTTATGAATAGCATAACTTTACAATTCAGGAGTACCAATAATTAAATGAATTAAAGATGAACTTGATTCTTCTTCAACATAATTTCCTGCCAATATCAAAATTTTAATGAATGTATCTATATACCATCTTCTTGATGGAGCATATTTTTCAACAATTTAACAAATTTTATTAGTTAATTCTTTAGTAAAATCAGCATCTTCTTCAGTTAGACTAAGTAATACATTTAATAATTCTTTAACAATACCTTTTACATTAGTTTCATTAGTAATTACATATAATAAATCTAATGCTAATGTTTTAATTGAATTATCATTTTCTTTCAAACATTCTAAAATAGTTTATTTATGTTTTTGAACAGCTTAGAGATCATGTTTCAATACTTTTTATAACATAAATAATGAAATATATTTACTATTTGCATCTTTATTCTATAAAAACTTACCTAAAATATTGATTCCTAAAGTCTTAAGAGTATTAGAAGATTCAATTGCAAAAATAGTTTTTACACATTCATATAAAACAGCATTACCTGAATTTTTAGTATTATTTGTATTAGCTGCAACTTAAGTAAGGATATCTGAGACTTCTCCTGATAATTAAACATTTCCTTGACACATAATTCTAAAATATTTAAGAATCTCAATTTATAAAAATGGATCTGATACTCCACCTATATCATATTCTGCAGAATAAGTAGAATAAATAGATTTGAATATTCTAACCATAGGTTATACAAATTTTTAAAATCTTTATTTTTGATCAGGTTGTATTTATAAAATATGTTATGCTAATTACAATGAAGCTACTAATACTCCATGATGTCTATCATCTAATAATAGTTCAACTTTTTATGAAAACTCATCAATTTTTTCTGGTACACGTGTCACTATTCTAGTACTTGCTAAAGCTGCTTTTTTTTTTATATATGCTGTGCCATTCTGCAATAATTTCAAAACCTCTCCTGATAATGATCTACACATTTCACTTGTGCATACTTCACTTAGTGCCATTAATGCCAATGATACTATATAATTAGATGGATTATTTAAATCAATTCTAATTCGATTTGTGGCCATCATTAACACTTCACTTTTCTCATTAAATAATTGTGTCAATGCTAAATAACCTATTCTCTTTTCATTATATGTATTGGCTGTTATTAAATGCAAACATTCCATTTAAGCAAAATCAGTCTCATAACCCAACATAGATATGAAAAGCAACTTAGCCACATTTCTGGGTCTATATTCTGATTCATTTGCTGAAAAGGATTCTCTTATCAATGCTTATTCTTTCTTTATTAATGCTCTCTCTTCTGCAGCTGTTTTACATGTTCTAATATTTCTAATCAAATCTCTTAATTTCGTTGACATTTATTTTCCAATGTTTAAAGATATATAAATTATTAATATTAATGTAAAATTCACTTGTTGTTTAATTAAAAAATGACAACATTTTGTTTATCATTCTTGCATGATTCAAAATAAAAAACTAAATTATATCATTATCAATTAATATATATTTATTATACTCTAATACTATCACTCCAGTGATTTCTTATTGAATAAATTCATAACAATTTATATTTAAATTACTTTTTATGCAATAATCACCAAATACTAGATAGATATTAGATTTAGATTTTTAAAAAGAACTTTATTAAGAAGATCTAAAGAAACTTGTGTCTAATATATAAGATAAATAAAAATTATATAACGACAATAGATTATAATAAAATGAACTGGTCTAAAAAATCATAAGAATATGTTAATAAAAATATGAGGATGATATTATTAAGAAGAGAATTGAATTATAAGAGCTAAAATAAAAGTCTGATGAATAAAAGGCTAAATAAGATGAAGAATATAGTAATTTAGAAATGGAACTTAAAAATAAAATAGTAAATGTATTCATACGTTTTCAAAAATATTACGAAAAAATAGCATAAGAAAAAAGTAAATTAGAAGAATATATTATTGGAGATACAATTGATGGTGATTATACTCTAATTTTATAAAGTGTTCATTAATCATTATCTGATTTTGAATTAGCTAAAGACAATGAATGTATAAATTAATAAACATTTCTATCCTTAAAATCTCCAAATATTCACACTAAATAACATTAAAAAATGTCTCATTTAAATTCATATGTTAATACACTTATTTTCAAAATTGAAAACGCAGATCAATAAATTTTAAATAATTAATCTGAAAATTCATAAATCTAATTAATTTTATCATAAAAACTCACATCCCTCAAACAATAAATAAGATAACTATAATAATTTAATTAAGATTGTATACAAGAAGTATTTGATCTTTAATAAGACTTTCTTACTAATCAAAGAAATCTTAAAAATTTAAGAATTAATATTTAAAATGCTTTTGCTAAAGATGAAGAAAAAAAGTGTGCAGAAATTAGTTAATTAGAATAATAAAAAAATGACATGGATAAAAGTTATAAATCTTATACTTAAATTATGTTATAAGGAAATAATTAAAGAAAAGATTATGAAGAAAATATATTTAGATTAATTTCATTATCAAATTCATTAATCCAATCATTAAATAATAGTATTGAATAATTTAGATCATAATTGGAAGCATTTTCATTAACTCCAGATACCAAAACACCTACTAATGCTTCAATCAAAAAACTTAATCTATTGAATCCCTATAAAAAAATTTTAAATGAAAAAATACAAACAGAACCTTCTACATATAATGTATAGAAATCAGTATACTTTAGAAGAAAACTTTAAGTTGAAAAATTAGGATCAATTAAAACAGATGAGAATAATATTTCTGCTATTTTTAAATAAACTTCTCAATCACCTAATTTTAGAAGTTAAATTTTACCAGAAAAATAAACGGCATTACCATTAAAATGTTCTTGTCCTCCTGAATGTTAATGTTAATAATATATCTAAGAATAAATTCATACTTGTAATAATTAATTATATATCAATTAAAAAGGAATTATTTTATGTTAGGTTTGTTAAATTTCCTTTTAAATAAATGAACATCAATTTTACTGTTAATTCAATAAGACTAAAAATAAGTTCAAATAATTTCAAGATTTTATCCATTCTTTTTGGAAATATATAATAAGTTTAACGTTAAATTAATCTATTGTAGATTTTTGGATAGGTCTAATTATTAATTGTAAATAATAATGGTAAAATGGTTCACCTAGATTACCTTCTATAAAATAAGATGAAATTATTGTAAATTTTCAATCGAATTGTCCAAATCATAGTTATTGTAATCATAAAAGTCTTCTGCCTCAAATACATTCTAATTGTAATACTCCTTTATAATTTTCCAATTATGGAGATGTTATATGTAAAAGATGCCAGTATTCTATGTTTATTTAATATCATTTAATTTAATGTCCTGAAAATAATTAATTTTATGCATTTTAAAGTGTAGAAGAATTCATTTTATCAATTGATCCATATATAAAATAATTGATAAGATAAGAAAAAAATGATTGTAATTAATTTTTATAATCATTGATTATTAATTTGAATAAAAAATGGAAATGATTTATTTTATATATAATGTTTATCACATAAAATTAAAAAATTAAAAATGAACACCAAGAACATAATTGACTCTGATTTTCATTCGAATGTTATCAATTTAGAATTAAAGTCATTTGTTTAGAAAATATAAGATAGATAAAAAAGATTATCTGAGTTATCGAAATAACTAGATGAAACCATTTAGAAATCATTATCAATTAATTCTACTATTTTTGAAAGAGAATTAAGAAACAAATAAAAAGAAATGAAGAAAACTAAATTGGAAAATGAAAAAAGAGTGACTAAAATTAAAAAAGAATATGATCTTACTGAAAATTCTAACTTATAAAAACTATTATAAAAGTAATAAGAGTATAGAGCTAATTATGAATAACTATATTAAGAAGAAATTCATTTTGTTAAGTTTTTAGATTAGCAAACAAAAAACAGTAGCTATTTTTCAGTTATAAATTCTATTTTGAATGATAGTTTAATATTCTCTGGTTAAAAATTAGATAATTCAAGTGTTCTAGAATATTTAACAGGATAAAATAAAAACAAAATTCCAAACTTTCATAATTCGATTAAATTAACAATTTAACAATTATAAAATATTGAAGAAAATTTATAATTAATACTCAATTCTAATAATGTGATTGAGTCACAATTATAATTGCTCTAATAATCATTATAGAATTTTATTAATGTTCTAAAAACAACACAAACTTCAATTGATGAAATCTTATTGGAAATGGAACAAATTTAAAAGGAAATATTTGATTCTGATAAAATTAGAAAAAATAATATTATATTAATACAATCAATAATCAAAGAAAATTAAGATTAAAAAGAATTAGAAATTCAAGAATTTATAAAAATGAATGACAATTTATTAAAATAACTTATGTCTGCTATTGAAATAAATAGAAAATATTCAATATTTTAATAATAATCAAATGAAGATCTTTAAAAATTATCTTAATTATCAGAAATATAATTATAAAATATTTCATAAATAGAAAATAAAAAATAAAATAAATAAGGTTGTGTATAATTAAAAAAAATACCAACAGTTCTCTTATCTAGAACAAGAATATATTCTGATCATAATAAGGATTTAAATGAATTATTAAATAAATCAAATGATTAATCTTTAGAATTGGGAGGTAAAAGAGATTTTATGGCTTTAGAATCTTCTTTTCTTTATTAATCATAATAAGCTATAAATACTGAAAAATCAATAATAAATTAAGTAATATAAAAGTAAGTATAATCATAAAGTCCAAATAGTACAAAATATTTGGAAAAGAAATCTCCACTTATTCCTCATAGTACAACATATAAACCAATTGCACATGTTGATAAAAAAACTGCATTACCTTTAAAATGTTCTTGTCCTCCTTAATGTTTATGTTCATCTTAAATTATTATGCAAATTCATTAATGCAATTATTAATTGTATATCAATTCATAAGGTTATGTTATGTGCCAATAATGTTAATTTTCATAATAAATTTAAGATTATGGATTCTACTGTCCTTAAAATAGGTAGAAAAATAAATTTAAAAATTATGAAGATTTTTTATTTTCATTTTGGTTACATCTTACTACTTTAACAATAAATGAATAAATTGTTGAGTTTTGGGATAATTTATAAGTAAATTGTTAAAGATAATGGATTTAAGGTAAATAAGTAGAATTAAATGATTTAACAGATGAAAATAGTATTATTAACTTAATTGCATACTGTCCTTCTAATAGTAAATGCTATCACAAAACTAGTTAATAATAAGTTCATTTTTGTTAAAGTCCATTAATGATTAATTCATTAGGTGAACTGATTTGTAAGAAATGCAATTTTTTTGGAAATCCTTAATTTCATTTTATTTAATGTCCAGAATAAAAGGGATTCTATTTTTATCAGAATATAGATTTATTCCTCAATTCTATTGATCTTAATAATTCAAATTTTGAATCAGAAAAACAAAATTTAGAATTTTTATAGAAACTGAGAAAAAATTTATTAAAAAAATGGAAATGATATTAATTACAATTTCTTATTTATTTTTTTATATATAAGCAGTCACAAATTTTCTAATGCTTTATCTATTAATTTTCTCACTTTTTTTTTATATTCATCAGGTCTATCTCTAAATTATATTCCTGCATCAACATTTGCTGGTGAATTAATATTTGGTTCAGACAACATTGAAACTATAGAAATTAAAACATCTTCTGGTGTAAGAATAGGTCTCCATCTAAGATTATTATTTTAAATAATACCTTGTTTCTGGAGGTTCTTAGTCATTAAATTCATCTTATGCATGTAAAATTGATATACAAACTCTTCCATCAGTATAAACTAATTTTAATGATAATTAAATACTATTAGGATGCCACATCTCTGTTAAGAATTTAAAAGTTGGTGGTGAATTTGGATAATCATCTGGAAATTTCATTAAAGCCTAAAAATATCCACCTTCATATAAAGTGTCTGAAGGACCTGCAAAGCTAATATTCCATGAGTATAAGCTATTTCCATCTAATCCAACAGAAACACCTTCTATAGTTTTACTTTCTTCCAATTCTAAAATTTATAAATTCAATTACACTTAAGTTACTTTTTGAGAAGAGTCACAGTGTAACTAGCAGATTAAATGGGGGCTGTATGAGTTGATTATGATTATTACATAAATTATTTTAAATAAAATATTATTACAACCTTTTATGAACATGGATTATCAAAAATCATATTATAAATATATAATACATATAATGAAAAACTAAGAAACATAAATAAATGATTTTTTATGTAAAATTCAATATTTTATTTAATATAAGAATGAAAGGTAAGAAATTTATATTATTATTTGGGATAATTTTATACATCATCTATGGAAGAATAATTCATTCTCTAATGATTGGAGAACAAAGAACTTATCAAAATATTGAAGATTAAATTGTTATAATTACAGGAGCATCAACTGGAATAGGAATGGAAGCAGCTAGAGAATTTGCAAAATTATAAGCTACTGTTATTTTTGCATGTAGAGATAAAGAATCAACAGAAAATATAATTAATGAATTAATCTAATCAACTAAAAATAATAAATTATACTTCATTTAATTAGACTTAGAATAAACAAACAGTATAATCTCTTTTGTTGAACAATTTAAAAAACAGTTTAAATATTTGAACATACTTATTAATAATGCAGGCATTGCAGATTTTGATATAGAATATGTAAGTGGAATTGAAAAAATAGTAAAAGTCAATTAAATAGGTTGGGTCTTATTGACTCATTAACTTATTGATTATTTTAATGAGAGAGGCAGAATAATTAATATAGTTAGTCATATGTACACTTGGATTTAAGAAAAAGTAGACATATTAAAAGCATTCAAAGGTGACTTAAATTATAGATATGCTATCAGTCAATATTTCAAGGTCTCTTCATCTTTATATTTATAATAATTATTAAAAGAATAAAACAAAGATATAAAAGTATTATTAGTGGCACCTGGAGCTGTAAATACAGAAATCTATGAAAAGAGTTTAAAAAATTAATTTATCCTTAGATCATTAGCCATGGTGATGAAATTTATTATGGCTCCATTTTTTTTAAGTCCAAATGAAGCTAGTTAAACATATTTATATGCAGCTCTTAGAACTTATGATTAAATCAGAGATGAAGAATTATATAATTTTAATAAAGTGGGAAAACTTAATTAAGATATGATTCAATTTAATTAAGGTTAAGAAATATATGAAACTAGTTTGAAATTAGGATTTAAAGATATAGAACTACCTAAAATAAAAAAAATTAAATTAAATTACAAATAATTTGGAAATAATCAAAAATCTTCATGGCCTGAATGCTTTGGAAAAACTGTTTAATAAGCAATTTTAATAATAAAAAAAGATGGGCCTAATTTGTTGATTTAAGTATTACCTGAAGGTTCCATTGTAACTATGGATTATAGAAGAGATCGAGTTAGAATTTTTCATAATTCATAAGGGATTGTAATTTAAGTTCCTTCTATTGGATGATTATATTAAAATATATTTATAATATTTTATGAATGATTTATAAATAATATTTTGATTTCTAATGATTGGATAAAGCAAGACTGAATTACATTAAGTATTTAAAAGTTTTGATAAAGATGGAAGTGGATATATTGATAAGTAAGAGCTCCATTTAATAGCTTAATAATTGAATTAAGAAATCAGTTAAGAAGAGATTGATAAAGTATTAGTATTTTCTATTATTTTATAGTTAATGGCAGTTGTTGATATAAATAAGGATAATTAAATATCTTTTGATGAATTTTGGAATTGGTGGTAATTTGGAAAAAATGGTCATTTAGAAAAATTAGTATTTATGAAATTGAAACTGATGAATTTATTAAAGAAGGTTAATTCATAATTCACTAGATTTGGAATATCTTTCTTTGAAAAATAAGATAAAAATTATGATCATCATTATTGGGCAATAAATTATGGTGATCAACCTTGTCATTTAAGAGTAGATAGTACCATCTTATATAATGGTAAAGGAATTGCTGAAGCTTTAAATAATGAAAATAAATTATTAAAAGGAATTTAATTAACATAAGGTAAATATTTTGATTTAACATTCATTATACGTACTCTATAACCTGAAATAGCTAAACAGAAATTTTAATAATTATATAATGATTTCATTTAAAAATTATAAAAGGTAGAATCAGAAGAATCAATGGAAATTTATGAGTTTCTTTCTAAATGTGATTTATAAGTTTCTGCTAATACAGACAGTGTAATATTATTAATTATTATTGCAGCTTATTCTGTAACTTACAATTAAACATCCTTTAGTTTAGGATTTTATTGAAACCTAATATAGTCCTTTTTTAGATTAATTGGGAGAGGATCTTGAAGTTTAAGTAGAATTAAATGTAGGTGTAAAAAATGGATTGAAAAAAATGATGAAAAAGAATTAGATTTTTATAAAATATTTGTTAGAAGGTTTCTTAGTTGAATTTTAAGCTAAATTTAATTCATCTCTTGCAAAAAAAATATTTAACTTAGTACTCTTTCTTATTTAATAAGCATAATCAAAGAAAATGGAAAAAAAATAAGTGCTTTCACAATTTAAATAAGGATTTACATTTCCTCTTCTTTTTAAACATTCTAAATTTCATTTATAATTTAAAAATATGGAAGATGTTGATGTTTTTCTTAAATCTTTAGGTCTCGATGAATTAGTTGAAGATTAACCTAATGCAAGAGATTTATTATAAGAGATTATTTAGGAAGATGAAATTAAAGAATTTAAAAATCCAGAAGAAGATGTTTACATTCTCTATTAAATTTATTAATTTGCAAAATAATACTTAATTGCTAAAGGATCAGTCTTTGCATTATTTCCAAATGCACTCATTAAATTAGAATTTAATTTTGAAGGTTTAGCAGATGTTATGGAATGTATATTTAGAGAAGATGCAGAAAGTCTTAAAAAAAATTAGAAATGATTTGAATACCAATATTTATAAAAGAATTTAAAATAAATTAAAATCTCTTTATAATTTTTTATTTAATATATATCAAACTAAACTGAGTAGCTAAAATTATTAATAATAAATTTTATTACAATTTATGAATTTAAGAAAGTTTTCTTAACAATCATATTTCAAATAAAAAACATCAAATGCATATAAAAATGATATTATCAAAGAAGAATAAAATGAAACAAAAACAAGTTAAAGTAAAATCATTTTATTATATAAGATCAATTACATAAAAAATTTCCAACATAAACATCAACTTCACCTTATACCAAGAATTCTTCTTCATAATGTAAATAAGAAATAATCTATAGTTTTTTAGAAATTCAAATGTTTTACATCTAGTACATCTCCTTTATAGAAATATCACATTAAATAAAAAGATTCAATTAGTACTGTGTCTCATTTTCTTATTGAAAATAAATAAATGTAAATGTAATCTTAATCTGAATAAAAAGAAGTGATTGACAGATTACTTAAATGGGGAAAACGTAAATAAAGTGAAATTTAAGAATAATAATAAAAATATTAAATTGAACAAAAGAAAAATCTTTGGGACAAACCAAAATTATCAAAAGAAACTCTTAAAATTTTTGAATCAGGATTGAAACATCATTAAGAATTGAATAACTTTATTAAATTGAAACATTAATTCACACAATTATCAAATAATTACCCACCTTTGTAAAAACTTGATAAATTAAAGAAAGGAATCAAAATTAAGATTGAAATTGATAAGGAAATAGAAGATAATCCAGATGATATTAATGATAAAACAACATAGTATAAATGTATTAATGAGATATAATCAAATACTTAAGGAATATTGAATAGAGAATTTCGTAGCATATCTGATTACACAACAATGCCTATACACCTCAGATATGAATATGAAATAAAATTAAAGAATGCCAAATTAAAGTAAAAGATTGATGAAAAAGAGAAAGCCTTTTAAAAGGAATTAGAATTAGCAAAAAGTATAATTTAATGCATATCAAAGAATATAATAGTACTACAGAATAATTTGAACATTTCTTAAAAGAATAGGAGAATTTCTTGAAAAAGAAATAATAATTTTATGATACTAATTTAAAAAAAGAATTGGAAAAAATATAAGAAATTGATTCCTAATTCTCATATAAGCCAGATATTAACCTTCCTCCTTAATCAATAATAAGTACGAATAATTAATAATAAGATGACAATTTTAATGAAAAACTTCATTCTCTTAGAAATAGACAATAAAGATAAAAAAATATCTACTTTTTTAAATCTACACTACCTGATTTAAGGAGAAATATTATATAAAAGTATTATGAAGTAAATATTTAATATAATATAATATAGATACTCCATAAAAGTGATTACATGACAATTTCTCATATTTAATTTTTAACAGAAAGTTGATAAATAATTACTTATATCAAGATAATGCATATATATTCACAGTTTATTAAAATAAAGGATTACTTAATATTTATTCTATTGTAAATCTCTAATTAACATTTTTCTCTAAACAACCTTTAATTAAATAAGTAATATTTTAATTCATATCGTTTGGTAACTTAACTTTATTCTATTGTATTGCTTTATATAATTCTTTGTCATTTTATCCTTTAAAAGGATATTCCCCCAAGAGCATTCTATATAGCAATATTCCTAATGACCAAATATCTGAGCATATAGGGTTATGAGGTATCTAAATTATAATTATTTATACTTTGGAAACCAATTCAGGAGACATATAACTTGGAGTTCCACAAAAAACATTAACCTTTTAATTATCTTAAATGCAAATAGAAAATCCAAAATCTATTAATTTCACATAATTATCTGTTAATAGAAGAATATTTTCCATTTTAATATCTCTATGTGCTATATTTTTGCTATGTAGATATTTAATTGCATTAGCCAATTATTGAAAAATATATAAACCTTCTTGTGTTGGTAGTAATCTTTTGGATTTGGATTTAACATAAACAGCTAATGACTAATTAGATATATATTCCATCACTAAATTGATCTATGATATATAAATTAATACTGATTTTCTATCTTCTATAGCATAAATCAATTTAATGATATTACTATGATTAATTCTTTTTAATATTGAGATTTCTCTTTTAATATTATTCATTTTTTAATTGTCATTTATTTTACTTTTATCATATATTTTTATTGCATATTTCATTTTACTATTTTTTTCAATACATAATCTTACAGTTGCATATGAACCTTAGCCTAAAATTGATTCTAATCTAAAATTCCCAATTTATATATCTTAATTACACAATTAATTTAAATCTAAATTGTTTTTCATTGGTTTTATTGTTTATTCTTCTTATTTTTCTTCTGTATAAATTGCCAAAATGTTGGTAATTCTACAAAATGGTTTTTTAACATTCGTTTATGAATTTAACTATATTTTAGGATTTTTTAATATTTTATTATTATCTTTATCTTTTTGAATGTCTTAACTCTTTATTTTATGATTTTCAAATGAACTTGTTTTCAATTTGCTTACAAATGAAATCTTACTTTCTATACTTGATAATATTTTATTTGCTAATCTATTCTCCTTATTATTTTCAATTGATTATAAATCATAATGATTCATTGAAGTTTTACTTTAGTTAATTTGATTCTTTAAAGTGTGTTTCATATTTAATTTAATAACGACACTAATTTAATAATAAATATTTAAAGTAAAAATGAACCCTTATATATAAGCAAGGTATAAGGATTAATTATTTTAAATATAAAAATCACTATAGAATCTATGATAATAATATGAATTCATTATAATTTAGAACCTATTTATAATAAACTAAAATATAAATAAACTGATATCTAATTCTTAAACTATTATATACTCTATTTTTAAATATATTAAATTATGAATGAATATCGTAAAAAAATTGTGGATTTATATATAAATTATTCTATATTTTAATTAAGAGTTCTCTTGTTTACTTCTAATTCTTTTATATTTGAACTTCCACAAATAATTTGCTTTGTTATAGAAGTTAATCAGTAAGTATTTATAAGAAGTTCATTAATTTTTATTTTATTAATCAAATATTTATATTATCATTGACAATCCTATTATCATCCTTTAGTCTTTTTTCTTTTCAAATAAAATGGACAGTTGTATGTATGAACGTACACAATTTCTTGTGATTATTTTAGATGAATTACTTTCAAATATAAAAAATAATTAATGAATTAAAATGAGAATTATATTATATCATTTTAATAATTCAATTAAAGTCCTTTAATGTGGGTCCTATTTCATTAAATTTTGAATCCAACAATTTAGTAGATTGAATTGGAGTTAACCATTATCTAGAGTCTAGTATCTTTTCAGATGATTATGGTAGAGTCTATATTCTAAGGTTATTTAATTGCCAGTAATAATTCATCGGTTATGGATTAGGAATTTGTAAATGATTTTATTGTAAGTATAAGTTTCTAATGTAATTGATAAAAATTACTAATGTAGAAATAAATATGGGTTCATCTATAGACTTAATTAAAATATTTGAAATTATTAGGCTTGTTCCTATTGGAGAGTCATCTGTTTTAGATGAATAGGCTAAGGGTTTTATTGAGATTTTTAATCAATGAAATCAATACTACGTTAGTCTTAGAATTTCTCATCTTTATTTTCATTTTTGGAATCAAGTTTAAAAGTCTTTTGTCTAGACCTAGTCTTTTTCTTTCCAACTCTTCCTTCTCTTTTGTAGGTCTACAATATAGCCTTAGATGTGCTAAACTTAATTCCAAATTCTTGAGCTGCTTACTTGATAGTTGACTTTTTGGATTGAACTCTTTCTATAAATGCCATTCTAACAGCAGGTGTTATTATGGCATATTTTTTTTTGGTTTAACTACCATCAAATTAATAGTTCATTGATATATATATTTATAATATGATTTCAAAAAGATTACATTTACAAAGTGAGTTATTTGTACATATAAAATAAAGAAAAAATCTTATGCTTTTTTTTTAACATAAATTTAATTTATTGAAGAATTATTACAAATGATTTAAAACAATATTACAACTATTGATGGATCACAATATGAAGGTGGTGGATAGATGCTTAGATCAGCTTTAGCTTTATCTGTCATTTTCCAAAAGGAATTCCAAATAATAAATATTAGATCCAATCGTCCTAATCCAGGAATTAATAATTAACTATTAAGTCAAATACATTTGATTTGTAATTTTGTTAAATCAGAAATACAAGGAGCTGAGTTAGGATCAAAACAAATGAAATTTAAACCCTTAGAAAAATTTGTTCCACAAGACCTTATTTGTAAAGCAACCACTGCTCAAAGTATTACATTAATTTTACAATCACTTTTACCAATATCTCTTAATTCATAGAAACCAATTTAATTATCTATCTAGGGAGGTACATATTTAAATCATAGTCCAACTATATTAGCTTGGAATAATATTTTTTTAAAACTTATTTAAGAAATGGGAATTTAAATAAATTTAGAAGTTGTTAAAGATGGTTATTATCCATAAGGTGGAGGTGAAGTAAGAGCTATCATTTAACCTATCAATTCAAAACTCAAATATTATGTAAACACTTAGTATTCAAAAATTAATTAATTAACATGCACTTATCTTCTATCCTCACCTTCTGCAATTATGTAATTTGATAATTAGATAGTCAATAATTTAAAAGAGTACTCGGAAAATAATATATTACCTATTAAAAGCAATATTAAGGTTGTTAATTCAAAAAAATTTAAAAAATGTTATGGAGTATCCTTACTTTGTCATTCATCTAAAAATTCTTATGATTTTACAACTATTAATGATTCAGACAAAACTATAGATGAAACAGTCCATTAGGTAATTAACTAAGCTAAATAATTTTTATTAAATTAAACTTCTTTTGATGAGCATCATTAAGATTAACTCATATTATTGATGGCATTAGCTGAAGGAAAATCTGAAATTTTGATCGGAAAACCATCATTACACACTTATTCTCTTATATATGTGATTGGATTATTCTTACCTGAATGTAAAATAGAATTAAGAGAAACTGATAGCAAAGAATAATTTCTATTGTCTGTTTAAGGAATTGGATATGTATTTTGATATTATTTTATTAACTAATATACAGAAAAACAATTTAAGCTCATGATTGCAGTTTCATATCATCTTGATTTAAAATAATAAAACTCTTATGGCTTAGCAATTTTATTAAAAATTTATCCAATTTAGGATAAATATTTGAATTTCTCTTATAGATTACTACGCAATATTTAAGCATAAGCATGTTTAGAATAAAATTCTAGAGAGAGTTTTTAAAATAATAATTTGAATATATCTTAACATTGTTAACCTTTTGGATCATAATGACAAAGAATATACATTTCTTGAATGGCTTTAATTTCTAATTATTTTAGCCAAGTCCAAAAATGTGGTTTTAAATTAAAGTTATCTTAAAAGAAATTATCAATTATTTCTTTTGCTTCATCATTTTCAAGCATAAAATTCATATGGTTTTATAAAAGCGTATTCTAAATTTTTGATTCCTCTGTTATAAAATATAATAATATTATAATACCATCAATTGGATAAATTCCTTTTTATTAGATTTCAATTTATTTTATTAAATCTTCCACTGCATCATTTCTATTTTCTTCAATACGAATTGATGGATTATTAATAGTTCTTAATTATTTATTTGAATAAGCTTATTGAATTAATTATTATAGAAAACTCAGAGGAATAGTTACAGTTGGATCTTAACGAGTCTATATTAAATAATAATATTACTGTGATTTCATCAGCTGGTTAGAAGCGTAAATTTAATGGAGGATATTTTCTTTACTCCTCACTATCTCCTACTTTATTATAAATTATTTTTATAGGTGCATATTTCAAACGTACATGATTGCTCCCATTGTGATTGCAATGATTGTTATCAGATTCAAAATTTTACTTAGATGGATGATAACGTTCAAAGCTCATAATTAAGGACTATAAATTATAAATAAATTATTATATAAGGATCATTATAAATATTTACAATTATTTTTTTTAACAGATTTAAAAAAAAATGAAATATTATGAAGTTTTGGTAAAATTCATTAACAAATTCAATTTTTCTATTCTCTAACTTAAGTTTATGATTAAGAATCTTTATGAACTAGTTGCTTTAAAGTATTGTAAATTTTAAGTGCTTTATCTAATTTATTATCATCATTGAATTTATTATAAATTTGATTATGTTCATTATCTAATTTAATTTAAACCTTTGATTATTAATTTTGAATTACATTAGAAATCAAATTATGTTGAATACAATTAATATCCTATGTATGAAAGGATGTCTACTTTAATATAGATTTAATTTAAGTAGTCTTATTTCTTTCAGAATTTATTTTTTAAGATAATCTATTGTCTTAAGGAATTTAAGTTCTATAAATATATATAAAAAATAATTTTACTTAATACTATTCTAAACATCACAATTTTATTTTTTTTAAATGTTTATATCTGATTATTATTTTGTTGATAAAATATTATAAGGTTTAGTTTTAGGTTTGTCAATAATTTTGACTTCAACAGATTTTTTTTAGTTTGAATAATTTCTCATGGATTCTGCTAGTTTTAAATATGAAGCTTCAGAAATAAGATTTGTTTTAGTTAATTTTGTTGTATTATCATTCGAGGTTTAATGTCTATGAATTAATGATATTTTATGATCAGACTTCGATACATCTGTCTAATTTAATTAATAAGCAATAACTTTTTAATTAAATAATCCATTATTGGAATCTATAATCTAAGTTTTATTAACAGGAGTCTTGTATTCTACTGTCATTTTTTGAATTTCTAATTCAATATTACCAATATCCTAAAGTAAAGAATTTTTTATTATTTTTCTATCCATTTCCATTTTTTAACTTTTGAGTTATGATATATTCAACTTCTCCATACAATTTTATGGTTTTAATTGCTATACTAGAATATGAGTTCTCTATGTCTGTTTTGATTTTGATTTATTTTATTGATTGATCAGATTTTCCAGAGCTTTTCTCTGTCTTTAGATAGCATTGGTAGTATTACCTGATCTAATTTTGACTGGGGCCCATATCGTCTTAGAATTTACTCATTCAACAATTTAGTATTTTTATAATTATAATATAATTCATTATGATAGAAACAATATACTTTCAATAAGTACTTGGAGTTGTTAAGTAAAAAATAATTTGTTTTCTTAAGTAGAACCAAAAAGTAAATGTTCCATATCTTATAAAGAAATCATTTATGACTTTGAGGTTTCTATACTTCAAAAATTCTAAAAATTACATCCTTTCTATTTTATATATTAGCATTAGAAATTTAAGAACTTGTAATCATAAAATCATATCAACCGATGTTTTATTCAGTTTCTTCTAAAAAATTTAAGAAATATTCAAATCAGAATCCTGAAAAATTCTGAATAATTATTTCTAATTTTGAGACTCAAGATAAACCTTACCTAAAGTATATTACTATATATTTTTGTTAAGTTGATATTTTTCTATACTAACAAATAATTAAGATAGATTTACATAAATTATTAATGAAATTGACTTATGGTTTAATTTCAGTAAGATCTTTCAAAGGGAAATGTTTACTGCTGATCTTATTTTTGATTTCTATATAACAGACTTCTTCACTCATTTATTATGGAAGTCCTTTTTTATAAATTCTTCAAAATTAATAAATATTCTATGAAAAAGAATGGCAATCAAATTCTAATTATTTAATTTTGAAAATTTTACTATTTCCTCTTTAACTTTCATAACATAATTATATGGTTTATTTATATATAGGATAAAGGTGATTATTTTGAAATATTATTAAATTTTTAATGAGATATTAATAACTAATAACTTAAGCAATTGATCTTATAAAATCATACAATCCAGTGATATTAACACCTGATTCTTATTGTGAATAATATATATAAGAAAATTGTAAAAAGCTATTTGATACTGAAATAATGTTTCTGAAATAAGTAAAACATTTGATTTTAGTTTCAGGTATTTTCTGGAGTTTAAAGATATGAGGAATTCCTTAAAATTCTTACAAAAACAATGTTTAAAATATTATCAAGTACAACAAATCGAAATGATGGAACACTTTATCATATATTTTCATACTTAATCATTTTTAGATTGGATGAATTGCCATATAATGAATTTAAGAAAATGGTGAATGAATAGGATCCAGTTAAAATGAATGTACTATTGTAATTCCTTTTTGATATTGATAAAATACAAACACATTTAAAACCTCTTTGGATTGAAATATATGATCCTCAATATATTTAAGAAACTGTTATTGGAGGACTTGAATAACACTTTCCTATGATGAAAGATTTATTAAGTTCTTTAAGTTCAAGAGCAACAGGTAAGTAAAGTGAATTAGTTGAAGAAGAGGAAAGACCTTAATCAGCTACAAAAAAATAACCAACTAAAACAATCCCATTTAAATTAAGTGAAACCAAAAAGAAACCTGAACCTCCACCTCCTCCTAAACCTGAATAATATAAAAGTAAACCTGTACCTAATTATTTAAATAAAAGAACTTTATCATAGGTTGAGGAGGAGAATAAATAAAGATTAGAATAATCAAAAAAGAAAGTTTAAGATACTTATAAAGAAGCTAAATAATTTGAATTTAAAACAGAATAAAGACCTACAAATTATGAGATAGTTAAAAAAGAGGTTGAAGATACTCTTAATAAGCAATTATAATTTAATATGAAGTATGCTAAGCCTGTGCCAACAGAATTGGAAGCAGCTGAAATTAAATTAAATGCTGCTGCCATTTTAAGAGAAGAAATGTTACTTAAAAAGAAATAAGATATTGAAAAAGAAAGAGTCAAGAATTTAGAGGTTAATCTTAGAGATTCTGGAGAATTTGAAGAATGGAAAAAACAATAAGATGAAATTGAATAAATTGCAAAAATGGAACATTAGTAATAAAAGAAAATTGAAATGGAATTAGCAAGAGAAGCAGCTATGAGAGCTTAGGAAGAAAAATTTAAAGAAAATAGAATATTGGCAGAAAAAATGAAAGAAGAAGCAATTGAAAGATTGAAAGAAAGATAAGAATTATAATAAGAATAAGTAGAATATAAAAAGTAATTGATTGAGCAAATTATAGAAGCAGAAAAGAAAGTGCATATATAAGTTGAAAAAGTATAAGAGAGAAATAAATAAATGGCAGAAGATTAGAAATTAGAAATGGCCAGAAAACTTGAATTAAAAAGATAAGAAGATGAATAAATTAGAATTAAAAGAGAAGAACTCATTAAATAAATAAGAGAATTAGAAAGATAACCAATCAAGAGAACTAAAGGATATGATCCTACTGAAACTATGGGATATGGATTATTGGAGGAAATGTCATTAGCTGAATTAAGAGATAGATTAGAAGTAGTCAAGGCTGAAAGAAAGGCAGAAGAAGAAGAAAAGAGAAAAGAAATAGTTTAATCTAAAGATGAATATTTATCATCTATGTAAAAAAAAGTATTAGAGATTAAGGCACATCGTAGAGCAGAAACATAGTAAAAAAATATGGAAAGAGAAGCTAAAAAATTAAAAAAGTAAAAGGAAGAAGAATTGAGGAAGAAAATTAGAGAAGAATAATTAATTGAAGTTTAAAATAAGATAAGTTAAAAGAAATAAATTAAGAGTGCAGAAGAATAAAGGATTGCAGCTGAAGTAAGAGAAACTAAACTTAGATAATAATATATGAATGCTAATAAAGCAATGGTAGAAATGAAAGCTTGGAAATCTTAATAAGATGGTAATTATTTTAATAAATTATTTTAGGATTGGAAAGAGAAATTAAAAATAGATAAAATGAAAAATTAATTGTATAAGAAGGAATAGAATCTGTTAATTTAAAAGAAAGAAAGATTCTTGCAGAGTAAGCAAAAAGATTAGTCAAAACTAAAGTTGATTTTAATTAGGCTTATGATAAAGAATTGAAAACTGCTTATTAAATGAATGAAGAACTTTATCAATAAGAAGCTCAAAATAGAACATAAATGCACAATATCTAAAGAGAATGGAAGGAAGAACATACAAAAAATATGATATCAAGAGATGAATATAAATAAAAAATTTCAGAAACATCTTTAAAAAATTCAAAAAAAAAATCTTAATAATAAAAGATCAAATTCTAATAAAGTCGATAATTAGAATAACTACCCTCAGCATAATATTGATGATATTAATATCATATTATTATTCTAAAATAAGCGAATATATAATTTATTACTTAAATCCTTTAATAATTTTATATACTTAATTGATCCATACTATTAAATTAATCAATAATAAGTAATTTGATATTACTAGATCAATAAGTAATAAAAATATTTATTTTACATGTAAAATATCAATTTTTCTATAAACTTAGTAATTAGATAAATATATTTGTGGAGAAGTTTATAACTAAATGATTACAATTAAAATTAAATGTTCCATAAAATTTAATATACAATACGAATATGTTAAAGAATAAATTGTAATCTTAACAATAAAGAAGGATTTAATTTAGTATAACTACCTTTTTGATTACATAAACTATTTTGCATAATGAATAATAGAGAAGAACTTAAAAGAATCAAAATTAATGATAAATAATAATCTAAGTTAAAATACAATATCAATTGAATAAATAATAAATTCAAAATAATTTTTCAGGATGTTTATATCATCAAACATATTTATTTTATCTCAATTTAATTCTAATATATTAAATTTATACTAAATTTGTGATTGATTAATCATAAATTATGAAACATTCATAAGTTAATGATTGATTTAATTATTAAAAATTTGAGATTAGAAAACTAATATTTTTCTATTAATAATTTTTTATAATATACATATTTATTAATAATTAATAGTAATAAATTTCAATAATACTTTCTATCCATCAACAAATTACTCAGATAAGTCTTTGTTTATTTCAATTCTTCAATCTATGATACATATTGATAATTTTAATATTTGTAATAGTCAGCCTCTTTTCTTAATTGCTAACATTCTTTTTGTAAAGATAAACATTAATCTTCTATGTTAAGTAAATCGAGTGTCTAATTATTATTCTGTAATTGTTGCAGCTATTCTTTCAAATTATTTTAATCAACTTAAGATTTCTAATATAATTCTTTTTAAATGTTTAAAGTTTGATGAAAATCTTAAACTACTTTTTATAATGATTTTTATTCATTTTTTAATTGTTCTATTTAACTATTTAATTTATCAATCTCTTTATCTTTTAATTCATTTTACTATTACAACTTTTGTTTTTATGTACTTTCTTTTTCTAATTCATGTCTTGTTTCATTATATTTTTCTTAAAGTCTCTTAACTTATAGATTAAGCTCTTTAATTTCGTTTTCATCATCTTATTTAGTTGTTTTATTTGTATTTTTTAATTCATCAATTAGTATTTATTATTCCATAATTTATTATCTTAATTGTTTAATTTTATGTTCATTTTCTTTTAATTAATTTTCTTGAGTTTTAGCTACTATACTTAATTTATCAAATCTATTCTCAATTTCAAGTAGTATTTGATTTTTGTGTTCCAATCTTTTGGTTAGAGTGTAAAACTAAGATATTGAATTATTTATACTTCTGATTGATTACCTTATTGTTATTACTAATAATTTTTGAATTCTTATTCTAGAGATTCAAACATTTTAGATACTTTCTTCATTTAGATTGATTATTCTACATATTTTTTATCTATTCTTTCTACATCTTGAATTAACTCTTTATTCTTTTTCATCAATTATTCAATAGATTTATCTTTCTTTAAAATATCATTATTTAAAAAACTATTTTATGAGGATAAATTTTCAATTACTGTTTCTTATTTGGTTAATGTACTTTTAAACATATCTTCACATTCTTTTAATGTATGCATAACATTATTTAATTCATTATTTGATTCCAATAATTAATTCTATAAGTTCTATTTCTCTTATTGTAAATTTTATTCATTATTTTTTAATTATTTATTTATCTCCATAATTACTTCCATTTTTTAATTAGTTTCATCAACCAATTATTATTATAAATAATTATTCTTATTTAATTCATCAATTCTTTTTTATTGAGAAATCATAATAGAATTCAATTCTTCTAATTATGTAATAAGCATCTTAATTTTAGAGTCATTTTGATTAGTGTCTTTAGAATTCTATAATTATTAATATTGTTTTTCTAATGCAACATAGGCCAAAGACAAACGTTCAACTTCTGTTGATACAAGTACAAAATTTTTCATTACAGTCCATTTCTCTATTAAAGAATCTTAACGAATTAATTCTTAAAGTGTCATTTCCAATTCTACAATGTTCTATTTTAATTATGTATTTTCTTCTAACAGATTTGAGTAATTATTTTTCATTTGAATTAAAATTAAAAATAATAGTTTTTTTTTTGAATTTTCTTTAACGACGATCAATAATTGATAAGATAAGATTTAGAAATTAACATTGCTATAGAAAGTATTTCAATTTAAATAATTAATTTCTTTTCCAAATTATATATATATATATAAATGCAATTAAAAACAAAGCTATTGCTGACTTAATTGATGTTATAAAATTTAATAAGTTTGATTTAAGCTGGAAATCAAGAGAGTAAGGATATGATAATTTTAATTGTGAACGCAATTGGAATAATATTGAATTTAATAATTTTCTGTCTCATTTATTCAAAATAGAGAGAGGACATCATTAACTCAATTGTTCAATTCCATATCATTTTTTAATTGGAAATAATATTTTACAATGTACACACCATAAATACTTATTTCCTATTTATTTATTTACTTGCAATTGAGAACATATTGAAAAATAACAATAAATGTTATTAAATTTTGACTCATCTTCTTTGCTTATACATATCTGTTAGGATGACTATTTAATTTTACTCAGAATTTGCTACATTTGAATTCATCTTATTTGTTCTCTGGTAACCACTTAACCATGCTTTTCTATATTTAGATAAATTAACATAAGAAAAAACTCCAATGATTCCCAATACTCCTTCACAAAAGACATCAGCAAATCCTCAAGCTCATTTGAGTTATGGAGATTAATTTTAATAAGATTTATTAGAAGAGAAATCACCACATCCAGAAAAGAATGTAAATGTAACTTTAGATGAAGATCTTCTAAATTGTCTACCATATGGATTGGCATTAATAGATAAAAATTATCATGTACTTCATCACAATGAAAAACTTTTAAATTATTTAATGGTAAAATCAACTGAATAAATTGTAAATTCTTTAGATTAATTATTATCCAAGTAAATCTTACCCTTATTCATATATAGTGCTGAACTAAACTCATTTAAAACTCATCTTCATGCTAAACACAAACCTCCAATAGTTCCACTTAGAAAACTTAAACAAAGTTCGGCAAATCATTATTAAGTTGGTTCAGGAAGAACTTTAAATTAAACTAATTGGCTATCTGATCGTTTGAAAGTTAATTTAAAGAATAAAGAATCATTTTAATCAAGTATTCATGATGAAGTTACATATTAATATGTATAATTCGTTATGAATGAATTCTAATAAAACATTCATAGATAAATGAGTAATGGATAAGATAGTCAATCTAAGGCATCTGAAACTACACATATGTTTTAGTTCCATGTAGTTTAAGATCTTAAAACTAAAAAGAAACATTATTAAATTAAAGTATATGAAGTTAAGCTTTAGGCTAAAACAAAAGAACCAGTATATTTATTTGTAATAGAAAATATTACAAATAAAGAAGAACTCAAAGAACTTACTTTTAGATATAAATTTTAATAGGCTTTATTAAATTCATTTAGTCATGAATTAAGAACACCATTAAATTGTTCTTTACCATTATTGTAAGTATTAAGCAAAAAGATTGATGAACATCTCTATTTTACATTATTATTACCTGCAATTACATCAAGCAAAAGATTATTATTATAAATAAATGATATTTTAGATTATGCATAGATTGAATGTTAAGATTTTAAATTAAATTTAGATAACTTTTTTGTTAGTGAAATATTTAATGATTTAAAAGAATTATTTTAATCAGAATGTTAATAAAAATAAATTGAATTGATATTAAATTTTAATAATTAATTAAATATTTGTAGTGATAAATTAAGAATAACATAAATTTTAGTTAATTTATTGAACAATTCAGTAAAATTTACAAAATAAGGAGGTAGAATAGTACTTTCAGTAAAAAAAAGAGATAATTAATATGTATTTTCAGTATGGGATAATGGAGAAGGTATTAGTAATGATTAAATGTTAAATATGTAAAATTAACTCTTATAATAAAATGGATCAAATAAATTAGGATTAGGTTTAAGAGTTTCAAGAGGAATAGTTAAATTTTTAAGTGGAGATGGGGAATTATAAATTAAGAGTTAGAAAGGATTCTATACAGTTGTGAGTTTCTCTATAGATGAATAAGTAAAAACAGGTATTTAAGAAATTGGATCTTCATTAAAAGATATTGAAGAGATTAAATCTAATTCTAAAGATTCAATTTAGAAAGTTTATGTTTCATCTAAAAAATTTTTAAATTAATAATGCAAATGTCCATAGATATTGATAGTAGATGATGTACCTTTTAATCATATAGCACTGCTTGCTCTATTATAAGCCTATGAATGGAAAGCGGAAAGTTCTTATGATGGTGATTCTGCAATACGTAAAGTAAAACTAAAATTATAAAATACATGTTGTAGAGTCTATAGAATAATTTTTATGGATATTGAAATGCCAGGAAAGAATGGATTTGTGGTTAGTAGTGAAGTATAGATGCTTAAATTAATTAGAGATCTCTGAAATTCTTCGTAAAGAAGGATAAAATACCGTTATTGTAATGTGTTCAGCATATAATGGATAAGAGAATGCCGAAAAAGCCCATGAGAGTGGAATGCATGAAATAGTATCCAAACCAATTTCATTGGATTCTTTACAAATGCTTTTAGGAAAATACTTTTGTTGATATTTTATATTATTTTATTATAATGAATTTTGTTTTATTTTTTAATTGTAATTTTATACTATATTATTCATTGATAATGAATAATAATAATGGGAATGCATATATTTTTAATTATTTTTTTTAATGTTCATAACATTGGAACAACCTTTATTGACAAAAAAATAACCAGAAACAAGAAGAATAAGTAAGAATGTTCAAATGCAAACTTTTAATTATACTCAATAGGATGAAAATGTATCATAACTTGAAGATGTACCAATAACAACAAAGAAATTCTTACGATATACAAATGGAATTGAAGCATATTTAAATACATTCCCTTCTTTTAATCCTGATCACTGGGCAATATTTTCTTGGCGTTTATTTATTTGTTTTATGGTGATAATTTATTTTTACTTAATACCTGTCTTTATGTTTTTTGGATATGAAGTATTTATTTATTTTATTAGATTATTTCAGAGAATTTGCGTATTGAAAATATAGCTGTATATTTATATATAATGATATTTTTTTTGATGATTGATGTCTTTATTACTTTAAATACAGGATATTATGATAAGGGATAGATAGTATTGGATAAACATAGCATTTTTGTAAGGTATGTTACTTAAGAATTTCTATTTGATATAATAGCAATAGTATCATTAATTTTATAAGTATCATTTCGAGATCATTATGCTTTTTTAATTTGGATTCCATATTTCTTTTACTTTAAATATTATTATGTCACTTTGGTTGATTCTTAAGTTGAATAATTATTATAAGTGTAAAGAAAACTGAGAGCATTTTATTAGATATTAAAATTAATATTGACAATTTTATTTTTAGTTAACTTATTTGCTTGTTTATTTTATGCAGCAGGAGATTATTGGGTTAATTAAAGATAAGATTATGGATCATGGCTTATATCATCTAGTTTATAAAATGATATTTATTCATTACCTATAGCAGTTAAATATGAATATTCAGTTTATTGGGCTTTAACTACAATGTTAACTGTTGGTTATGGTGATGTTACAGGTAAAAATCCATTAGAAATATTTGTATCAATAATAACAATGATTTTTGCTTGTGTTATTTTTGCTATGATTGTTAGTGCTTTTTAGAATGTATTTTCTGAAATCACTCATCACAATATGTAATTTGATAANTTATTCATTGATAATGAATAATAATAATGGGAATGCATATATTTTTAATTATTTTTTTTAATGTTCATAACATTGGAACAACCTTTATTGACAAAAAAATAACCAGAAACAAGAAGAATAAGTAAGAATGTTCAAATGCAAACTTTTAATTATACTCAATAGGATGAAAATGTATCATAACTTGAAGATGTACCAATAACAACAAAGAAATTCTTACGATATACAAATGGAATTGAAGCATATTTAAATACATTCCCTTCTTTTAATCCTGATCACTGGGCAATATTTTCTTGGCGTTTATTTATTTGTTTTATGGTGATAATTTATTTTTACTTAATACCTGTCTTTATGTTTTTTGGATATGAAGTATTTATTTATTTTATTAGATTATTTCAGAGAATTTGCGTATTGAAAATATAGCTGTATATTTATATATAATGATATTTTTTTTGATGATTGATGTCTTTATTACTTTAAATACAGGATATTATGATAAGGGATAGATAGTATTGGATAAACATAGCATTTTTGTAAGGTATGTTACTTAAGAATTTCTATTTGATATAATAGCAATAGTATCATTAATTTTATAAGTATCATTTCGAGATCATTATGCTTTTTTAATTTGGATTCCATATTTCTTTTACTTTAAATATTATTATGTCACTTTGGTTGATTCTTAAGTTGAATAATTATTATAAGTGTAAAGAAAACTGAGAGCATTTTATTAGATATTAAAATTAATATTGACAATTTTATTTTTAGTTAACTTATTTGCTTGTTTATTTTATGCAGCAGGAGATTATTGGGTTAATTAAAGATAAGATTATGGATCATGGCTTATATCATCTAGTTTATAAAATGATATTTATTCATTACCTATAGCAGTTAAATATGAATATTCAGTTTATTGGGCTTTAACTACAATGTTAACTGTTGGTTATGGTGATGTTACAGGTAAAAATCCATTAGAAATATTTGTATCAATAATAACAATGATTTTTGCTTGTGTTATTTTTGCTATGATTGTTAGTGCTTTTTAGAATGTATTTTCTGAAATCACTCATCACAATATGTAATTTGATAAAAAGATGACTGATATTAATAGATTTATGAAAGATAAAAATGTAATATAATAATTATAAAAATATAGATTGATTTAGAAACCTAATAAAAAGTAAGAAGATTCTTTAGTTTTATGTTTAGTGAAAAAGTGAGAGATTTTAATGAATAGATATCAATAATTAATTAATTGGGACCATAATTAAAAGATGAAGTAATAATGTAATCTTATGGTTTGATTTTTAAAAGAACATTTTGGACCAGTTAATTTTCTTTAGAGTATTTATTATTAATTTAATTATTTAAAAGTTTTCAAAAGAAAATTGCCTATCTTATTAGTGAATAGATGTATTGTGATGGAGAAATGGTGTTTAAATAAAATCTATGTAGTTTAAATGGGAATAATGATGATGATTGTCTTTATTGTGTAAGCATAGGACATATACAATTGTATCTATAATTTGAAGATTAAGATATGGTTTTTTATGAAGCAGGATAAGATTCAATGTTTGGAGAATTAGGATTCTTAACAGGGAATTCAAGAAGTTTATCAGCAAAGAGTACAACTATTTCTTAATTATATAAATTAAAAAGATTGGAATTTATTTAATTATTATAATAATTTCCACTTGATTTTCAATACTTTTGTTAACTTAGAGATTAAATCTTATTTGGATAATACAATTTAATTAATCTCAGTTGTTTTTGTTGTTAGTCTAGTAACCACTTAGCTAATGATTGTCCAAAGTCACATTATTATCCTAATAAAATATTCTTAATTAATAGAATTATGAATAATTAATAAGAAAGAAAATCATTTAAAAGAAATAATGTACGTTAAGATAATTTAAATTTAAGAAAGATATAAAAAGCTTAGTAATAAGTTAAATAAGAATTGTCTTTTGCATATGATTAAGAAGAAATTGATTAATTAAGTAAATCTTTTAGTGTTGATTTTCTACATGATACTTAAAGTTAAATTAGTGAATAAGATATCAATCATGAATTTGATATTGTTAATGAAATTGTTAATAGATTAGAATAAAAAAAGAAATAAGCACTTATTGAAATAGACACTAAATGTTCCTTTAAGAATTATTATCCAAAATATAATGCAGAATATATCATCTAGCATTTAAAGAAAGAGAGAAGATTCACTAGAACATTTACTAGATTTATTTGATTAAAATATTATTACAAAATATGTTTTGCCGCTAACTTACAAGACGATTTTTTAATGCTAAATCTAGAGAACCCATTGAACCACCTTATCTTGAATTGTAAAGAGATTTTCTTGAACCTGCTGAATTTTACTAAGAATTATCAAAGCATGGAGTTACATTTTATGCAGGAGTTCCTGATTCTTTATTAAAAGACTTCTGTGCTTATGTTTAAGTATGAATTCTATCTATTTATAAGGACAATGCTCTACCAGGATAACATGTAATTACTGTAAATGAAGGTACTGCAGTCTCTATGGCTGCTGGATATTATTTGGCAACTAAAAAAATTCCTTGTGTGTATTTATAAAATAGTGGTCTTGGGAATATTGTTAATCCTTATATGTCATTAGCTCATCCTAAAGTCTATGGAATTCCTATGTTGTATTTAATTGGATGGAGAGGTGAACCAGGAAAAAAAGATGAACCATAACATTTAGTCTAAGGAAAGAGAATGAATGGTATTCTTACTGAAATGGGAATGCAATATGATGTATTACCAGATTATATTGAAGGTGCTGCAGAAGCTCTTGATACAGCTTTCTATTCTATGAAAACAAGGTAATTCTATATTTCTTAATATATTTTTAGAAATGGTCCTTATGCTTTACTTGTTAAGAGATAATGCTTTACCAATTATAAATTAAAGAATGTGGCTAAAAATAATTATCAATTAACTAGGGAAGAAGCTTTAACTGAAGTCATTTAAAATACTCGTCCTCTAGATGTTTGTGTTAGTACTACAGGCTTTTTGAGTAGAGAACTTTTTGAACTAAGACAACGTCTCAATTAAAATGGAGAATAAGATTTCTTAACAGTTGGATCTATGGGACATGCATCCAGTATTGCTCTTGGTATTGCATAAGTCAAAAAGAGTAGACAAGTATTTTGTTTAGATGGTGATGGAGCAATGATGATGCATATGGGTGCTTTGGCTTAGATTGGTAATATAGGTCCAATAAATTATAAACACATTTTATTTAACAATCAAGCTCATGATTCTGTTGGTGCTTAACCTACAAGTAATCCTTTAGTTAATTTTACACAAATTGCTATAGGATGTGGATATAAAGATGCTTTTTAAGTTTAGACAAAAGAAGAGATTACCAAAGGGATGGAAAGAGTATTATTATTTAATATATATATTTTATAGTTAAATCGAAATGATGGTCCAATTCTTATGGAAATCTTGATAAAACCAGGAGTAAGAAAAGATCTAGGAAGACCAACAACAACAACATTTGAAAACAAAGAGAAATTCATGCATTTCTTAACATATTGATTCATTCTATAAAATCTGAATTATATATTATAAATTCACAAATTCTCTTTTTATTAATATAGAATAATAAGAAAAATAAAATAATTATTTTCACTATTAATATTCAATAATAGAATTAAGTACCAATCTTTTGAAAATTTGATGATTTTCAGTTAAAAATTAAGCATAAATTTCATTTGCTACATTTTAACATCTTTCTGCTAATTCTAATTATCCGAGAAATTTTTATATTAGAGAAATATTGTTTAAAATCTGTCCTTTTTATATAGTATTAGTACAACTAAATTTAATAGTTTCTTACTTAATGCATTTATAAGCTTGGCAAAAGTAAAAATAAGAAGTTTTAAGATCATATATCTAAGCATGAATAAGTCCTAATAAATTATAGGTTTCAAGAAATGTAAAATGATCCTCTTATTTTCCAGTTTATAAATTTAATTATATAACTTTAAGTAAAAACTCCTTTGCTTTATCATATTATTTAGATATATAATGACATTCTGCTAAAATAAAATATGCCTAATCTAATTTAGTTTCATCATTTATGTATGTTTCTTTTAATAATGAGATTGCTCCATAAACTAACTTTGTTGCCAAATCAAAATTGTCTAGTAATACTGAAATTATTAATACTCATCCAAGCACACATTCTAGCTTATAAAAGTAAAGTTTTTGCAATTTCAGCTTTCCATTAGATTTTCTCAAAGTGTAATAATGCTTCATGCAATATAACTTATGATTCTCTTATTTAAAAGTTAAGGAAATATAATTTTGATAATTCAAGCATTAATTTACCTGCTAAACTAGGATCAAATATTCTATAATTTTCTCTAATTCTCTTTAACCACTATATAGAACTCTTATAATCTCCCATATACTTATAGATTTTGGATAATAATACAGAGATTCTTAGTAAATAAACAATATGTTTTTGATAAGGTAATTCGTTTTCAATATTATAATTTATATACTCTTATAATTTTTCAAATATAATAGTTAAAGTTGCTAATACTGAATGAAAATTCGTTTATAAGAGGTTTTGTTCAATTTCAATTAGTTATATATTTATTTAATCTAAATTTATAATTTAATGATCTTCTTCTGAAATAGTTTAAATAGATTATATAATATTTGTGTTAATAACAGGTTTAAACATTTCTGATTATAATTTTAATTCAAACCCATTGATATTCATATCTAACTTATAAGGATTAATTAATAAGTATTTTGACACAGTCATTCCTTTCATTTATTCTTGATTTCTACATTCATATTTAGTAGGTTCCTTAAGTAATGAATTCGACATAGAATATAGTGGTGAAATAATCTTAGATGTATTTTCTAACTGAGTATAATAGTGAATTACATGATTGATAATATGTGAAGATTTATTTTCTTCACTATAAAGTGAAGAAATATCTAATTCTTTGGGTCTGTTTTTTTAGAGTTGAATACTTTAAGTGATCATAAATATTTTAGATAATTATGTAAATTAATAATTAGATTATATATCATATTCAAGCTCCTTTAAAAAATCTAAATCCATCTCTTCCACCCCATAATCCTTTTACCATAAAATACCAATAGGCAAAAGGGAAGAAATCCTTTTTTAAATAAAACATTAATCGACTTTCATTTGATTAAAATATTGGGAATGTCTCATCTAATTCAGAATTGTATTTGAATTCAGCTAATAATAAAGTACTTTGACTTGTAAAAATAGGACATGAAGTATAGCCTTAAATATTATTAAATATTTACCTTAATATTCTGGAATAGGATCTAATCCCTTCTTCCAAGTTCTAATTAAATTCTTGACTAAAATAGGTGTTTAAGCCATCACAGCTGCAGCAGTCTTAGAAGTAGGCAATGATGAACAATCTCCCAAAGACCAAATATTTTTATATTTGACATGTTATAATGTATTTGGATGTACATTACAAAATCCAGCAGCATCACTTAATCCACTAGCTGCTATAAATTTAGCAGGAACCTATAATAATAAAAATTATAAAATATACTTATGGTGGTACTAAATGTAATAGATCAAATGTTACAGATTTCAATTCTTTTGTGTCTTAATCTTCAAAAATAGCTACATGATCTTAGACTTCTACCAATTTTTATTTGAAATGACAATTAATTTATTTTCTCTAACATACATCTGTCAATATTTCAGCATATTTTGGTACACCAAAAATTAAAGCAGAAGTTTTATAGAAATGAAAATCAGATTTAATTCCTCTTTTTCTAAGTCTGTCATGTGATAAATAGAGTATTTTTTATGGAGCTCCACCACATTTAATAGGCATCTAAGGTTCAGAAAAGACAAGTTTGCCACCTTCAAATTCATCAACTAATCTATTCATTTTAGAAGCATATTTATAATGATAGATTGAAGCCACTGGTGAATTGGGATCTTCCAAATACTGTCTAGCCCCTAAAATTGCTATATTTTAATTATACCTTTAATCTAATCAAAATCTGTCCTTATGCCTGTAGCCACTACCAATTAATCATAAGTATATTTATCTCCATCGAATGTATGTATTTAATTTTCTTCAGGATTTATCTTAATAACTGGACTATCGGAAACAATCACATTTTTTGGTAAAACCTTTTCCATTGGTTTGAGGGTTTTATTGATGTCATATAGACCACCACCTTATTTTTAATATTTATAACATACCAACCATTGTCCATCCTGGTTAATATGTGTGCATTTTCATAGGTTCGAAAATTCTAATTTGCTATGGAATTGCATGTCCATCTGCTATTAATTGGGCTGCTACATTTAATCCAGCTGTTCCTCCTCCGACAATTGCAATTTAAGAATGGACTTATCTAGCTGAAAATGCATATCCTCTTAAATAGTGCAATTTTAACATAATTAAAATTATTAATATCTTTTATACACTTTTAATCTTTGTAAAAAATCAGAAATCTTTTTATAATGAAAATTCAACTAAATAATAAACATTGTATAATATATATGAATAACAAAATATACATATTTATAAAGTTTAAATTAATATTAAATAATCCTTTTTAACTTCATGAAGCTTTTCTAAATTTCTTAACTTAATTTACATTATTATTTTAATAGTTATCAATTCTTGGAGTAGCTTATCTTAAATATTATGATTTAACTATTATAAGAAACTATTCTTACTTAAAGGAGCTTTAAATTTATCAAAATTTAGATTTGGTTGTGCTTTTATTTAATCAAAATTAAGATTTGTTGCTATAGGAGAGATTTTTTCACTATGAATAGAATCAATTTAAGGTTTAGAGATAATTATGGTTTTTTTAAGAAATGTATCTTATTTAGATTAATTTCTAAAATATTAATGTCTAAGTGCTTAATTTGCAGTAGGTCTTAGATTTGGAGATACTTACAACATATGTCTTAATAAATCTTTTCCAAGTTCTGAACAATTTACTTTATCTATATTCACATACCCAATCATATTCAATTAAATAATTTCATCCTTTATAAAAGACTAGAATGGATTGTATCCTGTTAATAAAATGTATAGAATTATTCCTATACCATATATATCAACTTTTTAATCATATGGTTCTTTCTTAAGAATTTCAGGAGCAACATAACCAGGAGTACCACAAAAAGTAAACAATTGTTTTTTTTCATTATTGACTTTTTCTGCCAAACCTAAATCACTAATTATTAGACATTCTAAAGAATCCTTATTTTTTAATAATATATTCTCTGGTTTTAAATCACGATGCATATAATTTAGATTATGCATTTCACTTATTCCTTATAATAATTATTTGATAGCTTGAAATGCTGTTTTTTCAGTTAGAGTATTTTCATTATCTTTTATAAATCTCTATAAATCACCTCCTCTTTACTGTTCAAATACTAAATAAACTGCCTCATTTCCTTCATATATTTTTAATAATTTTGTGAAATATTCATTTTTTATGAGTCTCAGAATCTCTATTTCTTATTTCATAGCTTTTGGTCCAATTTCTTATTCAAATTTATTCTTTTCAAATACTTTGATTGCATAATCAATTTTAGTACTCCTATATTCTGCAAAATAAACCTTTTATAAGTTTAAAATTTGATACCTTTGACTATTGACTATTGGAAATTAATCTATATAAAAAATAGTCCTCATGAAAATTAATCTATACACAGAGCTCTTAAAATGTTTCTATCCATTTTTCTATCTGACCATACATATAAAACTTTAGTTTATTTCTTTTTACTAATATTCCTTCACCAACTATATTGTTTTTAACTTTTTCAATAATAGCATTAGTAATATCTAGAACTTTGAAACCCTTATGTAAAATAATAATAAACTTATTTTTTAGACTATTTTATAATGTAAGGTTGGCTAAAAGAGAGCTCTGACAGTTTATAATGACTCTTCTCTTCCTTATAGATATGAAATAATCCTTTTAATGTAATGTTAAGTTCTTATGATTATCTGAATTGCCATTAAACATCTTCATCATCAAAAAAAATTGAACTTGTAGACAAGTTTGTGTCTTTTATCATGATACTTTTACTTTAATATTAAAATTTATTACATTTAAAACATTATACTCTTTTTTAAAATGGAAATTTGAGATTGTTTATTATTTTCATTTAAAACTTATTATGAAATATTTGATCTTCCTATTTAGACATGAAAAGATTTAGTAAAATAATGAATAGCTTTTTAAAAAATAATAATCTCATAATTTAGAAATTCAATCTTCTATAAAATTAAATTTAGATATTTAAAAAAAAATATAATATAACAAAATTAACAAATAATATAAAAATCATATATATATATATATATTTATTTAAGAACTGTATTTTTATTTTGAAATGCCTTTAATATTAATTTAATTTATTTTTAATGGTTAAATGCAATTTTAAGGTTATGTGTTTTAATTACAATAATAATAATTTATTATAAAGTTATTAAAGTATGTACCTATCAAAATAATAAACAAAGCAAATAAAAGAAGAAAGAAAATTACCTATCAAAGTATCTATTAGAATTCGTCCATTATTAAAGAAAGAGTAAGGTTAGGAGACAATTATCAAAACTGAAAATGTAATATTTAACAATTTTATATTATTATTTAGAAAAAGTTTGTTGTAATTGAATAGTCAACTTAAATATTTAAGTAAGAGTTTGATAGAGTTTTTGATGATACATCCTTATAAGTAGAGATTTATAATAATTTGAATGATTGTATTAAGTAAGCATTTAATGGATTTAATGGAACTATTTTAGCATATGGTTAAACTGGAAGTGGTAAGTTATTTGATTAAATAAAGGGAAAACTTATACAATGTTTGGAAGTGATTGGGAATCATAAATGAGTTTTGGATTAAGTCATTAAGCAACTTACTGTGATGATTTAAAAAATGACATTTCATTTGCTGGGATTATTCCTAGAGTTATCTTTGGAATATTCAATAATATACCACCTAATTTTTATATTTATTGTTCATTTTTGTAAATCTATAATGAAAAGATATATGATTTATTATAAGATCATAAAATACCTGTACCTTTGAATTTACATGAAAGTAAATTGGATGGAATATATGTGGGTAAGCATAAATTTTAGTATATAGATTTATTAATTTTTAGAGAATTTAACAGAATACGCTGTCAATAATTATCATGATTGTATAACTTTGATGAAAAGAGGGGAGAGAAATAGAATAATTAGATAAACTACAATGAATTTAAAATCTAGTCGTAGTCATACAATATTTCAATTGATTATTGAGACAAATAAGGTTGATAAAAATGGAGTTCTATTTAAATCAAAATTAAATCTTTGTGATTTAGCTGGATCTGAAAAAATAAATAAATTAGAAGCTCTTACTAATGCTCATTTAATAGAATTAAAGAATATCAATTAATCATTAACAACATTAGGTAAAGTAATATAAAATTTATCATAAAATAATAAAAATAAATAGAAATTACCTATTCCATATAGAGAATCAAAATTAACAAGATTATTGTAAGATAGTTTAGGTGGAAATACAATGACTCATATTATTGTTAATATTGCACCAAATATATATAATATTGATGAAACTGTTAGTAGTCTAAAATTTGCATAAAGAGCTAAAAATGTAACTATTTAAGTTTAACCAAATAAATATAATGCTAATGATTAAGTTTTAGTTAATAAATTAGTAAAGGAGGTAATTTTAATATTGATATAATTTAGATTGATTATTTGAAATCATTATTAAATATGAAAAGAAGTGGTTTAAATTAAAATGATTTACATTTTAAATTAATGAAAATGCAAGAAGAAAATGAAAGATTAAGAGAAATTTAATTAAGTAATGATGAAGTAGAAAAAATTATTTAAGAAAATAGAAAAATGAAAGAAGAATTATAAAAATTATAATAATAATCTTCTTTTGGTGATCCTTCAGAATCAAATTCTATTGTTAAGAAAATGCATAGTGATGAAGGTTTTGTGTCTGATGCTACAACAGAAAGAAGACCATTAGCTTATAATGGAATGTTTATTATAAGCAATCCTTAAAATTAATAAAAAACAGAAGTTTAAGTTAGATTTAAAGATGGAAGAAATAGATTATAAATGAAAAAAGGTTATGTTGAAATAAGTGAACAATAAGAATAAAGATAGAAACGATTTCTAAGTGAAAAAAGAAGAGTAATGGAAAGATTATAATATCTTGAATAATTGTAAGTAAAAAATGAAATGACTTATTCATTATTATCTTCACCTAGTCATTTCAATAGTTTTTAATAAAATGAAGAAAAGAAATCAGCAAAATATAGATTACTAGAAAAATAATTGATTTAAAAGCAATGATAAATTAATTGAATATGAAATATTATAAAATTAAAATGTATTTTATGATATCAATATTTTAAATATCTAGTTCATTTAATGAGTGAATCTATAACCTCTTATACTTGATAAAGATTGGCTCTTTCTGAAGGATTGAGGTGGATCATTTCTTTGATAATATTTTAAAGTTCAATGTCATATGAAAAAAAGTTCTCTTATTCATCAATTTCTTTAATTAAATTCATATAGTTTTTACTCCTTTCAAACATTAAAAATTATATCTAATTTTATAATTTAAAATGCTCATTCATTCTCTATTTTTCATCTATATAGTTCAAATCTAACTCTTATAATTTAAATTCGATAGTTTTGATAATATGATTTAATTTTTATATCTTATCTTACATTCTTTATAATTTTTCAAATTCAACTTATTTTTTTTGATAAAAACATTTTTATATAACCAACCACATGAATCCTAATTACCAAATATCGTAACTTTAATTATATTTACTCTATTCACCTTCTGGAGGTCTAAAAAAAGGAGTTCCCTCATAATGAGATTAATTGTTAAGGTTTCCATTTGCTTAATTAAAAGATCTATCGAAATCTATCATCACACAATTTATTGGTATGTTGATAATTTCAATATAATTTTGTATTTATTAAGATAAATCAAACATTATATTTTCTGGTTTTATATCTCTATGAATTATGCCTATAGAATGTATATATTGCACGGCTATGATCATTTGTTAATACAATCTTAAGAATATTTATTCAATTTATTTTTGTTCAATTTATCTTCTCTTTTTATATAATTCTAATGATATGAAATCGAAAGTCCAATCATGCTTTTTCAAAAAGAGCACAAGTATATCTGAATATCTGATATATCCATATAAAAATGGAAGATGTTAATTCTTAAAATCTTCAATAATTTCTACTTCTCTCAATTCATAAATTTATTAGTTCTATTGAGTTATTTTTATTGCAATTTAATCTTCATTTTAAGCATTAAGAATAAATTTTGGAACTTTTGTTATTTTCAATAAAGTAAATTAATTTTCATTACATGTCTCTGAATTTTCTAATTAAAAATAATTAAAAAGAGTTTTAGAGTTCTCTTTCAAAGAATCTTATTCAAAATTAATTTTGAGAAGTAATATTTCTTAAAATCTTTAAAGACTATCACATTTAATTAAATCTTGATTATATCCTAATTATTCACCTAAAGTTAATATTTAATAGAATTACATAATTAAGAAAATTGTTTCAATAATTATTTTTCACATGTTCTAGCAGATGTATTATCCTAACTACTAAAAATATAAGGCATTCCACAATCATAATTATCCTCTATCATCATAATTTAATCTATGCTTATATTAGGTGTAGCTAGATCTCTTTTAATTATTTCCAAAATAACTATTATATTTTAATAAAATACTTGAGATGAGATTAGTTAAGATGAAATTAAGTAGATCTATTGATATTGGTAATATTTATTTTAAAGGTACAAATTTTTAATGATTATTATTCATTTCAGGATTATAACCTAAGATTTTTGTTTTAACTTGTAATTTTTTGCTTTGATCAACAGTTTAGGGACCTGTAGAATATAAATTACTATTGGAGTAATCAATCATTAGTTAATTTAATATATATATATTTTCTTTATATTTATTTAAATAACTTAAGCAATTCATAATAATAGAATAATCTAAATAGATTCTTTTAAAAATCAAAGGAATATATTATTAGTCCTATAAAAACAACTGTTTATATAAATAAAAGTAACTTTTTAGTTCAATTCTACAATTTTATTATTAAATAATACTTACATTCTTATCATTAGTAATTGAAGAATATTAATATATTAAATGTAGAGTGCATAAAAACTTACATAATAAAATTAAGATGCTTTCTCTTAATTCTTTGATAAATATATATCATCCTCCAACAAACTTTAAACACATAGTGTTAGAGAGCTTGCCTAAAAACTGGCGATTTAATATTTTAGTGGTTAACTTCCTCCTAGACATTAAACAGAAAATAATATGAGAAAGAAAAGTAGAAATATAGTTTATAAATAAATTGAAACAGACGCAATAGAGAAAGCAAAAGCCTAATTTAAAGCTAAGAAAGAGAGAAAAGAATAGCAATAAAGAAAGTTACCTCCTGTTCCAAAAAAACAGGATACTTAACCAAGAAGTTTATCGGTGTAACCTCCTCTTAAATGTTTATCTGCTTAACCTAAAAAGTCTATGCCTTCTACATATTTCTATTATATAGGAGAAGGGAACAATAATGAGTTAATTAAAAAGTTACTAGATGAAAGATAAAATTGGGTTTAGGTTAAAGATGCTAATGTAAAAAACATTAATTTTAAATGGTAAGAAACAGAAAAAGGATATGAATATAGAACTTTGGCAGGGAATTTAAAAGATTTTAAACCATAAATGCTTAATCATTTTGAGTTTCATGCTGAAATTTCAAATAAATATCACTTAGCATTAAATTTTAAGACATTTTGTGATGTAAGTTTGTCTATTAATTATAATCTATAGAAAAACTAATTAAATGTATAAGATTACATTCCAATAAGTTTTGCCATAGAATGTACAAATTAGAATTTGAAAGCTGGCTTATTTCAATTTTTAACATTTTATAGATCATATTGTCCTTAAAATCAATTATAAGAGTTAGATAAAACAATAAAATCATATTAATTTAAGTATGGTACATAATTGGAAAATAAAATTGATTAATATCCTACTTTATTTGCTGGAGAGAATCTTTGGATATTTAAACCAGCAAATATGAATTAAGGAAGAGGAATTCATGTAGTCAGAAATTTATAAGAGATAATAGATATTTATAATAGATATTAGAATGGATACAAAGAACATTTATTGGAAGTAAAGAGAAATGAAAATAATGAAATAGTAACAAAAATTATTTATATAAATACATTGATGACTGAATAATTTGTGATTTAGAAATATATTGAAAAACCTTTATTGATTAAAGGTAGAAAATTTGATATTAGAACTTATGTCTTAATAACATCTAATTTAGGATTCTTTTTCTTTAGGTATAGATTTTATTTACTATTTAGAGAAGGGTAACTAAGATTGGCTACAGAAACATTTGATGCTAAATAATAATCAAATTATGTTCATTTGACTAATAATGCTGTTCAATATTCACATCCATAATATGGTAAAACTGAAGAAGGCAATTAATATAATTTTGATCAAGCTTCATAATATTTTAAAATTGATTTTAGAAAAGATGTATCATATTAATTTAATAAAAAAGGTAATACAAAAGTTGAAATAGATATCTCTTTTGACTTTTACATGTGTTAAAGGAAAGATAAATAAATATAAAAGGAAAAATTGTTTTGAAATTTATGGGATGGATTTCATTTTAGATGTAGATTTCAAACCATGGCTTATTGAAGTTAATACAAATCCTAGTTTAGAAGTAACTAGTAAATTATTGGGATGTCTATTCCCAAGATTAATAGGTAATAACTTATTCTAATTAATAGATGATGCATTTAAATTAACAGTTGATAGACTATTCCATTAATAAAAGACACCTTCAAAATATCCATTTCTTAATTATTCAAATGATGAAAACTTATGGGAATATGTTAGTTAACTTTGAAATATTTATTATAAAAATAATCCTTGTTTTTTATCCTAACAAATAAACTAATTATTTATTAATAAATATCATGAGTGAAGAATAACAAAATAATAATGTAAATCAATTACCAAGTTTGGTTAATTTGAGATCAAATAGAAATGTCTCTTAGATAGATTTAAATTTTGCTTAAAGTATTATATACAAGAGTATATATTTTAGAAAGTAAAACAATACAATCTGAAAATTGGGAAATCTTATAAAGAGTTAAAGAAAGCCTGGAGAGTAAGGCTTTTAGTAACTTTTTCACAAGTTCCTTGGCTAAATTACCCAATTTTAAGAGTCCTTAAGAATTAGCCAAAGTTTTAGCTGATTAATTTATATAAAATGAAATCAAGAAAGGTAAGAAGAGAGAAGCTAAATCTGCAATTAAAATCTAAGTGTCTTAACCATAAACATCAGATAGTTTACCAGCTTTAAAAACTCCTTAAATTAAGTTAGAAAAAAATAAATTTATTCATGTTCGTTCAAAGAGTCGTGATAAATTAAGAGAACTAGAAATGATTAAAGAATAGGAGAGAGAAAAGGAACAATAAAATAAAGAGAATAATAAATTGAATGAAAAGATTTTAAAATAAAAAAATAAATTTTTATCTAAAGATACTTAGAGATAAAAGGAATAAGATAAATCATTCATTGAGCAACCATCTCCTCCAATTAAAATTTAAAAAAATATTCGACATACATTATCTATAACAAAACTCTAATCTCCAAATCCTATTGAATCCAATTAATAATAATAACCAACAATTTATTCTTACTTTTTAGGTGGAGGAAATAATAGTGAATTAATAAAAAGAGTTTTTGATTATAGATCAGATTGGCATTAGACTACAAATATGGCTAGAGCTAATTTTAGATGGTAATAATCTAATCATGGATACAAATATTTTAAATTGAATTGGCATAAATCTCATAAAGAATTATTGAATCATTTTGAATTTCATCCAGAAATTAGTAATAAAAAGAATTTATTAATAAATGTTTCTGCTAGTTGTGAAGTAAATTGAATTTTTAATTAGATACTTAAATTGAACCCTTTTGATATTATACCTGTTACTTTTGCTATAGATTTTACAGATGCATCAGTTGAATCTAATATTTCAGCCTTTTATAATTTTTATAATAAAAATGCTCCTGAATCTAAATAATTAAATAAGTAAGATGCCTAAAACAAACTTAATGAAATCAAGAAAAAACTAAGAATAGCTCCTAGCAAAGATAAAAAATAATTGGAATTTTAAATGAGAGACACTTTCACTGGTCCAGATTATTTATGGTTATTAAAACCTACAGGATTAAATAGAGGACGAGGAATTCATGTATTTTAAGATATAGATAATCTTGTTGATTTACTTATTGATTATCAATATGGTTATCATGAAAAATAAATAGAAACATATAAAGATGAGAATGGATAAACTTAACAAAAGGTTGTTTAATATGTATTGAAAACATCATCATTTGTTGTTCAGAAATATATTGAAAAACCTTTATTAATAAAAAATAGAAAATTCGACATAAGAGTTTGGGTATTTCTGAATACTGATTTGAGTTGCTATTTTTTTAAGTATAAAGTGTGTTGCATATTTCATTAGAGAAGGCTATATCAGGATGGCATCAGAAGAATATAGGACAAATGATGTAGATAACATTTATATTCATCTAACAAACAATGCTATACAATAACATAGTGATAAATATGGATAATAGGAATTAGGAAATTAATTATCATTTGATTAAGTTTCTCAATATTTCAAATCCAAAATTGATTTTAGAGCATAAATAGTAGAAAAAATGAAAGAAATGTCATATTTTGCAATGAGAACAGTAGCTACTAAAATCAATAAGTTAAATAGAAAATTTTGTATGGAGATTTTTGGTTTTGATTTCTTTTTGGATGAACTCTTCAATATTTATTTAATAGAAGTGAATACTAATCCTTGTCTTGAAGAATCCAGTCCTTTGTTATAGATGTTGATACCTAGAATGATTGATGATGCCTTTGTTTTAACTGTTGATCAGATATTCCCTATTTAAAGAGATCTTGTATCAAAATTCCCTGTTACTAACTATAGTGATACTGAAAATATGTGGTAATTGATAGAATTATAATGATAGGTAATTGATGGGAGAATTAACTGAAATACAAGGATGAACTATACATGATATAATTTTATATTATATATTTAACTAATATGGATTCAAACATTGTTACTCTAATTGAATAATCCAATAAATACAATAGCTCTAAAACAAATTTCTTCAAAACTAAGTTATTTATTAGCAACAACCATTCTCCAAATAGAGAATATTCAAAACATGTAGCATAAACAGAAACTGTTTAATATAATCGATATTAATCAAAAGAAATAAATTCTGGAAGAAATTCTAAGAAGATTTCCTTCAACACTTATTTGTTAAACTTAGCAAAATAGAATATTGATATGTTTCCAAAAATTAAATGTGATTTTGCTAATATTTAAATGGTTGATCTCCAAGTATTAATAGTATATTATATAGGATAATAGGTTCAGATTGTTTCCAAAAGAATTATATTAAATGAAAAAAGTCTAAATAATCAATCTCAATTCAAATTTTATTAAGGTATTACCTGAAGATTTGTTTGATACATTTCCTTCTATCATCAATTTTTCTATTAGCAATAATTTAGTAGTGATGCTTCCAAGAAAGATATCTAATTGGTAATCACATCTAGAGATATTAGAATTGAGTAAAAATAGAGTTTAAAAACTTTATCCATTAATAACCCTAATAAATTTAAGATCTCTCTTTATTTAATCAAATGAATTTCAATACATTCCAATAGAACTATAAAATTTAAAGAAATTAAATGAATTAGGTTTGGATTGGTTCAAATATCTAAATCCTCCTTTAGATCCTATTGTAAATAAACCATATATAGACAAATTATTTTCATCTCTAGAAGAAAAATAAGTAAAAGAAGTAGAAGATCCTTCTCAAATTAATGTATCAGTATTATTAATATCAAGTTTAGTGATGAAGAGTATAGCTCTTCTATTGGAATGAATTTTCAAGATTTTCTTGGTTAATTTTCAAATCTTTAGTTAAATATCCTTCCTAACCCTTAAGGAGGAGATAAAGAATATTCAACTACTATTTTACATAAGGCAGCTGTTGAATAAGATATTGGTGCTTTGTTATCATTGATATCTTATTATCCTGAAATTGTAGATTGTTAAGATTAAAGATAGAATACAGCATTAGGATTAGCAATTTAAGAAGAAAAGTATTTTAGTGCTAAAGCATTAATATTTAATGGAGCATCAGTAAATACAAATGCTGCCAAATATGGATCGATTTTGAATTTAGCAATTGTCAAAGGTTAAATCCATTTAATACTTGATATACTTACTTAAGGTGCAGATCCAAATTAAATGGATGAAAAAAGTAATACAGCTTTACATTATTGTATGGCATGTTTTGATAAAGATGTTTCAATTTATAAGTAGACATTCAATGCACTACTTAAAAAGAATATTAATTTAAATGCACTTAATCATGATGGATGGAGTCCTTTACATATTGCAGTTAAAAAGGGGAATACAGATGCTATTTAAGCAGTTATACAACACAACAATAAGAAATAATAAAAATTTGATTTAAATCTTAAAGGTGGTAAGAAACGTTAAACTCCTTTGCATTTAGCTTGTTCAAATGGTCATTTTGAAATTGTTGCTATACTTTTATAATAATCAGAAGTAAAATTATTTTGTAGAAATATGTTAAATTAAATTGCATCTTAATGTTGTTTACATAATTATAGAATTTATAAGTTAATCAAAAGATATGAATATGAACAATTATATAGACTTCAAAAAAATTGGTAATTGTAGGATTAAGATGATTATTCAGTAAAGGACAATGATTCATATACAGATTTAGATGAGAGTATTTAACTATTTGATGGTTTATAACTAAAATAAATTAAGATTAATAGATCAGTTTTAGGTTGTCGAGAAAAAGCAACTGGATGTAAATTGAGATTCTCTAGTCAGCCACCTTAAAAATGACATGGAATTAAAATTATATATATTTTATATAAATCACTCTTATTTTTCATAGGTTTCAGGCATTCTTAATCCAACATAATTAGCAACCTTCTATACATCTGCTTTATAGTCTTTAGGTTTGCCTATATTTTCAGCATCCATTATTAAATTTTGAGTTTTGATGGCTTTCAAATATAATTCCAAATTCCTCAAAATTTATTAATTCTCTCCATGTACTCTTGCTTAAACAGTGTATTTATAATATTTTCTCAATTGCTCTCTTGATAATTGATTTCCTAAAGATTTGAATAATTATCTATAGAGTAACAATGCTGCTAATTTCTCCTTACCCATATAAATAAATAATTTATATTAAATTAAAATGGATGAGAAAAATATCAATTTACCAGAACCAGTAACTAAAAATCTATTTGATAAGTAAATAAAAATATAAAATAATAGATCACAAGAGAAAAGAGAATAAGGAGGAGCAGAATTAATTAAAGTACTTTAGAATGCCAATGAGAAAACATTTATAGAAATAGCAAAGCATTTAAAAGAGAGATATATATCATAACAATAATTTTAATATAAAAAAGGAGGATTACATGGATTATATTCAATTGCTTTAGATTTATAAAAAAAAGTATTACTTTACTATAATGAAGGATTAGGAGATGATTATCAAGAATTGTTTGAATTACATAATTGATCCAATGATTGATTGTATGAGAGACAAAGAAGAAAGAGTTAGATATACAGCTATTGAATATTTGTTTTTGACTTCTAAATTATTAGGTGATATTGTCTTAAATAAATTGGAAGAAATATATAAAAATTTAGTTCAAAGTTTTTTAGATCCAGATGAATCAGTTAGAAAAGCAGCATCATAATTAGATAATTGTTTAAAGAGTTTGGTAACAAGTACAGCACCTGAAAAATAGAATTTTAAGATATAGAATTTTGTTAAGACAATTAGTGCATAAATAATTTTCAAAAATTAATAAGTGAAATTGAATTTGATTTCATGGATTAATACTTTGAATTCAATTCCACATATAGAATTATTTGATTATATTGATGGTTTTTTGGTTGAACTATTTCTTATGTTAGCAGATACAAATAATAAGGATCCATTTACTAATGAAGCTAAAGTAGCTGCTAGAAAATAATTAGAAGAATTTCAAAGAGATTTAGAAAGATATTCAAAAAGATCATCTTTTAATTAATCATAAGAATTGAAAACTCATAGATAAATAATAGACATATTACTAGATTTATGTTAAAATAAATAAAGTGATGCTCATGTATTATCTTAAGTATTAAATTGGATTATGGAATATTTGAAAATAGTTAGCAATGAATTAGATCAACCTTAGGTTTAATTTAATCAATTAGAATTAAGTGGAGGATAAATTATTAAAGGAATAGATTTAATGTCTAATATTTTTGAATAGAGAAGAGATTCTGTTCTTTAATCTGTTCTTATGGAAAAATTAAATAATATTTTGAAAATTATACTATCTTTATTATCACTTGATTCATCTTAGATTGTAAATTAAGCATAATAAATAAATGATATGTTATTGTAAATTATGGATAAAATGAAAGCTTCAGGTAAAGAATTTGTAGACATAATGCCAACAATTTAAGATATGCTAAAAGAAAAAAATAATCATACTGCAGAAAAAGCATTAATGTGGATGAGACATCTATTGAATACATAAACAGAGAAATTGAAACCAATGATAGAAAATATTTTAGAAAATGTAAAATAAATATTAATTTAATTAGTTAATTGAAAGATTAAAAGATGCAGAATGTTAAGTTGTAGAGAATGTTATGGATGTATTGGCTCGTATTTCTCATGAATAATATTTTGATATGGTTATAGAAAAGATATTAGATATATTCCATAAAAATGTTAATTTATTAAATAGAATGAGTTAAATAATTATAAAAAAACTTTGTGAATTTTGGAATGCAGAAGTAGTTTATACTCAAATTTGTAATAAACTTTTAGAAAATTATGTGTATGTTGGTGATGATAATCTAGATTTAGCTTTTACATAATAATTAGTTTAATCATTAGAGTATCTATTGATTACAGAACCTCGTTTATAAAATATAAGAATGAAGCTTAAAAATTATAAATATGAAAAGAATCAAAAAACAGCTAAATCAACATATGAATTCTTTATTAGCATATATAAAACATTTTGTTATAATGAAGTAAGTGCCTTATCATTATCTCTATTAATTGAAGAGTATGAACTTACTTACAATATTATCTTAACAATTGCAGAACAAGAAACTAATTTAGAAATTTTAGTATAGATAGCCAGATTAACATTATTATTAGAATCACCTGTTTTTGCATATTTAAGATTATAATTATTAGAATCTGCTAATCATCCTTTTCTTATTTAATCATTATAAGGATTAATGATGTTATTGCCTTAATCTCCAATTCAAAAATATCTCAAATCTAGACTTAAAAACATTGAACTATTTATAAAACCTGATTCGGATTTATCATTGAGTCGAGAGTATATTATATATTTTATATTGTAGAATATAAAATAAATTAGATACTTAATTATTATTATAATTATTCAAAAATAGCAAATAAGAATAATAAGATTTAAAAGACAATTATGCTAAAACTTAATTCAAATGAATATATATTTTTTATTCAATTATAATTTTGGATTTTTTTAAAAACTTATATATGGAAATAATTATGTTCCTTTAAGTAATTTCATAGTATATTATAATATTTAGATTATTAAGATATTTAATATATTTTTGCATTTTTTATCAAATGAAATTATAATGATCATATTATTATTTAATCTAAAATTAATCATTATTAAAAATTAACATAATTTTATAATGACTCATGATATTTGACAAATTCTTTTATGATAGGATTTTTCATATTAGTCAATTAAACATTAGTTTTCAGATCAACATCTAAGAATTATTTAATTAAAATAGTTGATAGGTTCATTTATTCTACAATTTATCCAGCTAAATTAATTTATCCTCTTGTTCTTTTTTTCTCAGTATATACAGTTTAATCTTCAATAGATTTTGCAGCTTCTATATATAATTGTTCTGATATTTTTTGTTATGATTTCAAATATAAAAAATCTCTACTTTTCAAAATACCAACACCTTTATGAGCAATATATCTAATTGATTCATTATGCTCTAAATTTTCTTCTACTAAATTGAATTCTTCTATTTTTTTATCAATCATTTTCATATCATCAATACTGATATTGATATATTATTATATTGTACAATTTAATTAAAACTGTGCTCTTAAAACAATAACTCTAACTAAAATATAATCTTAATTTTACATTGATTTTTCTGCTTTTTTCCATTCAAAGGCATACAATTTAATAGATGGTTAATCTATTAAGCAATTCCATCCATTTTCAATTGTTAAAGGTACTTTATTTTCATCAGTTAAGTCAATTATATCTTGTATCATTTATTCTCCAAAAGTGAGTGATGGTTTTGAAATAATAACACTTTAAATAGTTTTTCTATAAGCTTCTGTATTAGGTTCATACTCACTTTCTTCAGTATCTTATTTATGTTTTAATTTATTTTAATGATGTTCATTAGGAAGATCATCTCTTGCATTGCAGCAGACATTCATGTTTCCCATTAAAAACGATAAATTATTTATTTAATATATATATATAATTGATATTATATAGCAAAATATACAAAATATAAAAATATACAAAATATAAAAATATACAAAAATATAAAAAATTATACAAAATCAATTTCCTAATAATTGATCTAAATCAACTTGATCATAATTTTACAATTATTTTAATTATTCACATTTGAATACTATGTTCTATGAAAACAATTTAGAATTTTATAAAACTAAATCAATAGTCTATTCAACTTTAAATTAATGTTTAGCTGCTATGAATCCATCATTAAAACCTTTATTAATTAAATTTTATTCTTCTTCTTCAGTTGTACGTACTAATCCTTCTCTATAACCTTCATTTTCTAATTTATTGATCATAATTTATTCATCTTTTTATGCAATTTGTCTTTCAATTTCTTTTTCATTGAGATTAGAGTCATACCAATCATCTTAATCATCATTATTCATTAATATAATTATAATATAAAAAATGAATATTTAAGATGAAAATAAAAAGATAGAAGCAATTATTTAATGGTCTAAAGAGTTGTTCAGTTTAGAAGGATAAGTTAAACGATTTACTGCAGGTTTAGAGTAATTATAAATTAGAAATGAATGAAGTCGTATCATTATGTACTAAAGAGAAATATGAATTAAATTTTGTTTAAAATACAAAATCTAAAAGATGGATAGAATTAGATGTAATAAATGGTTATTAATATATATAGATAGGAATTAAATAAAAAGTAGAAGTTTATGCAAATAATGAATTATAAAATATAGATTTGATTGTTTTTACAATATAAATTGGTGCTTAATATCCAGTGAAAGATGTTAGAATAGTTTGTAAAACTACTGTATTTTTAATTATTAATTTAAGTTTGTTAGACCTACTTTGGCAGATGGAAGAAACTTGATAGCTGATGTATTATTGTAACCATGGAATTACAAATTATCTTTAGTTTCCATAATTAAATAGATCCCATCATTTTTAGTATTTGACTTAATAATATGATTAATAGGATAGGGTACTATTGAATAGATTTGATAAGATTTATCTTTAAAATATTGGTCAATATTATTTAGGTAGTTCATATTCAATAGATGAATTAAAGGATTATCCAGATTTAGCTAGATTTCCAACAATTTAATAATAGAATGCCTTTTTCTAAAATATTTAAGTGAGGTTAGAAAATATTATTAAATAATAAGGTTAATTGGATTGAGTGATGCTCATTTTTATTTATTTGAAATGATAGAAGGAAAGGATGATTATGTAAGATTGATATTCAGAGCTCCACTTTAGAGTTGTGTATAATTAAAAAGAAAGAAAGATAATAGCACATAATTATCAATAAGTTGGAAGAATTATAAAAATAAATAAGAAGAATAATAAACATTTACTATAAATGAATATGATAAATTTATTAGATTATTTTTAAGAAGATTGAATTAATATCAACATGTTAGAATGACATCTAATTCTTATATGGTATTTGGTGATTAATAATTGGCTGAGAAATAGAAAATCAATTCAATTATGAAAAATCTAAATTAATTAGAAAATGAAATTGATAAGAAATTTAATCAATAGACAATTAATAAACTTATGGATTTATATCAATAAGTAATAGTTGATATGAAACTAGGCAATTGAATTTTATTCATCTGCCAGTGATTACTTGTATGAGATCTATTTGAATAAATTACAGACATTGATACAGAGATAAGATGTATAAGTTATTTTATAATATAAATGATAATTTTATTTTAACTACCTAATTTAAGATGTTTACAGGTGAAAACATTCAATTTCTGTAGTAATTACATTAATTGAAAGAAATATCCAAAATAGGAGAGGGTAGTTTTGGCAAAGTCTATAAAGCAATGGATTTAACAGACAAATCTATTTGTGCAGTAAAGGTAATTTCAACAACCATTAAGAGGTTATATCCAAAATAGTTTACAATAATACTACTCCTGAATAGGAAATCTATTTATAATTGAATCATCCAAATATTGTGAGATGCAAAAGAGTATGAGTAAAAAATATTTATTAAGATTTCAGAAAACAAAAAATACTATTATATAATTATGGAATATATGGAAGGTGGTACATTATCATAGAAAATGAAAGAGAAACAATTAAATGAATAAGAAGCAGCAATTATTATGAAATCAATTTTGGATGGAGTAAACTACTTACATGATAAATCAATTATTCATAGAGACTTAAAACCAGAGAACATAATGTTGACAGGAACAAATGTGAAAATAGCTGATTTTGGATTGNAGTGATGCTCATTTTTATTTATTTGAAATGATAGAAGGAAAGGATGATTATGTAAGATTGATATTCAGAGCTCCACTTTAGAGTTGTGTATAATTAAAAAGAAAGAAAGATAATAGCACATAATTATCAATAAGTTGGAAGAATTATAAAAATAAATAAGAAGAATAATAAACATTTACTATAAATGAATATGATAAATTTATTAGATTATTTTTAAGAAGATTGAATTAATATCAACATGTTAGAATGACATCTAATTCTTATATGGTATTTGGTGATTAATAATTGGCTGAGAAATAGAAAATCAATTCAATTATGAAAAATCTAAATTAATTAGAAAATGAAATTGATAAGAAATTTAATCAATAGACAATTAATAAACTTATGGATTTATATCAATAAGTAATAGTTGATATGAAACTAGGCAATTGAATTTTATTCATCTGCCAGTGATTACTTGTATGAGATCTATTTGAATAAATTACAGACATTGATACAGAGATAAGATGTATAAGTTATTTTATAATATAAATGATAATTTTATTTTAACTACCTAATTTAAGATGTTTACAGGTGAAGACATTCAATTTCTATAGTAATTACATTAATTGAAAGAAATATCCAAAATAGGAGAAGGTAGTTTTGGTAAAGTCTATAAAGCAATCGATTTAACAGACAAATCTATTTGTGCAGTAAAGGTAATTTCAACATCAATTAAGAGGTTATTTCAAAATTAGTTTACAATAATACTACACCTGAATAGGATATCTATTTATAATTGAATCATCCAAATATTGTGAGATGCAAAAGAGTATGAGTAAAAAACATTTATTAAGATTACAGAAAACAAAAAATACTATTATATAATTATGGAATATATGGAAGGTGGTACATTAGCATAGAAAATGAAAGAGAAATAATTAAATGAATAAGAAGCAGCAATTATTATGAAATCAATTCTAGAAGGTGTAAACTACTTACATGATAGATCAATTATACATAGAGACATTAAACCAGAGAATATTATGTTGACAGGAACAAATGTGAAAATTGCTGATTTTGGTTTAAGTTTTAAATTCTCATCTACTGAAGGTACTTTTCATAAATTATTAAATAAAAAATGTGGAACTATTATTTATATGGCACCAGAACAATTTACTGAAAAATATGTAAATTATGTAATCTAAAATTTTATTAGTATAGTAAATAAGTAGATGTTTGGAGTTGTGGAATTCTACTTTATATGTTATTAAATGGAGGAATACATCCCTTTTATAATAAAGATGATACTAAATATGAGTTCATTAAAAAGATCCTTAATCCTTCCATTGATATTCCATCAAATATGACACCTTTAGCTAAAGATTTATTCTATAAATTGATTAATGTCAATCCTATTGATAGATATAATGTAAGTTAAGCCTTGATGCATCCATGGATCACAAGAAAATTTCATGAAAAAATTCCTTTGACTTATTAATAACAATTAGACTAGTTTCTAAAAGAATAACAAATAAGATAAGTATTAATGTATTATTTTTATTTTTAGTAATTTAAGTTATTATTCTTCTTACAATATATCAATCTCAATTCACCAAGAACATAGATCTTTTCAGATAATGTAAAAGAATTAGAATAAGAAAATTAATAACTGCATTAGAATCAAACAAGTGCAAGTCCAACTTAAAATAAATTTAAAATATTGCAATTAAATAATAAACATAAGAATTAATGCAATATTACACATAGAATGGAGAGTTAAGGAAAGTTTTTAGATTTTTCATTAACACAAAAAACTCATTTTAAGAAATCTATGGAAAATATATTGGTTTTTGAAAAGGATAAATACGAAAAAAGTTAAAATTTTTCAGCAAGATCTTTGAAATAGAAATCTAATTAAATAATTAACAAATTTTTTATACCAACTTCATTTTAAGAGTCATTTTGTGTCTCTAATAAAATGAAATCAAAATAGCATAAAAAATTATTACCTCCATTAAAATCAAAATGATATCATATATAAATCTAATTTTTATAAATTTATTTTGTACATTTTTTTTTAAATTAACACCTTAAATAATCTTATAACAAGAATTTAGGCATTCAATATAAACTAATTTAATTTGTTAAATTTATTCAAATTAATATAGTATTATAATATGTTTTAGAAACATAAAATAAAAGTAGTGAATCTATCTCAAGCCAAGAAAATTATCACCTATTTTAGATGAAAAAAGAGAAGAAGTCTTGAATTTAAAGGAGAAAGGACAATGAGAAAAGGTTGTTCCCCTTTTAAAGACTAATTAACATTTATAAGTTATCTTTGATGGTATTAAAGATATTTAACATTTAGGACATCTTTTAATAACAACAATGGGACAAAATCTTAACAAAAAATTAGTAAATTCATATTAAAACATTAAGTAATTAAAATATTTCTTGAGAAATATGTATTTTAAAAGAAGATTAGAATTATGAAAATAAATCAAGTTACTTTAGGGAAACCTGGTAATACAACTGGTTTAGCTAATCTCATTGCTTTTCTTTTATTCAAATATTTAATTGGTATAAATCCTAATCTCATGTAAAATCTAAATAAAATTGTAAATTTATACCTTGTAACATGTATGCAATCTTTTCCACATCTTTTATGTAGATTTTAAAATTTGGAGACAAAATTTTGAAAATCTTAGAAATCAATATTTTAATTTTCTTATTTTTGATAAAATTTATTAATAGTCTAGGTAATTTGTGTTCCATTTTCTTTTAAATTTTAATACATTTATTTAACAATAGTATCATTTATTTCTTATGAAATCATATATCCTTAAGTATTATTAAGTGCATATTTAATAATTTATTCCTCCTATTATTCAGCTATATCAAATAAATTTTAATCAAACATTACTCTTTCTTCTTTTTGTTTCTTCTCAAAATCTTCTTTTTATTTTTTAATATAATCTTTAATAAATGCATCTTATTTTTTGGATTCTAAATTTTCAACAGATGTTTGAGTTTTATGATTAGTAACTTATGGTTTTAAATCATTTTATTAAGTCAATCTATCAAGAAGTGATTATTTATAAGATTATAAATTTACTGTTTCATTTCCAACAGTTTTATAATTGGAATGAGGAGACATATTTTATCGACTTACTTTTCTTTATGATCTATTACTAGATTCACCATTATTATCATCTAAATTAGGATTATTTGTATTTTAATTAGATTTTTATGTTTTTTTATTTTCATTAATGATATTTAAATTAATGGATGTGGATTCTCTTTATGATTATTATATTTAATTATTTTATAATGAGGTTTATTTTTATTATATACCATTATTATTATTATGAGTAGCTAAGGATTATTTTTTAATTAATTTATCATTTTCTTCTTGAATTTAGAATGTATCTTAAATCTAAGTTTATAATTCTTGAAATTTAGTTTATTAAAGATTTTATATGGCATTTTAAACATATGTTTCAGGGATAGTCTTTTAATTAGAAGCATATTTAGATGAAATATTATCACTATTTTAATTAATTGATTTCAATTTGGTTAATCGAGAAGAATTATTTGGAGTATGATGTTAAGTAGTTGAACCTGATTATAATTAATTATGATAAGGTTTATCATGGAGACTATGATTATTAATAGAAGATTTCATTTAAGTTTCATCATTTTCAGTATTTTTTTCAAATTTGAATTAATCATCCTATAAAGTACCATGTCTTATAGGTAATCTTTCTGTTAAACTACCTGAATTTATAGGTTAAACATTTGAAGTTCCATAAGGATTCGAGAGAATATCATTTGATGTATTTTAATTAGAGATTTTTCTGTTAATTTTTAATTTAATAGAACTAGTTCTTTTAACTTTTTCAGTTTTATTTTCAAATATCTTTTAATTATTAGATTAAGTTCTTGTTATTCTATGTTTTTATTTACTTTCAGGTGATGCATCATCAAGTTATTGATTACTATCATTAAAACTAGATTAACTAGTATTTTTTGATTATTTTCTTTTAGCAACATTTTATTCAATAGGAATTAATAAAATATGTTTATTCTCATCAATTTCTTTAATTTATTCTAGATGTGAAACTCTAGGTGAATTCAAATCTCTAGTAGATTAAAACTTTTATCTTGGTAATGCTTCTCCTTAATCTACAATATGTTAAGAATGATAATGTTTTGGCATATTAATAGGTGATCTAGAATCATCAAAATCTTATTGACTATGACAAAATGATTTTGTATCTTTAAATTATAAATCATTTTCTTCAATATCTTTAATTAAATCAAACATATCTGTTAATTATCTATCTCCTTTCTATTCTACTACATATTATAATTATGATAATCTTCTATCTTTATTTCCTTTATCTAAAGCATTAGTTAATATTATTAATCTTTCCATCATTTTATCTTTCTAAATTAGAATACTAATTTAATTATCATCCAAATTTTCATTTATTTATTAAATTGGTAATAAAATCTAAGATTTTGTATTTCTATTTAATGGAATCTTATCTTCTCTTGACATCTTTCTATTTGGACTAATAGATTATTATTGATCTTAATTCTATTCATCACCTTATTAGATATTCTTCATGAAACTAGATTATCTTTACAATACTGATCCTCTTCTTTATATATTTAATTATGAATCAATTTTTAATTTCAAATCTTATTTCTCTAATAAATTTTACTTTAATTATCCATCAAGCAATTTCATTTATAATTCCATATCTTAAATTACTTTATCCTTTTCTTTCAATTCCCCTACTTACTTATTAATTTATTAAGATTAAGATTCAGTCTTATTTTAAAGAGACACAATCTCTCCTACATAAATTGAACATCTACATTCATCTCCTTTAAAAATAGTAGTCTATCTATTAAATTAATCTTATGATAGATATTTTCCTTTCTTTATTTATTCCTTGAATAATTATTTACAATATAGAAATACTCTTTCTGCTGTCTCTTTTTAAACTTATATTATATGATTTTTGATTTCTGTTTCAATAAATTCATAATTTTCAACTTTATCTTTCAATAAATCTAAATCAACACATTTTATAATTTGATCTAAATCTTCTTTTTTAAATTTGATAGCATTCATTAACTTCTCTAATTCTTCTGGTTTCCCTTTCTCCTTATAATCTCTCAATATTTTATTCTATAATGCTTCTCCCATTATAGCAATTGATTCATTTGCAAATTAGAGTATACTATCAAATTCCATTTATCTATTAGCTTAATCTGATATTGCCTTTGAACAGTTCATATAATAATCTTCAGTTGTACAAGTATATTTATCAACAAATTTCTTTGGAATATGAATAACTTAAGATGTATCATACCAAGGTACTTATGTTATATTTTTGACTTTTAAGGTGGGATTTCCTTATTTAGAAACAGGTACTCCACCTAATAAACTTTGTTATGTTGCTAAGTTTTATACACATGAATCAACTAATTAAATAGATTAAGACTTTTAATGTATTTTCTTAGAATTTAATTATTCTCTACTCTTCAATACATAAACTAATAGATTTTGTAGACAATTAAAGATTTTATCCATTAATTGACTTACATCAATATTAATTACAGATTAAATGAGTAGACATATTTCAGCGTTGACTTGATTAATTTCTAATAAAAGCTACAATAATTTAAAAATACTTTTATTACATCTGATATTTGTTTATATTCAAAATTTTAGATTAGTTACAATTGCTCTAATTTATTGGATAGTTAATTAATCACCGTTGTTAACTTTTTTATTTATATGTCCATTAAATTGAAATATATATTGGAATATTTATATTAAAATGAGTTCTAAAACTCATATTGCAATCTTAAATTGTTTTATAAATAAAATTGTAGAATATTTATATATTTATGATAATATCTTGTCTCAAGCAAAATAATTATAAGGATTTGACAGTTCACTCATTTTTTCAATAAACTCTATTTATATCTATACATCTTCAATTTCCATCAATTAATTTGCTCTATAGAGTTTCAAATAGTTGGCTGCAAATGTCTTCTATTATTATTACAATTTATTTTATTTCTCTAAAACTACTTTCAATGCTTAATTAATCCATGATTAAGTATATCTAGGATGTGCCATAATCATAGCCATTAAAACTTATTTTCCTTAAAGTTCAGTATCCTTATTTGTAGCCTAAAAACATTTTAAATTAAATTTACTTATTTCAAATAGATTTCTAATTAACAATTTACTTCTTGTAAAGTCATTTATTGGATCAACTATGTTGTAAGTTCAAAACATGATTACATTACTATCTTATTTTCATCTAATAAATATTAAACAATATTCTCTAATATTTCAGGTCTATTAATATGTAAAATCTCTTTTGTGAGTATCTATGTATAATGATATTATATTACTTTTAAAAAGTTTAATTATCTTACTCTAACAGCATTTTAAGAAATCTTTAATAAATTCAATGTCATTTAAATTAAAGTAATAGTACATTCTTTAATTCTAATATTTGAAAAGATCTATAATCCTTATGTTAATTATTATAAATTATTTTCTTCATTTATTGTCAATAGATATTCAACTATTGGTTACATCTTTTATAATATATATGGATTAATGAAGAATTTCTTAGATTTCCAACCTTCAAATAAAGTTTCTATAATATTTATTTTACCATTTATATTTTATTACTAAAATTAATTCACTAATATATTCAATCCTTTAGAAAACAACTCTGAATTCTCAAAGATAAAATACTTTGATTCAACCAAAATTGCAGTTTGTTATCTAAATTATTCTAATAAACCAAATTCTTATAATAATTCTATATTATGAGGATATTTATTCTATTAATCAATAATCAATGGTATAAATGTTTAAACTGCTTTTAAATTTGAATAATCTACATTTGTTTAAAGAATATTTTCTAATAATTTAATTTATTAATGTTTCTTAGATTCAATTATAGTATAAAATAAAAAGATCCATCTTAATTTTTTATTATCATTTTCTTTTTATACTTTATCTAATATTGAAATTAAAAATTATTCCTATTTTCTTAAATCACATCTTGATAAAGCTGCATGTAGATAATACTAAAATGTCTTAAATTCATCTCTAGATTAATCCATAATAATCTTCTCAAATTTGTCTATACAATAATCTATAATCTCTTATTTATATTAACAATCCCAAGAAGAATGTAAAGCATATAACAATCCTGATAAATATATTCTCTAAAATGATAATTAATCTAAATTATTTTAATCAATTAAATGTTTTGTATGATTAAATATTTCATAATCTGTTATTGCAAATAAATATTTCATAAATTGTACTTTTTTATATAATAAACTAAATCTGATAGGAGCTTACATATATGAATTATAAAAGAATTGTTCATTAGCTTAATTATCAACATCATTAAATAAATTTGCTATTGATGATTTATCTTGATTAAATTAGAATAACATAATTGGCTATTATGATTGTTATTAATCTAATACACTTTAATCAATAATCATCAAATTTATAAATTAATGCCATTACTCAGGACTGATTGATTTAAGAATCTTAAATTATTTCTTAGCTTCTTCTCTCTTTATATCAGTATATTTAAGAGAGTTATATAATAATATCTTGCCCTTTCTATGATAATCATTTAATTTATAATATTTCTAATCTTCAGGCAAAATAAATCTATATACATTATATTAATCTAAATTTATCTAAGTATTTTAAAAATCTTCAGGCTTTCTTATTATATATTTATATGATTTATGTTTAAAAACACAAATCTAAATTAATCTATATAGTAATAACTTTCCTAAACTTCGAATATTAAATTCTTAACTAATACAACAATTAAATGCTTTCAAAATAACTCTCTCATTTAATTATGGTAATTATTCTGTTCTCATTAATAATAGAGCACATCCATTAGAAATTAATTATCTAGATGTGGATGCATCAATTGGAATACTCAACCAAAATTCTACTATTGAATTTAATTTTTCATTTAATGATACTAATCCACTACTTATTTTTGTTTACTATTCTAACCAATATTAATGTCTTTATTCAAAAATACTATCAACATATTTTAAAACCTCTTAATTTTTAATTATCAAAACTAAAATCTATATTTATTTATACTATGTTTTCTATCAAAATCAGCTTGATTTAATTCAACACTAGCTTAAGATATTTTTTATACTAAACTTAATACATCTAAATTAAAATCTGCTCTATTTACTTTATCTATCAAATCTAATATTAGATTAATAAATTTACTTTAATATGCACAATCAAATATTTAATAAGAATCCAAAAATAATCCAGGATTTAAATTAGATACAATACTAACAAAATTAGCAAATCCTTTTGTAAAATGATTTTAGAAAAGTGATAGTTTTTATTTTTCAGTTTCATTCAAAGTTTCAATGTATTATTAATTAAACCATTTATTTTTAAAAACTGTTTTTAATTATTCATACAATTTCTTAAATAATTCATATAACCATTCTCTATCATCTAATAATTCCATTCTACTTGATAACCAAATCCAATTCACTTTGTAACTAAATTCATTGGAATCAAATAAAAATGGAATAGATATTAATAGCATTCTAAATTATTAATATCAATAAAATACTCTTTATTTTATTGATTCATTATTTGATTATAATAAATTTAATCTATTCTATTATTTAATAAATAGGTATAAAACATTTAAGATTAAAATCTATTATAAAATTTAATCTTATTTGTATCTGAAGATCTTGTTTTCACTTATAACCATTTACCTAATCTTTGAATCTTATCAGAAGTTTCATGTATTAATAATTTAATGATATTAATAAAACTAGTAGCCAATTTACCATCTAAAGCTAATCCATTATTAATATAGACAGGAACAAAATCAACACAAAATTGAATTACCTTAATAATAGTAATATCATTACTTCATTATACATTTAATTTAAAACATCAAAACAATATTAATCTTAAAATTTCTTAAAAGCCTCACTTGAATTTTAATTGTATTATTTCATTCTAAAATAGAGTGGTCTCACAAATGCATAAATAATATCTAAATTTAAAGACAAATTCTTTCTAATTTTAAGTTCAATTTATTAACAATTCTATTTTGTATCTAATTAATATTATTATTCATATTAAGATAAAAAATCATTTTGTAAATAATCAAGGAATTATTTATTATCACCCTTTTATGTAATAATTTCTCTTATTTATTAAAGTGCAGGATGATAATAATCATCCATAATTTATTTAATAAATTCTTAATCATCAATTTCTTACCATTTTGGTATATATTTTTCCTATTTTCCTTTTTATTTTAATTTTAACCAATCTAATTAAATAGTAGGATCATTTGTAAATTAAAAATCTCTAATATGAATTGCAGCTTAACTCATTAATAAACAAGCCAATATATTTTAACCTGCTTATTATATTTTAGTTTCCTCATGTTTCAAACTTAAATCAATTATACATTTCAAAATTTAATAATACTATTTATTAACACTTCCTGAAAATTAAACAATTTCATAGATTATAATTAAATAATTTCTAATTGTTGTGATATTGGAAATATTAAATTCATAATGATCTTTTGTTTATCTCAAAAGTTAATTTTAAATTACAGTTAAAACATCTTTAAGAACATTAGGATCTCTTAAAATAATAGCTTAAAGAAGTAAAACAAAATTATCTGATAAATTATTAAGTATTTTATCATCCAAATAATTACATACAATATTAACTATTTCTTTATAATTTGATTTAGAACTTTAAAATACAAAATTATAGAATTTATTTCTTGTTGAAAATATAATCTCTGAACCTCTTTAACTAGTATGATATTTGACATCACTATATTCAAATGTTGAAACATATTTTCTGAATGCTTCTAAAGCCAAATCACTTATTTCTTAGGTAATTTAATAAAAATTTATATCATCTATTTTCATTTCTAATAATTATATTTTATAAATACCTTCTTATAAATTAAGATTTGGATATTAAGCTTCTAAATCTTTTACATCATAAATAGGAATATATTAAAATAATATATCATAAAATCTCCAAATCTATTCTCCACTATCTAAAATAAAATTAGTTGTTTATCTTAATATAAATGGAATATAATTGATTATTTGTGGATATTAATCAAATTAAATTGCTGGTCTAAATATCTTCTCAATTATATGAATAATAAGTAATGGTTTCATATCATCTCTCTCTAAAGCCAATTAAATTTATTCCATTACATAAGGTAAAATCTCCTTAGGTCTTAATTTACATAAAGACTATTAATTAATTATTCATATTATACTTTATATATTCCTGCTACTTAAATTTTAAATCTATTCTTCTAATAAATTAAGTATTTTAAATGTGGTTTAACAATAGATATAAATTTATCAATTCCTTCTTAATCAATCATAAATTCTTTTTTATCAAATACTTTCTCTTTATCATTACTATCTTCATCTTCTTCTTCTTCCTCCTCATCCATATCATTCATCTCTTCATCTTATAAAAATAATTATTCATCCTTTGTAAATATATTATCTTTAATATAATTAAATATATAATAATACTTTCTAAAACATTATCTTATTCCTAATTCTTATCTTATTATTAATTTTAAGCTTCCACTCTTTCAACAAATGTTTTTACAAACATATAAAAAAAAGAGAATACAAAATCATTTGAAGTTGCATTATTTGGATGAATCAAATCTGAAATTACCAAAAACATTCTTTCAATAGTATCCCATACTTTAGATCTTGTTTATGATGAACCAATTAAATATACTAATGGTTAAATAAAATCTGAAGGTCTCATGCCTCCATGATGTATTTAAATAGGTGCTTAAATAGATAAATTTTAGATATTTAATAAGAGTACTATAAAGCTATTATAAATATCTTCTAATATAAAGTCCAAATAATTATCTATTGGTAAGTCAGGACGATAACTATAAAATTAGGACATTATAATTTTACGAGATTAATTAGGCAATTAAAAATGGATCCAATTATCTAATTACATGGGAAGACTTCTTAAATTCTATCAACATCTCAAAACTCTTTGTGTAAGTTGAAATTGGCTCAGATTTTACTACTCTAAATAATCTCTGATTAAGATTTTCTCCTTATAAATAATTATCTATTAATTAAGGGAAGTAACTGGGTGGAATTAAGTGTCGAAATAATGCAAAAAATCTATTTGTAAACTAAAAATATTACTCTTATAAGCATTAAATTCCTCTCCTAATTTATTAATCAGTATTATCAAATGTTGTATCTAAGCCATTCTGATTAACTTCATCATAAATTTATTTTAGATCCTCATATTTAATCTAAATATTATTGCATATCTTCTTAGTGAATGCTGACAGAAATAATTTAATTTTTTTTGGAGTGCAAGGAGTTTAGAATAAATGTTTTGTACTATATACATACTTTTAAAGACTGTATTCTATTAATAAAGCAAAAAGCTTCTCTTTCTCCTCTTGATTGAAAGAATGCACAGAATAAAAGCCTTACAAAAATTTTATATCTGTAGCTAATCTGTATAGAGAATTCTCAATTATGGATTTCTCTATTCTTTTTGTTAATCTGTCATATTCCAGAGATCTTTCATCTTTTATCAATGATGCACATTTAGGTAAATGAGTTAACATTATTTTATTATCAAATATTTATATATTAATAATTAATAAAAACCATTTTTCGTCATTGACATCAGTATTAAAATGATCCTAATCTGAAAAATATTTGTATTTTTTTACATTCACAAATTTTACTCTTTCTAATTTCCTAAAATTAATAATATAATATTATAAATTAGTTAAAATACTACAACATCATTATCTTTTTATTAAATTTTCCTCAATTCTTTCTATCATATTGATGATTTTATTAATAAATTCTAATAATTTATTTTTATTTTACAATCTATATTCTTTTATTGAATATTTATTAAGTTAATATTAATATACTACTATTTTTTATTATATATTGTTTTAATCTTCAAATCTATTTTATATTATTAATCATAAAATATTATTATCTATACTAATTAACTTAAATTTTAATGAATATTTATTTCTATAATCTAATTTTAGATCTAGGATTCCATATGTCATATATTAATTAATTTATTTTTATTATATAAATTACTAATATTAAAGTAAATGTATTTAAAAGAATGAATAAATTATTGAAATCTATTTTTTATAATATTGATAATAATATTTATTGCCATATACAAATTTCTTTATATGCTTCATAATTTTAATTTGATGGCTTCTAATTCTTATTAAACTTAATCAAACGCCTTAATTGGTTTATATTTTGGAGGCAATCCTTGTTTTGCGAATTTATCTAATGGTTAAAGTGTAACATCAGAATTAATATGTGAAAATAATGTTGATGATACTCTCCAAGTGCTTTTACCATCCTTCTTGTTTTATTCATATCTTTTCTTTGCTTCTTCTGTATAAATTACCTTCATAACTATTTTATAATACTTCATGATATCCACAAGTCACATATCCGCCAGTAAGCAAATCAAATTGAGCACCTGCTTAAAGAAGTAAATGACCTTCTGGGACAGCAACTGAGATTCTCTCTCCATTTCTTAACCAAACATACAACCCAGGATAACGACTCTTACCATGAATTGTTAAGAAATTCAAATCATAATGAAATCCTGCAAAAATGGTTCCTTGTTTATGTCTATCTAAATCAGAACCAGTTGGAGCAAGCAAATGAGGTCCATTCTACATTCTACTGGTAAAAGAGTCAGCAGGAATACTCATACCAATAGCAGCCATTTCAGCTACTGTCAAACATCCATTTATCATCATTTTACCCCATTATTCCATTCTTTCACCAAATTAAGGAACATCCTTTGGTCTGAATCTTGGAGGATTGAAACTATAATAATTTTAAGTTAAAATATAATACTCTTCATCTTTAGTTCGTTTGCCTGAATCATCAATAGGCCAAAAGAATCTCCATTTGGCATCCTAGAAATAGAAATTAAAATTACATATGGAGCTGGTTATGGAGTCAAAGCTTCATTTTCTTTAGTGTATTATCTAACAATATTATTGTGAGTTCTTGCTTTTTCAACGAATTCTGGTGTAGCTCCAACTTAATATGAATAATTTGGGAAGATGTCTTCAACCTTAAATTAAAACCATATGAATACTTTTTCATCATTATAGAATTTAGCAGCTCTGGATTCAAAATACTTTTCCATCATATCTAAAAATTCGACATTATGACGATCATTAACTCTTGGATCTTTGATGCAAATAGCACCATAGTTATGTAAAGCTTCTGCTACTTAAGCACATTAAGCGGAGGTGTCACCCTTTTTAGCTAGGAAGGCTGTAACATCGACAACAGGTACAGATTTAGCAAATCTATAGACAAATCTTGTTGTAAACATTTTAATAAATTAATAATATGTCATTCAATTAAAAAGTGAGTAATATTTATAGTTAGATATTTGATCAGTAACATTCTAATCACTATATTATGTACTTGTTATTCTCTTTTAAAATTATGCTTCTTTGACTTTAAGTGTATAAATTAAACAAAATTAAATCTTAAAAAGAATGAAGAACATTGATCCGAATGTGGTTTTTATATAAAAGGAAAAGTGGGATTATGAATAGATGGAAGTACTCATTACAACTCTACATAGGCAATTCCTTGTAAACAAATTGAAGTACCCAATTTTGTGACTATTTCAACTGTTACTTAGAACATCATCTAATTGCCTACTGTTTACATTCACTCTAATATAGTGTACCCTGATGAGAATGAGTACTCTTGTGATGAAGATGATATAGAAGCTGGCATTGACCCTAAAGTAATGCAGCAATTGGATCTTAGGCGTCATCTGAATTCTAATCGAAATTATTCTAAACAATATTCGTTACTCAATACATTGGAATATGATGAAACTTATTATAATAGAAAGGTTGAAAGATTATAAAGGCCCCTTTTGAGAGTGTTCATGCGTGCTCAAGAGAATGAGTATGATTTATTTTAGCATTTTAGTTATCGGATGAATGTGGCTTTTAGACCAAGCAAAGCCTATAAATAAAAACGATAAAAGCATTTAGATTTACATTCAATTGATGTTGCTAGAGAAATTCTAATGAATGAGAATATGATAGCACTTAATCTGTTAAGATAAATAAAATAGAGAGAAATGCTAAAATTGCAGTTAATAAAAGAAGAGGAGTTTAATTTTGTAAATACATTCAATAATTGCAATGATTTATTTGGAAACTTAAAGGAGCTCAAACGTTTCTATAAGCCAGAAGAATAAATGGAATAATAGTAAAGAGATAACAGAAATAAAATATTTGAATCATGTTAAAATAATGATTGTTCATATCAATTTTATTCAATCTCTTTATCTACAGAACTTATTGATTTTATGGATGAATAATACTAATAAATAAAAGAGAAGAGCATAGTGTGGCCTAAGAATCCAACTATGCTTTAATCTTGGAATCTTGATATTTACAATAAATTAGGGGTTCATTAATTAAATAAATAATTGATTTATACAAATGACAATAGAACATTATTGATAGCTGATAGAACAAAGAAGAATAAAAAAAAAGTTAAATTAATGCTCATTGATCGGAATAGAGCTTCAATCTTTGATGGTGTTAGAGCTAATTTTGATCACTTTTATGCTCATTATTAAAAAATTAATTAAAAATAAGAATAGATTATTGATTAATAAAGGAAAGAATGTTAAAAAATAAGATTTGATAAATAAAAAAAGGAACATTAACTCAAATTATAATAGAAAAAGGAAGAATTGAGATAATCTTTAAGATTCAAAATGAGAATATTATAAGATTTGGATCAACCCATTTGTACAATTAAAATTAAACATTCTGATGAATTAAAATTTTAATTAGTTAAAGACATTCACTATAATTCTTAAGTTATATTGATATGATATAGTTTCATTAGATAGGAAATGAAAATAATTGTGATTGTATATTTTTTACTTTACTTTGTAATTTTTCATATGTTTCTTAATTTAAATAAGATTTAAATTATTTATTATGGCAGAAGTCGAGTAATTATCAGAAGAACTCACAACCTTAAAAAGAGTTGTATAAACATCATTACATAGAGGATTATTAGCTAAGGGAGTCCATGAAGTATGCAAAGCTATTGAAAGCAAATAAGTATTAATACTCTTCATTCTAGGCAAAATTTGTGGTTTTAGCTGATGATTGTACTGAAGAAACATACAAAAAATTGATAGTTGCTTTAGCTAAATAATTCTAAATTCCAGTTTGGAGAGTGGAGAAAGGAGCTTTGTTAGGTGAATGGATTGGCATTTCTAAATTCCTTACTAAAACAAAAAAGATCAAATCAAGAAAGTGTTCATCTGTTGCACTCAAAGATTTTGCAATTGAAGTTAGTGAAAATGAAAAACAATTTGTAGAAGATAAAATTAAGGGATTGTGAAGTTATTTAACATATCGTACATTTAAATACATTAATGATTGAAATACAATATCAGATAACATATAATCCCTTATTTTATCTTATATTCATTAAATGTGGATGTGATTTCGTTTTTATTTATAAATAAAATTTATGATTTCTGAATAACTTAAATCAGGACCATCTACTAAATAACTTAATAGTGATGATACTCTCAGAGTTGGAGAATGTACCATTCATAAAAGACAACTGGAAGCTTTCTGTACTTCTTGTCATGTGTATTCTGATTATATTTATCTAGTCTTATTTGTCCTACTTGTTTAATGTTTGGTGAACATAAAGGACATTTAGTTGATTAAATGGATAAAGCTACTAAAGATATTAGATCATCTATGGATCAAGCTGCAAAAGATGGTAATTCAATTCCTTTCTATATTTAATATAGGAATTTTGAGATTAGAAAAAACAGAAACTGTTCTTGTAGATATTAGACATACAAAATTAACATTTGAGGAATCAAAATAAAAAGTATTGAAAGAGGTTGAATAAACATTTGCCAGCATTTTCAAATTGATTAAGTAAAGAAAAGATGAAGTTATCAATTTGATTAATCAACATTATGAAATCTAAGTTAATAATATTGATACTTAAGAATAAATTTGGATGGATAAATAATCAAGAGCATATGATGTTATCAAATTAGCCAAATCTACAAATGATTATCAATTATTGGAAAAAGCAACATATATTTTAGAAAGTAGTTCGTATTCTTTATTTGAGGTATGGAAATTTTAAGATAAACACCAACATATAAAAATGTATACATTGTCAATTCTATTGATACAACATTTAATTTAAATAACATTTCATTAAATTTATCTGAATTTTAGAAAGGACTGCAAAATTGGATCAAATTGGGGGATTCCGTATTAATACAATTTAAATGTTGAATAATTGCAATTCCATTACATTATAATATATATATATATTTATTAATTCAATATTTTATCATATTAATTATATATTCAAAATATAAAGGTTGATATTAATATTTATATAAAGATTGATATATACACATATATATATATATATCAAGTTTGAGCAATGTAATATATATTTTAATTGAAAATATATATTCATAAGCCTGCTAAAAACAATAGTGTGGGTATAGGAAATACTAATAAACATAAGTTTGGGTTGACATGTTGAAATGACCATAAAAGACATCCCAAAAGTGTTTATCTAAAATAGATAGATTGATAATATAATCCAAATATATAGGCAACTACACAACTAGTTAATAGTATAATCAAGTATATAATATGAGACACTGTTAATATCTCTTTTCTTTGTACTGCTGAATGAAGGACAACGCCAAATAGAATTGAATTAACTAATCTGAAAATCAAACTTTCAATTTGAGGAATGACTAAGACTTAATTGTAGTATACAATTCATACTTATTATAATTGAAATTAAAGCCTATTCATACTTTAATTTTGTATTAATTTCTTTATTCTCCACTGGATATTCCCCTGACAATATTTCTGCCTATATAATTTCACCCATCTACTTATCAAAATCTCCAATTTTGAATGGAATTGAAACATGAGGTTTTAACTAATTTTATTAATATTCACTATTGTCTTCATAAATTATTGATATATTCTAAGCATTAGCCCTCTTTTATTGATCGAGATGTGAGATTAATTTAGAATTAATACTTGTATCCTATTGTCTTCCCTTCTCTAACAAAATTGTATTTTTTAATGTAACTCCTAATTGAGTTAATAAACTCTTATCAGTTTTCTATATAAAGGCATATTAGCTTTCTCCAGTAGCATAGTCAAATATTTATACAGCCTCAATAGCAGGTTGTACATTTTCAGTTGAAGTGGCTGTAGCACCTTCTCTTGCATGATGTATTATAATGGCAGGATTTGCTTGATGTTTTTCCTATTAATGTAAATCCTTAGATCTCAAACATTCTTTAATCCATACAAAAGTGATAATTCCTACCATCATCCATGGGAATTCTGTAATAAGTGTTCCGAATATAAACAACTTTGCACAATCATGAATTTAATCTCCTAGTTCATCTACTTGAAAGAGAAGAGCGAAAGAGGAAGAACACAAAAGTAAAATTATTTCAAGAAACATATTATATTAATTTATTAATTAAACATAATTGAGTAATATTCCAATCATTACTTAATTTTATATACCCACTAAAAAAGGTCATAGAAGATAAATATTTATTATAAACATATAAACAATTTGGATTCCTTAAATTTACATACTCTCTTTACATATCAATTATTATTTACATATTGAAAATAAGAATTATCACTATCAATATTTTACAATTCTTTCAAAATTTTCCATATAAAATTCAATAAAATTATAACTTCGCCAAGATATTTCTGTTTGTTTTGTCAAAAATTGTTTAGGAACAAAATTTTTTAATTTTTATATCAAAATAAAAAAAGAAATCATTAAATTTACTTATAAAAAAGTTAAAGAAAATACCGTTAAAAGCATTTGTTTTAGTTTATCATATATTAAATTTTATAGGAATAATAAAACTATATATATTTCAATATGGAGAAGAATTACAATAAAATCTTGTATAGTAGATAAATTTATGTTAAATTTTCATTTATTTTTAATCATTAATTTATAAAAGATATTTCATTTTTATTAATTTTCTAACTAGAAAAGAATAACAATAGAATGAGGATATTATAAATTATGTCTCTAAAATTTATTAAAATTATTTTTTTTAATAATATCATATTTGAGTCATGATAAAATTAAAAAAGAAAAAATATAATATCATTAATATTTCACTTGTATTTAGTTTTTTATAATGATTTATCTTAAATAAATATATTTCTATTCTAAATAATTAAACAAAATAAATTTATTACTTAAAAAATCGATGGATTGTATTTTCAAAACTTCTCTTTTAATTAAATAATATTATAAAAAATCACTTCATTATCTAATATATTTATTAATCAAATTCAGATGTCTTAAAAACTTAAATAATAATATATATCAAAATATATAAAATAATTTTATATTGTTTAAAAACTTATATTCAAATTATGATGATACTTTATTATTTTATAATATATTATTTAATTGAAATAGATTATTAATAAAATGATCAAATCTTCATTTAAAATATTTTTAACTAAATTCTTCTAAATCAAAAATGGCTTCTTTTAAAAGAGCAACACTTAGTATTGAGGATTTTTGAGCAAATTCACTTATCTAACCATTATGATCAGTGAAATCCGGTAAAGAATAACTATAATAATACATTAAAGTTACTATTCTTTTAAATGTTATTTGATAGGTGCAAGATAGGCATAGAATATTTCCTTCTTGATATCTTATTTATGTATTTTTAGTAATGCTTTTAGATAATATCCAAGCAAGAAAATAAATTCGGATCCATTATGAATGGAGAATCCATCTTAAGCATTGAAACGGTCTGTCCATTGAATATATTTAGCACTATATTCACTTGCAATAGGATCTAGAGTGCTTAAGCCTAGGGAACTTGGACTCAACAAATTAGATTCAATTAAAGCTAAATGGTGTACAACATGATTTTTTTAAAACAATTCTGGAGCTAATGCAATAGCAATACAAGAATTCGGTCTCAATTAATATTCAGATCGAGGTTTAGAACATTTAAATATATCTCTATAAATTCCTTTTCTCCTTACATATTTTTCTACAACTTAATATTCATTGTAATAGGATGAGTCAATTGGAATATAATAACTTTTTTCAAAATGCTAACAAATAAAATCTGACCATGCTCTCCATGTAACCATCCTATTCATTAACTTAATTCCTGGATATGAATATTTATTCAATTGATTCATCTTCCCAATGAAATCAAGACAGGCTTTTAATAATGCTGTACATTCAATTGGAGCTCCATCTCTAGATGCAGCAGGATATCCTTTATTTAAAGTGCCTGATCCCATTTTATCCATCCAAGTCAAACAATTCTTGTAGTTTCCTCCCATAATAAATCCTGTTTCTGAATCAAGTTTAAGTTCAACAACCAAACCCTAATTTAAAAGTATAACAATACCTCTTTATCTATGTCATCATTTGTATATGTTTCCTTAAATGAGATACCAGTAGCATGAGATTAAAAAATGGATTGTATTTATTCTTATAATAAACTAATGATAGAGAAATCATCTGTATATGTAACATAATCACGAATAGCTTTGATCCACCAAAAACAAGTGTCTCTGGTATTATATCTTAAAGGTTTTAATGAGTTAGGTATTAGGCCATGTTACATTAAATTACCATATTTAAAAATTAAGTCCTTAGCCTCAATAGCCTTATCTAAAAATAAAATGTTTATTCTTACTTGTCAAAATTAAGATACCTTTGAAACTCATAAAAGTTTCTCTCCCTTTAACAAAATCATAGAGAGTAAAATAAGTGGATAAGATATCAATTTATTTAAAGAAAATCTCTCTATGTTGAGTATATTTATCTTCTATACTTTAAACGATATGTTTTATGCATTTAATAAAATAATGTGGTTTAAAGATAGAAGGTAATGATTTAATTAATTTTAGAATTGGTACTAAACAAGTATGGATATCCAATAAATAGTCAATAAGCCAATCACCTTCTTGAATATGCTTGATGAATGGATCTTTAAGAGTTTCAATTTTATTGATAAACCTCATTACTCCATATAATCCAGAATAATAGAGTACTCCACATCCTGGTACTTCATAATGATTTATCAAAGGCTAATATAGAAGATTCAAATCATCAATACATCTGAAAGGGCTTAAGAGAAATGAATTCAATTCTTGAACCTGTTTTAATGGTTCACAATTTAGAATGATAACATATGAGGTTGGAGTGTTTATTGATAAAATATTATCATTAATTGATGCATATGAAGTAGTAATATCTATGTAGTGTTCTTTTACCTTAATCTCATCTTCAAGATTCAATGTTTCTTATCCACTGAATTGAAATGAATATTGATATAATATTTTTATTATATTGGAATAAAGTTTAATTTTACGTATGATGGATCTTAAGCAAATTATAATTATTTAATTATTTAAATGATCCTCTTAACATTTAGTTATGATAAGGATTTATTCATGAATGGATTCCAAATAGGTATATTTACTTTAATCTAAAGCATGTTATCTAATAAAAGTTAATGATTTATAGACTTATATAGGTTTAATATCAATGATATTATTCATATGATTATTTTATTAATTTTAATCTATCATCCATACATCATCTATTATATATTTATATTCATATGTTCCTGGTGATAATGTTATTTAACAAGTAAAATATTTAGGGTTTTCTATATCATTTTTAAGAAAATATTCATGTTCCCAATTATCAAATGAACCTTTTAATTTAACAATTTTTGGGAGTGCTACACTTTAATTTAGACCACATTTAATTGGAGTAGTATGCTTCCACATAAAAGTAATAGGTCTACTTTCTACATTTTAAATTTAATAATTGATTTATGGGTAAAATCGTTTTTCATAAACACAACTTATGTACTAATCATAAAACTCATCCACTAATTTAGTAGTACCTTTAAATTGATTGCTAAAAGATAAGGCTGATACTAAAGACATTAAAAAACCTGGACCTTGAGATTAAACAATAGGAGGCTAATTATCATGAGTTTAATCATAAATCATTCTTTATGGTCCTGATATTTGTTATATGTAAGCACAACTTTATAATTTATGAACAATAGATATAGAATTCCTACAATAAAATAATTCATCAACTTATCCATTCAATCCTAATTTACTCATATACTTAATTTACTGTTTATATGAACAACCAAATAATTCAGCAAACACTAATAATTTAGGATTCTCAATTCTAGCATGTTTTAATAAATATTGACTAATTCTCAAAGGTGTTCCATGACAATTATCTAATCGAATACCATGAAAATAACGAGCCATCTAACAAATGTACTATTTCATTCGATTCAACAATAGAGGAGTATCTTATTTATTACCATACCTTAATTTGATAACATTCCATTTGTTTATAGTATGTCTAAGATAATGGAAATTTTGGCTGGTTACAAAATCTTCTTTAGGATCAAGATTATCTACATAACCATTATAGGCAGCATACCAATTCTTCAATTTATAGAAGTACTTCTAAACATATCCATACTTTTTATAGTGTGCTTAATTATTAGCTATAGATTCAGCTTCATATTATTTAGCCCTTTTGAATTATTTTTCATTAATACATTTTAAAGTTTTCTTAATTTCATTGATAGTTAATTGATGATTTCCTAATTCTTGTTACAATCTCTTAAAATCAAATGTTACTCCATATCTTGATACTCCAAAATTTACCAAATATTATTCAATTAATTTTATATTTTTCTCTTAATTAGATTCCATAAATATATTATCATCATCATCATCATCACCATTTTTATTACCATTTTCAAAAATACAATTTATCCAATCTATTTTATGCAAATCAATCTAAAAATATTCTTCTATTTTCAATGCCTTTATCACTTTTTCAATGTCTTCATATTTTTATACCTATTGTAAAGCATAATCTAATTCTAAAGCTGATCTCAATTATGGAACAGTTCTTTCATTATATACACATTCTTCATCATTCAACCATTCACTCTCCTTTGATGCATGATTTAATACAATATCAATAAAAAAGATCTTTTTAGATGATTCAATAAATTTATGTAGTTCCTCAAAATTATGGAAGTATTTTATACTCAAATGATCCTTAATTGCATATAGACTATGAGATACTTCCTATATTGGACATAAATGAAATGCTTAAAATCCATCCAAATCCCAATTTTTTACTAAATTTGGTAATACTGTCTAAATAGTTAAATCTTTGAGATTAAACATTTATGGATTCCAAACTAAAAAATTAAAGGGTTATCCCATTTCTTGTATCTTTCTATCATCAAATTCCAACCAAATTATTCTGAGAAAGCATGGGCCTAATTATTTACATCTGATCTCAAACACATAGTCTCCTTCATTTGATATATTATATTTATGAGGTTCATAAACAGAATAGAAGCTCATTGGCAATTAGGCTTCTAATTCACCTCTTAGAATTTTCTTATAACTCTTTTATTGTTTATTTGGAGAATCTTTTTTTGAAGGAGAACGAGTATGATGTTAAATATTTGTTATGAGGACAGGAGTAAATGAGAAGATTTTTCTAGAGCAAAGAACGACTTTCAATAGAGTGTCATAGGGTAATGTTAAGCAGTTATTAAGAGCAATTGAGCCATTTTATGAAGTATAAACAGTATACATTTGTATTAATTAATTTTATAATGAAATATTTATACTTTCTATTCAAGATAGACAAATATACTTGTGGTCAAAATTGATAATAGTGTTAAAAAGTTAATAATAATTTATAGAATTTTAACTTTTTTTGAATTGTAAATTTTTTCAAAGTAAGAATTAACTATCTCTAATTATCATTTTTGAATAGGTAATTCCTAATAAAAACAAATTACAAAAAATGATAACTTAAATAATTAATATATTAAAAAAATGTCATTCTTCTAGTCTCAGGAATATGAAGATTAGGACGAACATGAATAATTGCGAAATGTGGTAATACTAATAACATTCATAATTAGAAATCGCCAAATCAGTTGCAATTAAAATCTCGATTGTATGATCGAGGAGGTTAACAGAAAAGGCCAGTCACTCGAACTTAACAATAAGTATTTCATGTATTTTATTTGAAGTTAGTACCTAAATTAGTTGCTCAATAAAGTAAACAAAAACTAGACCCACTTAGAATGACTATGGGAACAACCTTCAAATAAAATGTTGATGAGCTTTATAGAACCAAGTACCTTGTAGATAAATTATCGGGTAAGTTCTAAATTGATTAAAAATACTTGGCCATTATGCCAGAAGAAGAACGCAACTACTTAATGCGAAAAACTGGTATGAGTTCATTAGGATCTCGTTTCAAACTTAAACCTCTTGATTCAGATCCACGTATTTAAAGTCCATTTAAAGAAACATTGGCACATGATGAAGAATTTGGCGTTACTGAGAAAGAAACAAAATCTAAGTTAGATAAATACATAGATCTTATTTTGAGTAATACAACAAGTGTAGATGAATATATTTATTTGGTAAGAGAAGAAGATGATGGTTAAGATGATCCTTATATGTTGGCAGTTGTAGATTATAAAACAATTAAAGGTGATGATAAGAAGACTGAAATTAAAGAATATTACACAATTTCTAGAAAAGGATTATGTCATTATATTAATGGAAAACCAACTGAATTTATACCACTTAGAAATTGGTTAAGAGAAAGACAGACCTATCATTAAATTAAATCATTAAAATTTTTCACAAAATTTAGAAAATGGAAAACCCTTAAAATGTGGAAGAGCAATGTTATTAAACATAAAACTAAAACTATTTAGAATGCTCTTTTAGATAAATATTTCTTATTGAATCCAATAATGAGAGAAACCCTATTAACAGTAAGAAAAAATACTTATGATATGATGGAAACTTGTCGTTTCATTGGATTTGAAACTTCTCATCAATTAACTATGAGTGATAGCACATTTACTTTAGAATAATTTAAATAATTATAAGATCAATATAGAAATAAAGTGAGTGGGAAAATTAGATCTTATTCTCAAGCTTGTAGAAAAGTTGTACAAAGTGGATATGATAAATCATTGGATATTCTTAGAAAGTAGAATTATGTACCTTAAAATGATGAATAATTTGGTGGAAATGCTCCAAGAGATACTGGAACTAATGTGTTTAGAACTAGAGAAATTGCATATGAAACTTTGTAATTCCCAGATAGTATGACTTATGAGAAAAGATCATAATTAAGGAAAGAATGTTCAAAATTCTTACGTTTTTCCTATCTAGTTGATTTCTTAGCTATGGAAAGTCTGAGCAATATTTATACACTTTCAGTTAGAGACTTGATATCAAAATTAAAGAGTTTAGAATCAATAGATGATTTTAATGTAACATTTGAAGCAAGCAACAAACCTCCAGTTAGATTTGATGAACCTCTTTTTGTGATTAAGTTAGATTGCACTTTTGACTAAATCCCTTAAGAAGATATTTAAACTGAAGATATTCCAGAATTCATACCTCAACCCTTTGGTAATAGCACTGTTGATGATTTTCATATACTATATCATGCTCATTTACAAGAAGAGAAGACAGAGGAGTAAAAACAAGCAGAAAAACCATAGGGAGGTAAGAAGGGCAAGGTTGAAGATGATAGTGAAGAAGATGAAACTGATGGAGGAACTTATGATGAAAATAAAATATATAAAAGAATAGTGATCCCTAATATTTCGAAGCATTGGATTATAAAGAAACCATAATTAAATACTTTTCATGCAGATATTGTAAAGTGCATAGGTGAAGGATTGAATGCCATTTAAGCTTTTGAGAGATGGAGTAGACATAATGATATGACTTAATATGTAGCTGTATTGGAGGAATGGGATGATATGGTTGGTGAAGAGTGGGGACATCCAGAATCTAATTATTTGAATCCTTCTGATTGGTTAGATTCAGCACCTCTAGAAACATTTACAGGAATTGTTAAAAATATTTTAGAGAAAGCATTCGAAAGAGCTGATCGATATATAGAAAAATATTTTAATAAACATTTATTGACTTATTGGGAAGATAAATAAATTAATATAGATATATTTAAAGATGAAAAATTGGCACATCCTGGAGACACATTTTAATATACAATAGCAGTTCTTAATATGTAGAAGGAATAATTTTAGAAAGATATTCCAATTGAAAGTATGTAAGGATTATTGAAAATTGATTCGGTTGAATTAAAAAAGAAGTTGGAACCTTTGCCAGCTGAATTATTGAAATAATTTGATTAATTTATTTAACCAATGTTAAGAGCTAGATGCAAAGAATTAAAGGAATGGTTATAATCATCAACAACTGCTTTGAAAGGAGCAACTACAAATATTGATGAATTTGTTAAGTAAAGTAATTCATTAAAATTGATTCAAAAATAATTAAATAAAGTAAAATCTAAAATATCACTTGTTGGTCATATTTATAATATTCTTGATGAATATAAAATAGAAGTCAAAAAAGAAGACAAACAAGCATATGTTGTTGATATAATATAAGCATAAAATCTATTGGAATAAGCTATTCATCATGCAGAAGAAGGAGCTGAATCTAAATTAGACAGATTTGCAAGGGATGTTTAACATATCCTTATTCCATAATTAGAGAAGTAGATTGGTGCTTTGGATGGAATAATCTAAGATAAAAAATATATTGATGCTGGATTGAGTTTAGAATAAGCCATTAAAGAATTAGGAGAATGTGATGAACAATGTAAGAAATTAGAAGCTGATGCTAAAAAATATAGACATTATGAAAGTACTTTAGGATTACCTACTTCTTAATTTTAGAGTTTAGAAGATTTAAGAAATGATTTAAATCTAAGATATTCTATGTGGAAATCTACTAAAGAATGGATTGAATTAACTTAATCGTGGATTGATGGAAAATTTATAGATATAAACACAGATGAGATTAAGGCTAAAGGAGAATATTATACAAAGATTGTCAATAGATGTTCTAAAGGATTACCAGCTAATTAAGTTTTAGATGAGTTAAAAGAGAAAGTATTTTCATTTAAGGATACTATGCCTGTAGTTTTGGCATTAAGAAATAAAAATTTAAAAGATTATCATTGGGTACAAATAAAATAAGAAATTTTGAAATAAGATTTTGAGATCACTGAAACATTTACATTAAGAAATTTAATGGATATGAAAGTTGGAATCTATTAAGAATAGATATAAGAAGTAGCTACTTAGGCTACTTAAGAAGCTGTCTTAGATGCTTAATTTAATGATATTGAATAAAAATGGAAAGCTCTAGAATTTACATGTGTTAATTATAAACCAGAAAATCTAAGGAACAAAGAAGTTTATGTACTTACTGATATAGATGAATTATAAACAGCTTTAGATGATTTCTTGGCAAGTTTAAATAATATATTAGGAAGTAGATACTTAAAGATGTTAAGAAAGAGAGCTGAAAAATTATAGAAGGATGTATTAATTGCTTAGGAAACTTTGGATGATTGGTTACAAGTTTAGAAAAATTGGATTTATTTGGAAAATATATTTGCTAGTTAAGATATTAAAACAAAATTAAAAGAAGAAAATGCATTATTTGAAAATGTTGATAAATAATTTAAAGCTATTATGAAAAAAACTAATTCATAGAAATAAGTTCATAGAGCAAGTGGATTATTAGATAAATTTAGAGAATATAAAGAAACATTAAATAGAATTTAAAAAGCATTAGAATCATATTTAGAAGAAAAGAGAATGTCATTTCCAAGATTTTATTTCTTATCAAATGATGAACTTTTAGAAATATTAGCTAAATCATAAGATTTTGATGCAATCCAAAGAAATTTAAAGAAATGTTTTGAAGCTATTTATAGACTTGAATAACCTGAAGAAGGTGCTAGATCAGTAAATGGTATGATTTCACCTGAAGGAGAGAAGATTCCATTTGTTAAAGCTGTTTCAACAAAAGAAGAAGTTGAAATGTGGTTGATGAAAGTTTAAGATTAAATGATTGAATCATTAAAAAAGAGAATGAAATAAGGAAAAGTAGAGAGTGAAACCCAAGAAAGAAATCATTGGTTACTTAATCAACCAGCTTAAGTAGTTGCCACTATATCCAATTTGATCTGGACATATGATACAGAATAAGCAATAAATAGTATGACAGATGATTCAACTGCTTTATCAAAACATTATAATTTATTATATGAATCATTGAATGGATTGACTGCTTTAGTTAGGGGTACATTAACTCCACTTTAGCATAAAGTGATTGTAGCTTTGATTACTTAAGATGTTCATGCTAGAGATATTGTGGATGCATTAACTGATGAAAATGTTAGTGCAATTAGTGAATTTTCATGGTAATAATAATTAAGATATTATATGGATGAAAATGATTTAATAATTGTGAGATAAGTTAATGCTAAATTAAATTATGGATATGAATATTTAGGAGCAACAACTAGATTGGTTATTACTAATTTAACAGATAGATGTTGGATGACAATTACTGGAGCATTAAATATTAAATTAGGAGCAGCTCCAGCTGGACCAGCAGGAACAGGTAAGACAGAATCAACTAAAGATTTGGCTAAAGCTTTGGGAATGTTTTGTGTAGTGTTCAATTGTTCAGATTAAATTGAATATAAAATGATGGGTCGTTTATTT